TTGTCCCGTTCCCCCCCCCATTTTTTTTTTTTTTTTTTCCCCCCCCCCCCCCCCCCCCGGGCAACTCTTAGAAACCCACTCCCTGCCCGCTACGTACCTCTAATACGGACGATTATACTTTACAACCCATGCCTGACTATCAGTACCCGTACCTGGTCCGACTTGAGCTGCGCATCCGCTCCCTCATCCGTCGCGGCAAGGCCAGCTGCTATAAGAGAACCGTCTAATCCGGGGTTGACGACAGTCTGTTTCTGGATCGATACATTTGTACCACTGTTAATCCCGACAAGTAAAGCTCAGCTCAAGCTATACCCTGCAATAAGCAACGCAAGCCAAGGCACAACGTCAAACAACTGTGCGCCTCTGACTGGAGACTCCTAGCATCTATCACTCTGGCTGCCGTATCTACGTCGTTGCTGGCCCCAGTTACTACTTATTAGAAGTTGCTGGCCCCTCTCCACCGGTCATCTAGTCCAGATCGGATCAGACCATCAAATTATATATCATCTATCATCCCCCAGCCTTCTCCTCCTTCAAGTCTTCGTCACACTCGCCTCTTTCTCCAAAGATCAACATACACTCGCCATCCTATATATACGCACATCATCCCGTCTTCTCACCTTACAATGCTGTCCATCACACCTCAGGGAGATCACCACAGCCAGTCCCTCTACCTCCCCTTCAGACCGTTGTCTTCCTCGCCTCGCTCCGTCACCGACCTGCCCTTCCTCACCACCCTCGCCAGCAGCATGGGCCACAGCCTCCACCACGCCGGCAACTCCACGGCCTCGACGACAGCATCCATCAAGGACTCGGCCAGTGTAGCCCAGGCCCTCGAGATCGCCCGCGAGAGCCCCGATGGCGCCTCGGACCCGACTGTCAGCAGCATCCTGGAGAGTGCTATCAGCCAGATCTGGTCCAAGGTCACCTCCCAGCCGGAGTCGTACGTCCTGAGCCGTGACGAGTTCGCCGTCTTCAACTACTTCCAGCACCGATTCACCGGCAACAAGGTGGCCATGGCCGCCCGCAAGCGTTACTGGGATAACGCCCGCGCGTGAAGCGCAGATTCCGGATCATGCTAACGAGACAAGTATCACATGGTCTCCGAGCAAGCACCATCCTGCGCGATTCTAGGCGCATTTTCACTATGGGGTCTTACAGGCGTTGAACGGAAAACGGCGGGTGGCAAGGCTATCACGCCGGGAGTAACAACGCCTTGGAGGATCCCAGAACGGCATCTCTTTCGTCTTTTTCTCGGAACGCGCCGCATATCAACCGCCCAAGCATACCCCGTGGATGGATTCAACTAGCGAACCAGGCTCTGGTGGCCATGTGTGGCTAGGAGGAATATCTTGCAGCTTCGGATACGGAGGAGCAAGCCAAGACTCCAGCCAGTGATGGCCGTGGCAGAGCAACAGCAACAGCAACCGTAACTGCAACTGTACCCGACGCCCGCATCGCATGCTGGGCAGTTGGCAGTTGGTGCAGCTGGGCCACGTTGTTTGCCATCCACGGAACAAGCATAGGTTCCTCCGGGCCCCTTGCCTCCTTTGCAGCATTCCGCCATCCGCCATCCGCCCGCCTGTCAGCGTTACCCGATTATCCAGGACCGAAGTCTTGGCTTTTCTCACGCCTCGGTTCTCTTATCCGTCCCATATAATCTTATCAGCCCACCTGCATATCCACCACAGGCATATATCCGAGCTAATACCCGGGACCAATCCACTTATCAGACCGACATCCCTGTTCCGGGGCGTCGCCTATTCGGAAAAGTGGACCCTCGGGTCCGAGCGCGCATTCTCCAAAAAAGAGCCCCCTCACAGCACACCAGTCGACTCCCTCACGCTTTCTCTGCCTGCACCTCACCTCTCTGGCCATCAGTCTGACTCTAGGCCGTCCCCTCCACATCAGCACCATGGCGGACGTCACTGCGCAGATCGCATGCGCAGGGAGGGAACTTTGAAAAAAGTCTCCGGCAGGCATCTCTCGGACTATGTGGATGAATGAAGGGACATGCTCACCTCTTGTCCCGTTCGTGCGACATCATCCGGGAGGTCACTGGACGACAACGACTCGACAGATGCAGGTGGCCTGCTCCCTCGCCTCTGCGTCCTGATGTTTTTGGTAAATGCGGGTGGCCTGTCTGCAGCATGCACCTCGACATTTTGGGCTGCGAAATCGCAACACTTTGTTGAGAGCCGGAGCACAGTGAGCGGGGATGCGCTGCGCCTGTGTTGGGACAACACAGGAAGGCATCCAGGCCACAGGCACAGACGTCGGGCGGCTACTGTGGACGATGACACTCTCTCACGGCTTTGGTGCCATGATGGCACTTTCTCACCGTCACATACGACTTACCGCATGTCTGGGCAGGGCAGTGACACTGCCAGCAGCATCGGCTAGACGTTTGGACGATGGCTAGCACGGCCAGGTGTCTTGTCGTTCGGGATGACGGTTGGTTTCGGATCACTGCTTCACCGATAAGAGGGACAAGCCACTGGCTCCAACTCTAATCGCTTGCACACACCCCCTTTCTCGTCTGTGGCTTGGCAAGCGCTCGAGGCGTTCGCTAAGAAGCTGCCATGACACAGCAGACTGGATGCCATTATTTCATCTCCTGTGCTTGGGAAGGGTCACAGACAGGACTCATTGCGGTTCGTGTCTTGGATCGAGGAACGCGCGGCCAGTCGGGCTAAGATGAATGGATCAGTCGTGTCAGCTTAAGCTTTGGGGTTATTGTTGGAAAACCGATTTTATTGTTGGCCGGAAATATCATGGGCGCGATCTACGAAAGGGAGGCAGGCCAGTGTGATCACTGCATCACTGCACACGTTTTCGAGTTGCTTTTTGGGTTGGGAGGCTTCGGTATCATTTCTTATTCCTTCTTCATGTTACCGCTGCATATACCATGTTACGGCAGCTGGTTGGGTAATGCATTTTCACGGACACACACGCACACCCCAATAGCATGTAGCATCCTGGAAGATAGCGAAAGCATTGGAGAAACATTTGGTTTGAATCATGACTCTTGTTCCATCCACCTGGTGAGGTTCTCGGTGCGCGTGAATTCAGTGCTACTCCGAAAAGGAAGCGGCATCCTGAGGCTCGCTTACACAACCATTTCCACGCTCCGAGGAGAGGGTCCCCTCCGGTTCTGAGGCAAGGCAGACAGCACCAGCGTGGGCGTGGGCGGCCTCAGCTTGGATCTCAAGCTGGCTTTTCCCACCAATTTTAAGGTTATTCGGTGTTTTGTTTGCTTGCATAGCAGGCAAGTGCACGACCTGCAGCTGGTCGCAAATATTGGTGGGAAGCCCAGGTTGTGGTTGGCAAGGGAAACACCTGTAAGAGATGCCGTCCTTCCGCACAGCTTTGTTTTAGAAATCGCTCTTCGCGCGGCTGCACTCTCAGTTCCGTCGCTCGGAGGAAGGGCGACGCGGGCAGGCCATCGTCTAACACCCGACGAAAGTGAGGCAGAGGCAGAGGCAGAGGCAAGGCTAGACGGGCAGCAGCAATCGGGTCCCGATGTAAGTTACCTGAGGTATGGCTGTTCGGTTCCCGTCTGCGTCGCCAGATGCCCCCCAGGACGATGTTTGTTTTCACCTCTCCATTCGCTTCTCTTTCTCCTCTCTCGAATCAGCCTGTCGACCCCGCGAAACAGCCCTGGTTCAAACCATAACTCAATATCCAATTCCACCTTACTTTACTTCTGAAGCCCGTCTTTTTAGTATTCCCATTCCGGGCACTTCGGTGACCAACACGCCTTCACTTCTGCTGGTTCCGCCCATCCTTCCCGCTTCCAGTTCTCCAGGCGGCTGAGACGACGTTTGCCTGTTTCTAATGACCCCGTCACCGCTCCTTCACCCTGACCGGCCAGCATCGTAGCGCACACGTTTTTCTCGCCGGACACCAGTCGCATATACGTCAGTTCTTTTCTACCTTTGACCGGCGCTGTTCGCTTAAGCATCGTCAACCAGATTATTGGAGATTTTGCGGCGTCTACCTCGGCCGCGCGGGGCGACGGACCCCAAAGTTCCTACAGTAGGGTATCAGATTCGGAGAAAGGCTTGACACCTTGTTCCCAAGCAATATCATCCTCCCAATAATCCAGGTTAGTAAAAGACCAGAGCCAGACCTATTGTGGTTCGGCTTCCGCCTCCCCGCTCTCTTGCCCGCCGCCGCCGCCCCAAACCGTTATACTTCCAATAGATGCAGATCCACGTCTTTTATCCCGTCCTTTTTTGTGTGACCAACTGCCCGCGCGCCCCTCACCTCCCCTCCTCTGGCGCATCGCATGGCGTCGCCTAGCAGCTAGTCTAGTCTACCATCTCCGTCCTCCTCCAGCTGCTTGCACTGGCGCCAGGCTTGATGTTTGCTTTGGTGGCGCAAACCAGGTTCTGAATCATTCTGTCCCGTCCCATTCCTGACCGATTGCCTGGGACCCCGTGGCTTTGCTTTATGCGCCGTTTTGCTCACACACCTGTTTGAGGGAGGGCCTGTTTCTTTTGTCACGCGGTTTCTGACACCAACCACTAGACACCAAACCGAGAGACAGGGCAGACAGGCCTTGAAGGCTGCAGTCCGAGGCGTTACGCCCAAAGTCCCAAGGTCCAACGATGGCCCCTAGGACGCTCGCTCGGGCGCTCGCCTTGTGTCTATTTGTTCTCGTTGTAAATCCGGGCTACGTGTCTTGCCGCAATCTCTTGACGGAGACGAGGTTGACGGACGCCGATAGTCCGGTGCCAATAGGCCCTCTGCCACAAGCGGACGAGGCTGCACGGCGGCAGCGGCCACTTGAATGCTTCCAAGCAGCCCAGCCAGTGCTGGGCCCGAAAGGTCCCGTCTACCAAGAAGTACGCCGCAACAATGACAAGCCGTCGGATTCGGGATGCACAGTGCAGTTGATGGATCACTCGTTTGGCAACAGCTTCAACAAGCCCTTCGTTGGTAAGTGCGAGTCTCATGCCCACGTCCCAAGCCCGGGTCTGCGTCCAGGTCTTACGACGGGGCCTCTACCGGCGCCGGTGCTGAGCGTTGTGGGTAAGTCGGAAATAGATGTCCTGACTTGGGTCTGATAGGCGACTACAAGCCTCCCGGCTGTGACTTCAACCGCGTCATTCTGAACTTTACTGCCACTTCTGCAGGCCGCCAGCTGGACCGGCTGGCCTTGATGTATCTCGGAGACACGGAGGTATGGAGAACCTCCACTGCGGAGCCCAGACTGGCACCCGGGATCATCTGGACCTATTGGAAGGACATGACCCCGTACCTCAGCATGTGGAAGTCGAGCCAGAAGGTCATTTTCGACCTCCCCAACCTCATCGGTAAGTGACGAGTACTGCAACTCATTTCCCCGGTAGATGTAGGTGGTATTATTAGTTACTCGTCCCCCTTGTCGGTTTCGGAGATCTCGGGGTGGGGGCCAAAACGGCTAATACCGCCAAGACGACAGATATACGGGGCCATTCAATTGCACCTTGACGGCAACCTTCTTCAAGAGCGACGTGGTGACCGACAACGCACCGCCTGCCGACCAGATTGTCGCCATCTCGTCGAGGAATGCATCGTCCAACACTGGCAGTGCCTGGCAAGTGCCAGAGCGCGAGGCCGTGAGTACGGTCAAATTTCCGCGCAACGCCAATCGAGCAGTCTTCTCCGTCTCGGCCAACGGCCAAGGGACCGAGGAATTCTGGTGGAGCAACGTCCTCCAGAGCGATGCCGCGGCCTTCAATGCCACCGTCGGCATGGCTCCAGCCGGGAGTCCTTGGCGCGAGGTCCAGGTCCTCATCGACGACAAGCTGGCCGGCGTCCAGTGGCCGTTCCCTGTCATCTTCACCGGAGGAGTCGTACCCAGCTTCCACCGGCCCGTCGTCGGGCTTGATGCCTTTGACCTACGGGAGCACGAGATTGACATTTCGCCGTGGTTGCCGGTCCTCAGCGACGGCAACGAGCACACGTTCAAGATCAGGATTGTTGGTCTCGCGAATGATGGTGACCGCACGTCTCTAAACACCACCGTGGGCAATTTCTGGGTGGTCTCTGGCAAGGTCTTTTTGTGGCTTGACGAAGAAGGGTCCGTCACGACCGGACGGCCGCCTACCGTCGACATTTCGGACCCGGACGTCAAGCTCACGGGCCGCACGCTGAAACAGAATTCGACCGGCGCGAACGAGTCTCTGGCGTTCAACCTGGAGGTGACGCGTTCAATCTCTGTCAGGGGCGAGGTCGTCACCAAGAAAGGCACCAAGAACCCCGTGTGGAGCCAGAAGCTGCAGTACAGCAACAACGCTTCCATCAGCGAGTTCGGCCGAAACGGGTTCAACAACTTCATAATCACCGGCACGGACGAACTCAGCGGGCAGGGTTCGTATCGGTCTACGTACTCGTTCCCGCTGATCGTCGACCAAGTGTCGAACATGACAGCAGCCGGCGATCTCAGTCTCTCTGCAACGCTATTTCAAGAGTTGAAGTTGGAGGTCGAAGGCGCCGGGGTGTACCCGACCGGGCTTGAGGTGTACAACAACCCATCGAACCGCAACATGCCGATGCCGGGACAGGGACCGCCGGGCCAGTACAAGATAGCCAAGCTGTCGACGTTCCGCAACGGCACCGCCTCGTTCAACCAGCCGGCGGACATGAAGAACAGTTCGGCGTTTGGCACGATCCGTCAGGTGTTCCGGTTCAGTGGCGGTCGAGGAGACGGCGCACGTGACGTGGAGCTATACTCGCGCAGGGTGCGGGCATCCAACAACACGGTCTTGTCTGATGAAGAAAAGTCTGCCGATGGGACACCGAGGGTAATCTCGTCGGAGAAGGCCAATTAGGATCGACGAGATTGGTTTGAAAGATGTGATGACAAGAAGACGGGCTCAGTTCAGAGGTTTCAGACCCTCCTCATAGAGTCTACGGATGGATACGTGGTCATTGGAATCATGGACAAACTGACGTTGCCGGAGTCCGAGTTGGACCGACCAGCTGGGTTTCGGTTTGTTCACTAGCTGGGGTTTAGACGGGCATAAGAGCGCTATTGAATGGCCCAAGTGCCCTTTTCTGAACCCTTAGCTCGCCATGGGCAAGGCCAAAGGTGAGAGAAAGCGTCTCACCTTGAATTGCTGTTGCACTGGCCAAAATCGGGATTTGCTTTTAGAGTTTCGGGGTTAGAAGTAAGCGGCGAAATGGCCGTCATTAACCCCAGTTTTATATGTCGGAGGAGCCACGGTGCCACGGAGCCACGGAGCCACGGAGCGACGGAGCCATGGCGAAAGAGGCCAGCCGAGAGCAAAGTGCTGCTGTGCCAAAGACAGGGAAGAATTAGGTTAGCACAGCCTACCAAAAGGAATCCTGAGGATTTTTAAGCTTTTATGGCGCGGCTGCCAGGCGTCGCCTCCCCTTTCTTCCCTGGCAGCGATCTACTTCGATCCCGTCACTTACAAGATACGTATTCTGGTTGGTTGTGGGAAGACGAGACTGAGATGAAGAAAGCAAAGAGCTGACCACAAGTGAACCAATACAGAGTCTTGGGAAACTACCGACATTTTCAGACACGATTCTCTCCGTCAGGTTCATTGGTCATGGTTGATTGTGGCACGACACTCACATTGTTCTCGTATGGATCGAGGGTGAGGGTGAAGGGTGAGGCGTGTGGCGTTGCGTGGCCCTGCAAGCACATGCTCGAGGGTCGGACGCACTGCCAAACTCTAATTCTGTTACGGCAAATCACAAATCCCATCCTTCGTTTTCACTTGTCCCTTTTTTTTATTTTCCCGGACGGTCTGCTCCACTGGCATTCCCGTCATTCCCGCCCTTCCCTTCTTCTCGTCCCGATCCCATGCTGTTCACTGTCACAACTCTCCACACTCATCCATGGAAAGGCGGCAAACACCCAGACAGAGACCGTGGGTTGGTTGTCTACGTACCGGGCAGCAGCAGCAACAATACGCGGCCTCTCACCTCTCTCTATCAGCCAGTCCGTAGGTAGGCGGCGCACCAGCCTCCTTTCAGGGCGAAGCTTAACGGGCAATGTGCTCGATCAAGCCTCACCACTTCACATGAAGCCCGGTAGTCTGGGACAGAAGAAACATCACACACGCCCCCTTTTTTTTCCAACATCACGGCAAGACTTTGATCTGTCCATCAAGCAGAGGGGGTCAGGACGGAGAGAACGTGACAGGAAGGAGAGAGAGACACACGAGAGTTAGGGGGTAGCATCTCTCCTCAGAACCACTCACACGTCGATCGTCGATACTATGTGATGACTGCCAAAAAGTCCACACTACCAACCAAGGGAAAACCTTAATTTCTGGCTCTCGACAAGGGAAAGCTCTCAACTCTCACACACACAAAACTCTACGCGGTCGTCAGATGTCCAACCCGTCGCAGATAAGCTTTGGACATGCTATTTTGCCATCTGGCACTGCTTTTTCTCCCGTGTGATCCATCATCCAACTCCCGATGATCACGATCAACCCTCTCTTCACATCGTGCCAACCGATACTACGCTACGGGGCGGCCGCCCCCCTCTGATCTGAGTCTGGAACAGGCGAGGTCGTGTGCGTGTGCGTATCGTATCGTAGGAGCGCAGTTGACGCCGACCCTTACGCGCCGTTGGCTATGTGTTCCCATCTCGCTACTCTGTACAGCAAGTCGTGATGGTTTGTCGTCGTTGTCGTCCTTCCACCGCGACGGACACTCTTGGCGTTTTCGGTCCCTCCTCTTGTCTTTCTCCTTGACCGGTTACGAGTGGCACCAAGAGAAAACCAAGCTTTTCCGATTTTCCCTTCCCCCTGTGCTGTGGTTCCTGTGGTGGTACAGAGATCATCGCAACCGAACTTCACTTGCATCCTGCAGGACCCGAACCACCACCACCACCCCTCGTATATCGTTTGGATCCCGTTAGGGTACTTCATACGGGAACGGGATGGGGATAGGGGTGCCGAATCTGGCAGATGATGAGGCGAACCGGGGCCGGTGATTGGAGGAGTAGGCGGGTTGATGTGAATCCCTCTTCCCCTTTTTTTCTGCTTTGCCTGGCAATACGTGCTTGCTGCGGCGGCGGCAGAAGCAGCAGCAGTGAACCATCGATCCTTCTTGCTTCCTGCCGCCCTGTCTTGGCCAACCTGAAGTACACCGTACACACCCCCTTCAGGGCCGGGCAGGCGGTAGACAAGGCCGCCCAGCCCCTCCTCAGGGGCCGTGAAAAGAAGGTTTAGAGCCGCCGTGGGTGCAGATGCGGGTCGAGGGGGAGGGGTCACGCAACGCGACGCAACGCAACGCACGCCACGGGAACCGCGACAACGCGGAGGCCAGCGGAGTCGAGGGGGCGTGAGATTCTCTACCTGAGAAGAAGGAGGAGGAGATGCAAAAGGGCGACCGGGGTTCGGATTCGATCGATGGGATGGGATGGGGGTGTGATGCCGTGACCTAGAACGGGATACGTGTGTGTACGTTACATTACCCCATCCAGACGTGTACATACACGGGATACAGGGCCGCGGGCAGGCAGGCAGGCAGGCAGGCAGGCAGGCAGGTCAGGGCAGGGCAGGACAAGACATTTTAGCCAAGACAGAAAGACGATGAGGACCAAGGGCTGGGTAAGGCAAGGTCAAAGGTAATAAGCGAAGGTGGTGTGGTATGAAGCCCGTTGGGTGTTTGATAGTGGTATATGCCTACTGCAGTAGTGCTCTGGCGGCTTCTCTCACCCACCACCCGCCGAGCTTTCTTCTTCTTCACAACTGCAGAAAGAGTTTCACGTTTCGTGTTTTCTAGAAGGTTTCCCCGGAACGGACTTCAGAGCTTGGGGGAGGGGGGGATATTGGGGGGGAACCGGGTTTCGACGCCGGGTTAGGCCAAGCTGGCCATGTGCCATCGCCGTCCTTCCCCCCACCATCATCCCCCCCCCCCCCTTCTTCCTGGTGGTTGTTATTGTTCTGTTCGCGTTCTCCTCGTCGGTGTACATAGTAAGCGCTGAAGCAACAAAGCTTCTGTTGGTTCGTCAGGGCCCGCCGCGCGGAAATACTGTCGCGCGGTGTGTGTCTGTCAGACCGACACACGACGGGACCCGAATACACGGCAACACGGCTCGCTCAGGGGCGCGCTCGGAGGTGCCTTTTACCTTTTTACCTTCAGCCGGGTTCGATTTCGACCTCGAAAGCTGCGGTGAGGACGCAGCAGCAGCTGTTGCTGTTGCTGCTGCTGTTGCTGCGCGGTAGACCCGGCCGGGTCCAGCCACATATCTTCTTCGTCCCCAAAATAAGAGGGGCGTGGCTGTATCTAGGTGTCAACTCTGCAGCGTGCGTGTGCCGTAGTCCGGAAAAGCTGCGGTATGCGATGCGGATGCGATGGCATTCAGGCCGTTGCGTTAGGGGACCTCTGGCGCAGAACTTGCCAAGACAGAAAGAAAGAAGGCCAGTGAAGTTTCTCGGGACCGAGAACGGCAAACACATATACCATGTAGTAGTAGCTTCTCAGCACGGCACCTGCGAGAGAAGACCACTATGGTAGGGAAATCCCAAGAAACCGGGGCTGGGGTAAAGGACGGCGCCGCCAGATGATGGTCTGACGCTGGCTCGAGTGTGTTGATGTTGGGACTGAAGGACTGGTCTGAACCTTGTTAATGGAAATGGGTGGAAAGCTATACTCGTATTAGCCAACTGCGTTAGACCGCCGCCCCCAAACCCAAGCGCCGGCGTCAAGAAGGACGTGGCTTTCCTGGGCCTCTGCGTAGTGCGGATTGTGTCATCCACGCCGACGACAACGGGCGAGACGACGAGTGTCGAAAGCCACGAGTTTTGTTTTGATATCGCCTGTTCGTCAGGCGCTCCAATACACCATCTCGGTTCGGAGAGATTCTGGTGATTGCACCTGACGGGGCCGGAATACACAACAAGCATGGGTGAGGATTTAGAGTTTGGTGTTGTCTTGGTGTAATATGCCACGGGCTGTTGTCGGGTGCGTGGTTGCTGTCCTGGTGGTGGTGGTCTAATGTTTCGCGGCATGCCCATGGTAGGGCCTAGATGAAGGTCTACGGACGGACTTCGCCCAGTATCATACATTTCTCTGCTTTGCTATTTGGCTGCTCCCGCGATTACGTCCCTGCCCTGCGTCCTGCCCGATGAAAAGGTCCGCATTTAGTCCATGTTTGGATATGTGACGTACATGTAGTAAGTAGTAGTAGTCATCGGCTCGAGAGCCGGGGTAGGGCAGGGCGAAGCGGGCGCACGCCTCTGGCAAGGCAGAGCGGGCGTCGCGATGCATGACATATGCCGATGACATGTTCATCCCGTCCGGGCGGCAACCGTCAGAGCTTTCTTTCGAATCTCGAAGTCAGTTTTTTCCCTCGATTTGGAGAGAGTCTTTTATTTTTAACCTTTGCTTGATTTGAGAAAAAAAATAGGGGTATCATATCCGTCCGTGTTGTGAGCCTCGGTCTGGTTTATGCTTTCTCTTCATCTCGAACAAACATATGATGAATGACAAAAAAGAAAGAAGGAACGAGTTTTGCCTGTGCCAAAGTTGACTTTTACTGAAGTGATTTGAGGAGAGAAAGACTTTTCGTGATGGGAGCCGTGCCAGCGGGCTTTGCGCAGGGGGAAGCAAAAAAGCTGGGACGCGTGGTGAGATGCTATTCGAGAGGTTGGAGGATACCACGTCCGTTTTGCCCAAGTCTGCTGCAGTAGGCAGAACCTTATGACAATGGCTTGTCTCTCCGGTAGCAGGACATCACCAAAAACCTTCTTTTCTGATGTTCTTGTCGTGGTGGTGCATTTCTGTACTGTCTCTGCCCGCGCCACACCCCACAACTCACTCCCCTACTTCGACCGTGCCCAGCCTCGGACTTGGAGAGTTGGAGAAGCAAGTTGGGGAAAGGGAGTGAACGAAGTGAAGCGTGAGGGGAAGAATGGTGAAGATGGGCATGGGCGTGGGCGTTTTGGTCGTCCCTTTGGGTGCTGCACCACGAGAGTCTAGCTAGCGTCTCGATAGTGTACATGCGAGAGAAGTACCGAGGCGTGCGGTCTGAGAAAAGGGGCCTGATCAGAGAGAGGGAGAGAGAAGTCGACGCTGATACCGCTTTGCTGCCGCTGCGCCGTTGGACCAAACCATTGCTCCCCTCGAGGTGCGTGAAGGTGCAGGCCCATTAACCACGCTAGTTTTGTCATTCATTAGGAAGCCAAGATGACGAGGGTTGGAGTTTTGTCGGAGTATATTCCGATTGTCAAGCTTGTTGGAGAGTAGAGTTATCGAGGGGGAGGGGGCGTGCCACACAGCATGTCCATCCTCCTCGGAATCCACCGCCGAGGTGAACTGAACTATAATTTTCTGCTTGGCTTGTAGTCAGAGATCGATAATCAGACAAACGAACGCACTGCCAGGGCCAAACATAAGTGAGATTGCGACGTGTGAAAGGCAGTTGTGAGTCTTGAAAGTGTCAAACTCTCTTTTCGCCACCGCCACGGTAATAATCGTCGTCACCCCCTTTTCTTTTCCCCTGCTTCTTCAGGTCGCGTTTCGAGGCGTGGATGGTGTGGGATGAACCAAAACTCTATTGAAGGCAAGCTTGCAGAGAGAGAGAGAGAACTCAAACCCGCAGGTTGTGTGGTTCGAACATGAATCCCGTGAAAGCGCGAGCGAGCGAAGTTGACGTCCAGGCAGGTGAAAGGCAGGATATGACGGACCAAGACGCGAGACGTACAGAGCACGTTTCGTCGGGGTTGTCAGTTGGTCCCCTGGGCCTTGTCCTGATCTTCGGTGACTTGCATCTGGAATCTGGTTCCCTTTTTTTTGGTCCCAGGCTCATCCCTTCTTGGTCTTGACATCGTGGGGTTGTCGGAAGGTGTTGGGGCGTAGAGTCGGGACCGCAGCTGATGACGGCTGGATTTCCTGATCTGGATATACGAATGGAACAGACCCGCGATCGCAACACGCGGCGCAAGACGTGTTACGCGTATCGTGAACTTTTTGTCAGCATCACTAAGACTGAGAGAGCGGCGCCTTGACCAGTTGGTCATCGGACCAAGAAGGTTTGAAGAAAGGTTTTCCCTCCAAGCGCTTCGTGCGAAGGCGAAGCTGCGACAAGCGCCCACATGCCGCGTCTGGTTTCTTTTATGGTCAGTGAGTTCGGCAGATGTGGACTGGAGGACCTTTGGATCAAGGGGGAACGGGATCCCATCTCGTCGTCAACACACGGGCGGCGGGACTGGAGGGCCGGGTTTTCCGGAGACTTTTGTCCGTGCCGACAGTCAGTGTGCCCCGCTTTAGGCCCGAACGTCCGGGATGTGGTTCGGAGCGGCAGAGGCGTACGTAATCAGGTCTGCCGCGCGTAGCTGGTCTCGTCTGGAGTCCCGTACCGAGCCCTTGAGTGTATCGTCTGATGTGGTCCGAGACGTCCCAAGATCCGAGCCCGTGGCGGGGTTTAGCCGTGGCGGGCCCTGGGCAGAGAGCTGATGACTGTCATCGTTCGTTGAAACTGACACTACACCTTTCAGGGTCCAATGCCGCTGCCTGTCTCCCTGTCTTTGCGTTATTTGACTTCTCGGTCTCACCACGCCGACGGAGCTGGCTTCTGCTTCGAGCTATGGATGAGGTCTCGACCTCTGTTCTCGTCTCGAACTTGGGAAGGGCCCAAAGATTATACTTCATTCTTTTCTTGGCACTCGTTTCCATGAGGCTCTGCGCCAACACGCCCTAGGGGTTGGTAAATGGCCGAGGTGTGCGATATGAGGCGTACGGGTATGATTTCTTCCCGTACACACACCACGGAGATGGCTTCCAGGACAGGCCAAAAGCGTCGCCGCCTTTGCACGTCAGACCCAGATTTTATAGTTTGCGCCTTCCGGACTCTCGATATCTTGAGGCTCTGCGGTGCCGTGCTGTCCGGAGCTTGATGGAGTCGGGGGCATGATGATCTCCGAAGAGCAGAGTTCCAGGTGTCGCCGGAGTCGCGCCGCGTTCTACGATAATAATGCTTGCTTGCTTTGAGCCTACCGCACTAATTCGCTGACGAAATCACGCCTAATATACCGTACCCCTTCGTTTCGAGTTCAATCCGCTGTCATGTAGATCTTGACCCAGCGGTCGGGAAACACACGATGCAACCCATCGTCTCAGCCCAGTCGATATCCCGAGGCCACGCCCTTCCGCTGGGTCTTGCCCAAGAACACCACACCCATTCATCTCCTGCGCCCCCAAACTCCCATGTTCGCATAACCTAACGCTGTGACGTGGCAAACCCATCAGCTCTCCCTCCCATGTCTATGGTCGAGCCAACCGTTTTCGAAATATTTGCAGTACTCTCCGTTCCTCGGAAACGGAGATGAAAGAGACGGCTTGAAGAACGGAACGCGCGGGACATATCATCAGTCCGCTTCGGCTAGTTGCATAATCAACCTCGCTGCCATGTCCAAGAACGGGAAAGGACTTGTGACATCCTTCTCCTCGAGAAGCCTCTTGTCAGCCGTCTCGTATCCCGAGCACTTGAAGTCTACGAGGTAGACCCCGTGCTCCATTTCGTAGATCTGGATGTCCATGTGCAGAGCCACGAAGTCTCGCTTGACGTTGTCGTCCGCGACAACATGGTAGCTGTCGGGCGTTCTGGTTCCCACGGTAGGAGTCGATGAGCTCTTGTGCAACGCTGCAGATCACTTAGTAACATATTCTAGGCCACGGGCATTTCGCAACTTACTCTGTGTCTCCCATCGGACCTTGATATGCCACGGGTCGGCCGGAAGCTTGTATCTCTTCAAGGGGTCAATACTGGTCGTGGAGTCATTGCCCCCTTGTGAGGTGTAGTCTTCAACAAAGCTGCCGTCGTTGCTGGGCTGATCCGTTTCTGAGCCGTGTATCTTTTCGTAATCCTCATCTGGTACGTAGGTTGCCCCGAGCTTATTGAGCGCTTTGTGGATGCACAACAAGGCTTCCCATGGCGCATTACGCGACCGGATACCGAACTGCCACCTTACCGGCTTTGTCTTCTTGGCTGTAGTCACCGGCGTCATACCCTGTGGCCTTGTCTTGGAGTCGTCGAGGCGGACTTGACTGCGAGAATGTGGCTTAAGACGACGAGCAGTCTCCTCTCTTTCGGCATCTGTACGAGATAGCGACGGCTCGTCCACCACAATCGTGGGGGTCGGGTGATCTTCGATACCTGCTTTTTCACGCTCCACGTACTCCTTATGGTAGGCTGGTAAACTGCTAGGCAGGATACCAATTTTGCTGATGTATGGCCGTTGTGTGCTGCTCACAGCAGATGCTCCTGACCTAATAGACGAGGCACTCGGAAGGGGACTATTTGAGTCTTGGTCGACCGAGAGTGAAGCCATAGCCTCTGTGGAAGGGTTTAGACCAGAGCATGTATGACGTGTTGGAAACGACTCACCATTTACTTGCATCAGCTTGTTCTCGCGAACAATCATGTAGGCATCCTTGATTGCTGAAGGCTCCGCCGCCTGCAGAGCCTCTTCGACGTCCTTCTTTCCGTATCCCATGGTCTTGCTGATCTTCTCCGTGACCTCGTTGTGAAGCTTCTCCTGGACTTTGGTAGGAGCATTGGGGGCGATGTCGCTCTTCTGAATGGCCTTATTAGGGTCCACGCCCGTGTTGTAGAACTCCTCGACAGGCGGTGCCAGGTACGGCGGCAGATCAGCCATGAACCAAGGATCTTGTCGGATGTCCTCGATTGTGGCACGTTGCACGGGGTTTACGACTAGCATCTTCTTGATGAGATTTGCCGCGCCGGCATTCATCCACTGCGGGATACTGTAGGTGCCGCGGGCAATCTTTGCGAAAAGGCTGGGGATGTGCTCGTCGTCGAACGGTAACCTCCCCACCAGCAGGACGTAGAGAATCACACCACAACTCCACACGTCTACTTCAGGACCAGCGTAAAGCTTTCCACCAATAACTTCAGGAGCAGCATAGTTTGGACTTCCACAACTCGTCTTGAGGAAGTTTCCGTCTGTCATAATGTTACTCAGACCAAAGTCGGCAATTTTGACGTTGAGGTTGTCGTCGAGTAGCAGGTTCTCGGGTTTCAGATCTCGGTGCACGATCTTGTGCCTGTGGCAGTACTCGACGGCGCAGAGCATCTGCTGGAAGAATCTACGTGCCTCGGGCTCCTTCATACGGCCGTTCTGCACAATGTAGTCGAAGAGTTCGCCGCCGGCATATTCGAGGACCATGATGATCTCATTTGGTGTCTTGATAACGGTGTACCTGGAAGAATGCGGGTCAGTAAGGGTGATGTGGGAGCAAGTGCGAGGGGTCGGGCATGTGACAGCAACATACAACTTGATAATGTGAGGATGTCGCAAAAGCTGAAGATACTCGATTTCGCGCTCGACGCGACCGGCCATATCGCGGCTGATGAGCTTCTTTCTGGCGATGATCTTGAGAGCGACTTGCTGGCCGGTGCCGTTATGAATGGCCAGCTTCACCTTTCCGAAGGAGCCCTCGCCAAGGGTCTTGAGGACCTTGTATGCGCCGATGCGCTGCTCCGTCTTGATCTTGTCCCGCAGCGGAGCGGTGGTATCGGGAGGAGGAGCCATGTTGGCGGGAGGTTGAAGATGGTCACCGGCGACAGCGGCGGCGGCATCGGCAGCGGCAGCACCGTGCTGCTGTGAGCGTCGACGGATCTGGGAGGGCGAGAGACTGATATGGAGCTCCTCCTCGTCGAAGCCGGAAGCCATATTGTCGGTCGGGGGGGAGGGGGGGCCTCAGGTCGGTTTTGTTAAATGGGCTGTGGCCAGAGCAAGCCTTGGACTTGGACCACACAAGTGGGCATGACGAAGTTGGATTGTGGAGGGGAACATTGGAGGGTGGAGGGCTGCCAAGAAGCTCCCTGGTTCGTGCCAGTGCCAGCTGGAGACCGTTTTTTTTTTTTTCTTTCTTCGGGCCCCTTCCTGGCACCTGAGCAGCCAGCTGCCCCGGGCAAGTTGCCCGCCTATTGCAGTGGGGAGGTGAGCCGGTCTGTGCATTTGCGCTGCCGTTTTGGGCTGTTTTTGGGGGGAGAATGGAGGGGCTGCTCCCACTGTTTACAGGGCACTTCAGAGCTCTCAGTGGCTAGTCATGTCATCCACAGCGGCAGAGTGCGCTGTAATTGGTGGGACCATTGTTGCGGTTTGAGTCCAGGTCGGGTCCTAACAGGGCACCATGGAATCGGGGCGAATCGGTCAGCTTTCTATTGGACCACGCCAGTTTTTGCACTGAAAGCTGCAGCTCCCGTCCGAATCATGACCCGATGCCATCTCATGTTGGGCTCAGCACGGGACGTTGAAGATTGTCAAACCCAAAGGTTAAGGTCAAATGTAATGGCCATGTCACATTCACAATCCAGTTTGCTTCAGGCTGCGGTGAGAAACTCTGGTTGATAACTGACAGATCACAATCCATGCTGAGTGAGCCGACACGCCCTCAATGCCTGGACAGTCAGAGGTGCTGGCACGCCGCAACAGGACGTCTCATGATCGCCGAGTGGTTGTCTTGCATGTGAGAAGAGATATCCTCCCCTACCTATCCGTATCTAGGTAGTTAATAGGGATCATGATACCCCGGCAGAGGACAAGGATGGACGTCTTTTCGATATCTATCCGTATTCGTTCTTACACTTATCCTCGTGCCCTTCATCGAGATGACACATACCTGACGACTATTGCAAGTGTCGACCTTTCACACCAAACGACGTAGCCGACAGTTACAGCCGTAAAGTCTCATTGGCTTCCTTTCTCCTACAGAACAGCCGATGGAGTATCCGTTGCGACCCTTCGAGACTCCAGCGCCCTTGGCCGACGGAAATCCCCAGTTCTCTTGACTCGAGAAAACAGAGCCCAACGATCGCCGCCCTCCTGCATGTCATCTCGATGACGGCGCTGGATTTCAAGAGGCTTTAGTGTCTCCTGCACCGGCTAAATAGCCCTGGACATTCCTATGACAACCCCATGCCAAAGAAGGTCCGATAACGCCAACCTCATCCAAATCGTCAAACTGTGAAGACGTTGTTTTACACTACAATCTTCGCGAGGATACATACACCGTCCAGGATCATTTCGCTAAAGCTGTAGGCGTTTCCAAACCGAGAAATTCAACCGGCGGTCTGGAGAATGCGCCTATGCCCACTTCTGTTTGAGCTCCTTTCGTCCACGTACAGCGGGAGTTGAATACGGGGTTGTGGGGTGGAATTTGTGTCTGCAGGACAGAAGAATCTGCAGCGACTCCAGTCCCGAGGTTATGAGGTGACTGAGGGTAACTCACGATCCCCCTCCGGGTGCTTGTTCCTTGCTCCAAAAGCGAACCAAGTGGAGGTAGGTGGATTCTCCAAATCCGCGGCGCCTTTTGCCCAACCCCTTCGCCCAAGGTTGCAATCAATTCCCAAGAATAGCACGATCCGGCGAAAAGGATGGAATACTCGTGTTTCGATCGATCATGAGCGACGCTGTTGTCATGGGTGGCCAGTCATACAGGTGTGAAGTGCGCATTAGCTGAAATTACATGTTTGAACAGTCATGTACAAAGCCAAAACGGTCAAGTGGCCGCATGGCCTATCAGGTCAAGCAAGCACGTCTTATCTTGACTTGTCCTTCTGGTCCTCTGACCGAAGCCTCTCTTTCAGCTTCTCTGTCAGGAAGGGGCTGAGTCCGAGACTGCAGGTTTTGGATTAGTTCGCCTCAACTTCGCTCGAGAAGAGTGTGAACTTACATTCCCTCATTGGTAATGATCCGATATGTGCCGCTAGGCTCGAGTTTTCCAATGATATTACCGCTCTGATCAACCTCGACGCTGCCCAAGATGTCTTCGGGCCAGGCAATGCGGCCAAAGTCCGGAGGGTTCCTTGAGTCGCTTAAATGGACATAACCACCGTGGCCGCCTCCCCCGGCGCCGCCCTGTCCGCTTGCGCCTCCGGCACCGCTTCCTCCGGCGCCACCGCCGCCGCCGGTCTTGCGTGACGAGCCTCTCTTGTTCTTTTGGACGAAGAAGGCGCCTCCAGAACCGAGATTAGCTCCGCCAGGACCAGCGAAGGCTGCGGCCTGCGAAAGAAGGTCCTTGTCCTTGTGCGCATGCTCCGCGAGGACTTCGTAGAGGATCTTGGTGAATGTTTGGTTCTCGATGAAAGACTGCGGCGTCGGGGGATCCTTCGTGGAGAAGCCAATGGCTATTCTCTGGTTGGGCGGCTCATCTTCGAGGTAGGACAGAAGGAAGGAAGCTCGTGATGCATCGGCAGGGAACACTTTCTGTTGCTTCAATTAATCTACTGTTGCAAGGGCTGGGCCTTAAAACAATTACTTACAATTGACGGGTTGGATGATAAGCTGGATACGGAGCGAATAAACGCACTCCTGTATTTTGGGAGGAAACGTGCTGCTGGCGCCAACATCTTGAACAACTGCCCTGTGGTGCAGGATAAACAATTGAAGCTTTTTTGTCTGAGTGACAGCTCCCGCTCTTCCACCCAATAATGACGGCATGTCAGAGCGCAAGACGCGGGCCCGGAGGGGAGCTACAGCCACAGAGCAGCGCGCCAGCCACTAGACCCCGGTTGCCCCGCTTAGTTCCACCTCATTTATTGCCAGGGTCAGCGGTGTGGCACGGGCACGGCAGAACGCGCTCTACCGCCGGACACGCGCTGCAAAGACGCGTCTCAATTAAACATTCCCGGCGCAAACTGGACGAGCAAGAACCCCGCGATTGAGTACCACCGGCGATTCAATTGACTACATCACGAGAATTCGCTCCAATCCTCGTAGCCCAAAAAATCAGAAACCACAAGAGCTTTGTCACAATGGATCTTCCGCCATCGATATCGCCGAAGCGCAAACAGGTGCCCATGGCCAACATCTTCAACACCAAGACGCCTGCCCATCCTTCATCCTCTACCGCGATACCCTCTTCCTCACCCGCGTTCGGCACTCCAGTGCACCCTCTGAAGCCCTTCAAGGTATCGGCACCAACAAAACACGCGATACTTCCCATCATCCTACCGCCAGCGACCCTCAGACCTCTAGCCTTCCGTACATTTACAAAGAAGCACAGCTTGACCCTGACGTCGACCGCCCTACAAGAACTCGCCACATTCATAGGTCGTCACTGCGGCTCAGCATGGCGGGAAGAGGGTCTGGCGGAAAAGGTTCTGGAGGAGGTGGCGAAGTCGTGGAAGAACCGAAATGGCGGCGTCATTGTCGACGGCACGAGCACCGAGCTCAAAGATATCCTGAAGACACTGGAGGGGAACATGAGTGGAGGCAAAATTGTCACCGGCGCAAAAGGCCTGAGCCGGCAGAATAGTCTTCTGCTCGAGCCGGGTCAGGATACAGAGTTCTCGAGCACGAGACTTGGCATTCGACCTGCGCAGTCTGCTCTAGCGCGAGAAGACAGTCAACAGAGCCTAGGCATGTCGAATCTCGGTGTTGAGGAAGACGATGATGACGAGAACGTCAGAGATGCGAGGAAATGGCTGAAGGTCATTGATGCCTACGAGCAACCTCGGTTCTCCTATAACGTGGCCAAGAAGCATTTCGAAAGGTAAGAAGATGTAAGACTGCGGCGGGGTTCATTCGACTGACTGAGATTACAGGGAAACTGCAAAACCGTCACTATTACCCCCAGCATTGCACAAGACCACTCTCTTCCGAAACAGATACAATGTCATACACCAAAGACTACTCAGAAATGAATCATTCCAGACGTCAGCCGTTGCGAGCGCAAGAGCTCCCTCACTCAAACGATCGTTGTCGAACCAACAGAACCACAAAATCACCCCTATCGCGAATATGCTGGGTCGTCATGGCAGTCATCACATGCTTCTTGGCATGCTGAACATACTGCCTGCTGGCGGTCTTGCTATCAGTGATCTGACTGCTACCATCGCCCTAGATCTGTCGCAAGCGGTTGCCATCCCCGAGGACTCGGCATGGTTTACCCCCGGCATGATTGTTCTGGTAGACGGTGTCTACGAAGAGGAAGAGGAATCCGTCGGCAAGGGCCTGAGCGGAGCCAGCGGTGTTGGTGGAACATTGGGAGGCAGATTCCAAGGCTTCTTCATCGGCCAGCCCCCGTGTGAAAAGAGAAAGGCGACGTTGGGCGTTAGTGGACCAGACGGCGGTCAAAGCCACACCATAGGAGGTGGATTCGGCTGGATCGATTTTCTGGGAGTTGGCAGCGAGCGCGCAGTGGGATCACGCATGAGGAAACTCGAGCAGCGTCTGCTTCCAAGGCATTCTGCCGATGAAGTCCCTAGCCGGGGGCGGATGGTCATCCTCGGCGAAATGAATCTTGATCAACCACGTACCCTGCAAGCGATGCGCAAGATACTGGCTCTCTACGCTGCCGAGCCAGAAGGCTCGAGCCCGATGACATTTGTCGTTACGGGTAACTTCACGCAACATGCCGTCCTCGCCAGGGGTGGCAGTGGCGGCAGTATAGAATACAAGGAATACTTCGACGCCTTGGCTTCGGCACTGTCTGACTTCCCAACCCTCCTCCAGTCTTCAACTTTCGTCTTCGTCCCCGGAGACAACGACGGCTGGGTTTCCTCCTTCACCGCGGGCGCCGCGACGCCGTTGCCGAGGAAAGCCGCCCCAGATGTTTTCACGTCTCGCATCCGGCGCGTATTCGCCGCAGCAAACGCCGAGCTCGGTACAAAGGGCGACGGAGAGGCAATCTGGACTTCCAACCCAAGTCGTCTGACCCTCTTTGGTCCCAACCACGAAGTCGTCGTTTTCCGTGACGATATTTCTGCTCGCTTCCGCCGCACGGCCGTTCGTCTCAAGACCTCAAAACAAGACCGAGAGGCGGGAGAAGAAGGGGACGAGGAAACCCCGGGAAACGGAGACGTGGCGATGGGGGGCAGCGACCCCGCAGAGGACGCGGACGGCGCCATGGACGTCGACATCCCGAGCGAGAAGCCGGCCGTGAAGGAGGTCAAGTCGGGCGTCCCGCAAGACATCCACACGGCACGGAAGCTCGTCAAGACCATACTGGACCAGGGCTACCTCGCGCCTTTCCGCCAGGTCATCCGCCCGGTGCACTGGGACTACGCCACGGCCCTGCACCTGTACCCCCTGCCGACGTCCATGATCCTCGTCGACACCACGGCGCCGCCCTTCTGCGTCACGTACGAGGGCTGTCACGTCATGAACCCCGGCAGCATCCTCGTTCCCGGCCGGACGCGCGTGGGCCGGTGGGTAGAGTACGAGATCGGCAAGGTCGGGAAGCTGAGGGAGACCACTTTCTGATTGGGTCTACGGAGGGATGTTTGAGTTTACACGGGCAGATAGAAGGCCTTTTTTTTTTAGCATGGATCCGGCGTCGTAGGATATAGTAATGACTGACGCACTTACACGGGGTGGCAAGGTCTCCCAATGATACCTATCAGCACAGAAACATTTACCTGCTATCGACCTTGGTGATACGAACTTGGGAAAGAATATTCCATATTCATGAGTTTTATTCTTTTCAGATAAGCATTTTCGCGGAAAGTTGACGAGAGACCCCAAAGGCAAGAGTGGCGAGAAGAAGGCAGGTAGGACTCCAATCATATTATTAAAAGAATAAATCATCTTTCATCAGAAGCAAAATTCTATATACAAAAATGTTCAAGTCTGGTGAGTCTATGGGCGTGAAGAAGATTTGTGACAAAAGGAACCAGATGGACCTCCGGTTTGTCGAGCCATCCAAGTTATCAGACATCTATCGTTTCCTCCAACCTTTTTTTCTCAAATGCGTGTTCTCGTCTCTTTACAGGACGAGGACGGCAAAAGCGCCGACGGCCATGAGGGCGAAGCTGGCTCCCGCCTGAACGGCGCCGTTGCTGATAATGACGGGGTTCGTCGTCGAAGGACAGCTCGCGCCGGAGCAAGCGGTCGTGGAGGCGCCGAGGGCGGTGCCGACGGGCTTGGAGCTGGTGAGGGTGGACGGCTTGGTGGCGGCCGTGGTGGAGTTGCCGAAGCCGGTGCTGTTGTTCCCGCTGCCGCCGCCGCCGTTGTCGTAGTTCTTGTCCGCGTCGCTGCCGCCGGTGGTCTTGGCCGGGCCGGCGCTGACGGTGACGACCTTGGTCTTGGTCACCTTGGTGACTGGCGTGGTGGCCGGGACGCCCGGGGTGGTGACCTTCGTGATGGTCTTGGTTGTGACGCTGCCGATGGGGCAGTTGGTGACGGAGGCGGGACACTTCGTGATGGTGTAGGTCTTAGTGAAGACGGTGGTCGAGGGCTCGTTGTCGTTGTTGCCGTCAACGGGGTTGGTGGGTGTCGGGTTGGGTGCGGGAGTGATAACCTTTGTCGTGACCTTCGTGGTGACGCTGCCGATGGGGCAGTTGGGGACGGAGGCAGGGCACTTGGTGATCGTGTAGGTCTTTGTCAGGACGGTGGTTTGGACGTTCGGAGGAGTGGTCTCGTTAGGGTTGGTAGCTGGCTTCGTGATGTTGTCCTCGACCTTGGTCGAGACCTTGTCGTTGCCCGCGGTGGACGGAGTCGTAGTGGGAGTGACAGGGCAGACGGTGGTTGAGATCGCGATGGTTCTAGTTACTACGGCGCCGACGGGACAGTTTGTGACGAAGGGGGGGCAGGCGGTAACGGTAGAGACCTGAGTAGTGTAAACGGTCGAGGTGGTTAACTCAGCAGCGGTGGAAGGAGAGACGACAGGGGTGGAGGAGATGACGGTTGTCTGGTTCCAGTTGTTGGTGATGGTGGTGAAGCCGGTGGCGGTCGCAGAGACGGGGCCAGTGGCCAGGTCCGTGACGGATCCGGTGGCTGAGGCCGCGGCGGAGGAAGAGGATGCAGAGGAAGAGACGAAGACGGAGGAGGAAGCGGACGCGGAATCGGAGGAGGTAGAAGAAGTGAAGGCGGATCCCGAAGTACTGATGGCCCCCGAAGCCGATCCGGAGTTTTCAGTAGCAGAAGCGCTGGCGCTGGCGGAGCCTGAAGCCGTGGCCGAGGCACTGTTCGAAGCAGAGATCTGAATCGAAGTAGAACCAGAGGTAGATGTGGATTGAGAGTCGCTGGCAGAAGCAGACTGGCTCTCAGAGAAGCTGACAGAGGCAGATTGAGATGCCGAGGTGCTGACAATTGCAGAACTAGTAGATGTAGTTGCAGAAGCTGGCTGAGAGGCAGAGTCTTGGGAGATAGATGCGCTGGCAGAGGCTGAGAGAGAAGTCGAGGCGCTTGCCGAGGTCGACGTGGATGCAGAGGCGGTGGACGTCGTAGACTCAGAGGCGGTTGACGTGGACGCAGAAGCAGTCGACGTGGACGTAGACGTGAGGGAAGTAGACGTAGATGTGAGGGTAGTCGTGGACGTAGAGACGGTGGACGTGGAGAGCGTGGACGTGGAGAGCGTGGATGTTGTGGACGTCGACGTAGATCTGGTCGACGAAGACGTAGATGCGGTGGACGTAGACGCAGAAGTGGTGGATGAAACCGGGCTCCCCTCCTTGAAAATGCGGATGTCCTTGATCTTGAAGTAGGTCTCGCTGAAGTCTTTCGGGTTCGCAGCGACGTAGGCAGAGCATTGGGAGTAACCGGTGGACTTGGCACAGCCACTGTTCCAGACGCCGTCATTGCCGGCCAAGACGCCGCAGAAGGCAATGTTGATCACGAGCTTCTGGTCCTTGAAGTTCTCGTTGATGTTGCAGAGGTTGTTGGAGATCAGCATGCTGGGCTGTCCCCAGGAGGACGTATCAGGGGAGTCAGTGTTGACATTGGCGGGAACAGATCCGTGGCGCCAGGCTGAGAGGGTTGTCAGTCATCTCTCGGAATCAATGGGTGTGGAGTACCACTAACCGAAGAACTTGATGTAGTCGTCAGTCCACTCAATGGCGTCTGTGAAGTTTTAGAATCCAGAATTGATAGTCATGTTTGACCGTATCACTCACAAACACCACCATCAGGGGAGGCATAGGGGTCGGCGGAGTTCGCGACGGAGACGCAACCTTGATTGGAGTACTGGCCGGGTGCGTCCTGGTCGCAGTTGGATGTCTCGATCTGAGCACTCTGGCCAGTTTGAGTGATGAGACATCGGGCATTCTTGGTGTGTGCAGCAGGCTTGTTGAGAGGCTGTGATGGTTGGTTAGTCAAGGTAATTCAGGGCAAGTACAAAGTGTTTACATTATCGTTCCAGCCCTCAAACCAGTCAAGCTCTCCCTTGATGGGCCATGGTTCACCGTAAGACCAACTTTGCTTCTGTTAGCCCATCATCCATATATGTTCATGCTCGAACTTGAGAACTCACAAGGCAGGCCAAGCTCCGCAAACAGGCTTGGGCAAGTGGTTGAAACGAGCAACAATGAGACCCTTGTTATAGACGACCTTGCTCTCAAGCCTCACACTAGAGCGACCAACACCGGGGAACTGGGTCGTGTTCTTGCTGTCGACTCCCAGAAAGATCTCGCCGTTGGCGGCGCTCGCGAGGCCCGCTGCCTGGGCATCGACCTGAGTTCGGTAGTTGAGGTAACCCGAGGTAGGGTCGACGTCGTTGTAGTTGCCGGTGCCGTACCTGCTTTCGAAGAAGTTGAACTTGCTGAAGAAGTTTGTCGAGTCGTACGTGTCGGACAGGGTGAACTGCTTCGCGGTGACGCCGGTGGCCAGAGCCAGGGCAGCGGTGCCGATGGTAACGAGAGAAGGGGCCATTTCAGCGGTATTAGTATTAACGAGAGACTTAGTATTAGTTGTTTATCAACGAAGGACTTGACGAAAGATACGTCGTAGGACGAGCGAGGAAGCTCTGGGTGTTGCTGGACGGCACGGGAGTTGTCGAGGGTGCTGCGTGACGGCAGAAGAAGGCCCTCCGTGTCAGACGGACAAGATGCCCTCTTATGGAGCACATCATGAGTGCCTGGCTGCCTGTATCGTGCTGCTCGCTGGTCAAGCACTTACACGCGAGAAGGGGGCACGGCGGCATAGCGGCACGGGGGCAAGCCAGCCTAGTGAGATTTGGGCTCCTTCTGAGTAGCTGTTAGACCTGGCTTGCTTGCTCATGGCCTAAAAAGGGAAGGTGTATGTCGAATAAGGCCTCACGATGGCAGCTGGGAACACACGAGAGTCCAATGATGCAGACTCGGAGCCAAGCACCGTACAGTCCGGGCACAGAGCCGGTGGAGGTTCAATGCATGCGCCGGATCAGTCGCGGGAAAGGGGCCCGCCCGGGAAATTGCGAGAAAGGCAATGATTGATAGCGATTGGAGGGATCCCGCGATGGCTGCCACACGGCGCAGTGCGATGTGGTCAGGGTTGTGACTGCGTCGGCCGATGTTCTAACCGGAATGATCGGTAGTCTCCAGACTATTCGAACCTGGTACCGGCAGCCACGCTTCAACAACAGCCGCACCTGGTAGCGTTGCGGCTATTTTGCTTGTCACAGGGACTTGGCTGCAGCCGTTGTCGACTTACACGTTGCCAGGGTTGTTAAACGCGGTTGGCGTGATGTCTAATGCAGGTACGTGACAACAGGCAGAAAGGGCAAGGGACTTCTCAGCCCCCGCCGCGGAGAACAGTTTATGGTACTTCGGTTTTTCGTGAACGAAGTCCACTAGTCATCAGTTCTTTTTCGACCTTTGCGGTCATAGGGAGTGGGAATCAAGAAACTGTCTCCTCCCGAAACCTCTAGAAACCTGAGACTTCATACTTCGAGTGAGAGGTGGTAGATCTTGATGGCTTCGGTAAATGAAAGTTGATCTGCCAGAGCTGAAGAAGCAAGACATTGGGGCGTCAAGACCTGTCGCTTATATGAAGTCCTAGGGCTAAGAAACATAAACATGGAGAAGGGGAAGAAATATAGGACTGGAAGGGGTTGGGTTTTCGGTTAGTGTTCCACGAGAACTGAGATGTTTAAGCTTGGCCCGATAGGATTCATCGCCGAGTTACATCGGGTCTGACTGCTTCTGAACCTCTGGACGCCAAACTCGGCGATATGATGCTGGACTTTTTAAATCACTCTCATGTGGTCATGCGGCGCAGAAAACTTTAGGCTACATAAGCATTGGGACTTTGGTGAGTCCTCAATGCGGGTCCACGTCCCGAAAAAGATAGGAATAAGATATGTCTTTCCAGATCTAACTTGAAATCGCTCGCGTTGAATCCCGGCGCGTCGCGAGCGGAAGAAACCCGACTGAATGGAAACGAGACGCCATCGTGCACGGAAGACTGTCCACTAGAACCAGCAGAGATGTAAGATACTGCCGTCGAGCGCTAACCACGGAGTGTTTACCGAAACAGGGGATTCGGGGACAAAGGAACTAGACACTTGCGTGGCGTGGAATGGCATGAATAGCACAACCGCGCATCGAACTACTCAGGAGGTTTGATTGACACTGGTGTACAACCTAGAACGTGCTATTGAAGGCGAAACCACTCGGCTGGGCTGCCTTGGGGATGCCAAGAGGCGGAAAAGCCATGAACGATAAAAATCGATTTGCCGGAAACATGTGGCTCTGAGATGTTTCTGCTGAATAGCGTGGCGGTCGCTAGAACCAACTTCAGCCCACAACTATCAGTGCCCTGGCGGTTCTATTTTCCGGCTGGACTGAATACATGGCTGACTTCTTATTTTCTCCTGTCAACTTGACCTCTTTCAGTAAATGTTCCGGGGACTTCGCTAGCTAGCCGCCGGACGTCCGAGATGCGTATGCAGAAATGCATAGAGCATTGTTTAGAAGCGGAGGATGTAAATCCATGGAGGTCATTGCTGCTTTTTCGCAAGTGCCTCCTCTGTCCGCTGTGGTCTGCAGTCTGGTTAGCTTGGCTCAACCATTGCAAGGCTCGTATTGGGTAAGATTATGCATGGAATTTCAGACAAGTTGAGAAGATATAGTAACGCGGTGTTTGTCGGCACTGCACCACCAGGTCAGGGACAAGTCCCTTCGCTTCAAGGTGCTTCGCTGGCCCCGCGTGCGTCATCATGGTCAAAATACAAAGGGAAAAAGGCAAGTTTCATCCAACTTACAGGATAATGGTGCTTAAGAGCATGGGTATCTTTGTTTCGTCGGCTGCCGAAAAGGTATTCTCCAGCATCACGTCTCGGGTCTGAACTTTCCGCGCTTCTCCTTCATGGCTTCCACCTTCTTTCGGTCCTCGTCGAATCTCTTCATCAACTCGGCCTGCTCCGCCTTGCGACGCTCGCGGAGCTGGAAGCGGTAGAAGTCCGTCGTCTCTGCCTTCTTCTTCGCCGCCTTGTCCACCATCTTCTGCCGAGCCTCCTCGGCCTCGCTCTTGTTCGCGGGCGCGGCACGACCGCCGCGCGTGACCGTGACGAAACCGTCCTCGTCTGGCTCGTTGCGTAACCTCTTGGCCATCTCTTGCGCCTCCTTCTCCTTGCGATTGAAGACGTTGAAGAATGCGTGGACGGACTTCTGCGTCGCCGCCTTGTCGCAGCGAGACAACTGCAGATGAGCTGAGATCCACTGCGAGCCAAGTTCAGGGAGGTCTTCCGAGACGCCCTCACCCCAGACTGGGTACTTCTTTGACTTATTCGCCTTTTTGATCGCCTTCAGGACGAGCTCGACGCTCTTGTCGTCGGCCAAGAGGACGATGGCGCTGCTGCCGCTTTTCCGAAGCCTCCTCGTCCAGATATCCGGCAAACGCGCCACCTCTTCCTCCTTCGCTCTATCCTCGGCCTCCTGTTCGCCGCGCTTGCGCTTCTTGCCGAAGTTCGAAACCTTCATGGCAAAGGCAGGGTCGATAGCGGCGGCGGCCTTGCGTTCATCCTCGAATGCAATGCCCTCAAAACGGCCGGGGCCGACGAGCGCAGCAAAGACTTGACGGAAGTGAGCTTCGGTGCTGTCGACGGGAACGTTTTTCAGGAAAAGACTCCTGTCGTCAATCTCGGTAGGAATTTTGGGCGCGTTCCGACGGACGCGAATCTCGTGGAGGGCGTTCACGGGGCATGACGGCAATCCCGGAATTTTGACAGGGAGGATGACGAAGCCATCTCCTGGTGATTCAACTGGTGACATTTTGGCGGCGGTGTGAGGGAGGCGCGCGACACCGGAAGTTGGCTTGTCGTTGTCTACGTCCAAGAATGAATGCAGCTGCCAAAAATCTCGTTGGCGAGGAAGAAAAAAAGCTGCCCGCTTGGGTTGTCTTTCTTATCGATAAGGACCCACCCTACGATGTGGTCTGTGCATCATTTATCTGGATGCATCGACAGAATTCATCTCTGCAAACACGAGCCAGATAGAAAATCATCAATCTCGACTTAGGCGGAAGATGCTGCGATTTCTTTTCTAGTCCTTTTACTCTTTTCATTTTTGGGCCTACTTATCTGCCACTTCATATCCTATCATATTTCAATTGCTATCCTTCCAATGCCACGGCTCACGCAACTCAACATGGAGTCTGCTTTCTCTTCAGGAGACAACGCCGTGCCTCTGTGATCGACACAACCATTCTTGAGCACCACCTTACATGTCCCGCAGTTGCCAACCTCGCAGCTACTTTCCAGATCTCCAATCTCACGCTTGATAACCTCAAGTAATGTTTCCTCCTCACCTACCTGAAGCACCTTGCCGTCCCGATTCGCAACCTCCACTTCGAACGGATCGCCGGTCGTGTCGGCGGCGAAGGCTTCATAATGCACGTCAGTTGCATCGAGGCCACAATCGTCCGCCGCCTTTCTCACTGCCTCCATCATCCGCGCTGGCCCGCAAGCATATACGTGGCTGTTCCACTTCAGCGTCTTCATGATTTCGCTAATGTCCATCCTCTCCCCCTTGGAGCTGTCGTAAAGCCTAGCGCTTCGGCCAAATGGCTCAAGGCGTGCTCGAAATGGCACGTCGTCCCCGGAACGGACGCCATAGTGCAGCTCAAAGTTGTAATGAACCTGGTGGTAGGCCTCCATGAGAGATAGGAAGGCGGTGATACCGATGCCACCGACGATGAAGACGTGATTGCTCGAGGCGCTGGCTACCTGCACGTCGGTGGTGATCCTTCCAACCTGAACGACGTCGCCGACCTTGGCGAATTCGTGGAACCAACGGGAACCGCCGCGGCTGTTGTTCTCGAGTGCGATACCAAGCTCGAGCTTGTCGGGGTTTCCCGAGACGATGGAATAGGACCGCAGAAGTCCGTTCGGCAGCTTGATCTTTGTGTGAGCGCCCTCTATTTGATCCACTGTTTCGACAGGCGGATTCATGGCCTCTAGAGTGATAGAAGCAACCCGGGAGGTTTGCTTCGTCTTCTCGACGATCTTATAATCGCGCCAGACATCGCCCTTCTCCTTGGCCTTCTTTGCCTGCGCCTCTGCCTTGGCTACCCGTCGCTGGAAGGCACCACGGCTCTCCTTGCCCATATCTTCAATCTCCGCCAATTCCTTGTTCATAGCCAAATCATTTTGATTCCTATGCAGGAACTCTTGCACTCTCTCGATCGTCCAATTGGGCCATTTTCGTTCGACAAGTCGGATCTCGTCCCCTGCCTTCACGGTGCCTTCCTTCAAGACTCGGTAATACCAGCCCGTCCTGCTCGTCTTGTATGTGTTCGGCGCGAAATTCTTCAATTGGAACCGGTGGTTCAGCTTGAAGCACGGCTGTCGAGGCAAGCTGACCTGGAGCACGACCTCGTCGCCGACAGCGATGACGTCGCCGATGCAGACGTTGCGCTCGTTCATGTATTTGGTGACGAAGTTCTCGCCGAAACCGCCCGGCTTGAAGCGGTCCGCCGCCGTAGGAAATTCGCTCTGCCATCCAGGGTAATGCGACGAACAATCTGAGAGCCTGTTGTAAGTGCTAGGCCTCGTCGCTAAGGACGAAGGGGGTAGTGCTGCTCACATCCGTGGATCGCCTTATCTACCCCTCCATGAAATGTCGGGTCGTGCTCGTCATCCTCGAGACCCAGGAATGAGACGCGTATGGGTCCTTCGCGCAGGTTTTTGTCTATGCCCGACTGGATCTGCAAACCCGGCATCTTCTTCATGGTACTTGTTCGGACCTCCAACAGAGTGTCCTGGATGAAGGGAGCCCGAAGGTCAACATGTTCTGAGGCGCCCATGATGCCAATAGATTCCTCAGAACGACGGGATTGGGTGTGGCTTCAATTGGTGTGTAGAAAGCAAAGAGGAAAAAGCTGTGGGCGGAAATTCACAGATCGGATGGATTGATCTCACGTCCGGCCGGAATGGTCGATGACATGCCGAGGGCATGCCGTGTGGACATGGGAATCCTACACTGTAGCCCGGTCACTCCAGACCAAAATTCATGTCTGCGGGTCCAAAATACACGGCTTACTAGATAAGGTATGCAGTAGTAAGATGCATGACCGGGCTCAGGACGGTGGGGTGGATAGCGGATTGATAACTCAAACCCCGGCTTTTCAAGGAATTTCGATGACGGCAGTGTAAGCAAATTGGCCAGGAAAAACTCACATGCGTATGCTGCAGGGACGGAGCGTGGGAGGAGATATCAATTGTGCCCTTTCTAACAGGAGTCACATCACTGGCCAGGCACTAACATGGAGAAGCACCTGCGTTAGCCACCTACCTGAAAGGGCTTAGTTGGTATCTTCTCTGCAGCATAGTAAGTCGGGATGTGCCGAAGCACCAAACGGAGAGATCCCATTTATGACTGTCCTTCGAAGTCTGTCTAGGCAAATTCCACAGAGAAGATGTAAGTCATAGGAGCTATGGGAAGCAGGAAGTATGCGATACGCAGAACAGAGCCATATGGTGTAGTTTCCTAAAGAGGCAAGAAGCTAGTAGGAAGCTGGCTGGTGTTCTGATGATGTGTGTGGATACTTCACGGCCGATGGACGCCGGGGTAAGGTAGGCCGATGTGAGTTCAGACTCTGGCGGGGTTACACAGAGGGCAAAAGGACCTGCGTATTATTTACGGGTCTGACCTCATCTACATATCAGGCTATGAGCCGCATCAAAGACCTGTCGAGATCATAAATAGCGGTAGTACAGGGTCAAGTAAACAGCAATTAGTACAGGCACTAAGCGTATGGAATCATCTGGTGTGAGGGATGCTGGAGTGTGTTTTGACGCTCTAGGCCAATATGTTTATTGAACATTGGTGACAAGGAGAGCCCCGTATGATATGAAGAATAGAACTTGGCAACTACTCGCAAAAGCGTGGCCAATCTACATCGTTTTACGATCTGTGAATCCTGGGCTGAGTAACACCGTCGTTTTTGGTCCGTGTTCCGACTTCAGAAAGATTGTTTCATGGAAGCCAGGGTTCTGTTTGCGGTTGAGGTCGTTGAGGGCTTCATGTAAGATCAGCTCCTGCGCGCGGTTTATGGAGAAGAGGTTGCTCCATGGTATTCGGCTGTCTGAAGGGCGATTTACCGCCACTTCGAAAAGTCTTTCACGAGAGTACGAATAACGCATTCAACAATGAGTTTTGCTACCTATAGTAGTCATCTGCAATGGAATTCGCCGCACAGCGTGATGCTGTGAGATCTTTCTGCCCAAAGTCGTACCAACCACCTTGGGCATCAATTCAGATCTCAAATCTGAGACCTTCTGCGCATTTCTTCAAGGCTATTGGAATTTGCACTTTGAAGTGCATTTCCCGGCTGCGATGATTTGCAATCGGATGAGACTTGAGTTCCTGTTGGGAGCCAATTCTGTGTGGGCCGAGCCTGTGTCCCGCCAGACGCAACACGAGGACATCACTTGATAGTCCTCCTTGCCTCATTCGCTGATGTCCTTCAACGACGAATGAGGCAGTGCCACATAGTAGACTCTGCTCCAAAGCAACCAGCAGCAACGCTCCACTGCTGCTTGAGCAGGTGACGATATAATCCACGTGCGGCTGAAGGTTCCAGAGGAAACGATGACAGGTCACTCACCCTCGACGCCATTAGCCTCAATTGGCCGGCCCCCCTTTTCAAGAATCGCCAAGAGATGCTGCATTGCAATGAATGCTCCCTGGATGATCCATCTCCGCAATCAGTGGGCTCGTATGGCAGGCCCACCTCGATGGTGATCTTCGACGCGTTTGCGGGCGCAGTATTGTAAAGTTCAGGCCTGCTTACTTCTTCCACACCGTTCGGATAGGATAATTCGATGCCTTCTCGGGCGTAAGAGTAATTCTGAGAGGCTTGTTTAGTAAAAACTAAGACAGAATTAGAACGGTAAGCAACGGGGGTGGGAACGGCGCAATGCCTGGTAAGAATGACAGGTTCCGACACTAGGTAGTATGGCTGAGGGACCCCGCGTGATGGGGCCTCCAAGAAGAAAGAAGACTATTGTCGTCGATGATAGTAATCTCATTCGAAAGTATGAAGAGCCTCACCATTCCTCTGTAGTATACAATTTTCTGAGGCACGCAGCTGCACTCGGGAAGTGGTGTTGGTGTTGGTGTTGTGTCGAGGAGAAAGAAAGTCGACGAAGCCGGTGTGTGGTAGCGGGGAAAGCAAACTTGACAGGGGTTCGGAGGCAGAGCAGAGCCGCAAATTACATGAGGGAGCGTCCGTACTAACTTATTTTGCTCTGACCGGGAATCCTAGTCGACGCGGCGATCATGGGTTCAAACGCTCCTTCGCTGCGAAAGTGCCCACACAGCCTGATTTTGCGCAATAAGGACAGAACATTCATTTGAGCAGAGCCGCATTCTTTTTCCTGCCGTTACACGAAGCGTTGCTATTGCCAAACGGAATCCCCGTCCATACGGATAGCTACCTAGCCCAAGTTACGTATGCTCTTGCATTGCCTTGGGAAATTGGTCCTCCCACGCTTGCTTCCCAGGAAACCTGAGAGCCGCTACGTATTGGAACGGATCTGGCTCCTTCTCTGCAGCTACTCGCAGAACTATGCGGCTCTGCAAACAGGAATCTTGTCCTTCTTCAGGTAGCCAACGTTGAGGTGGCCTTCTCAGACAATTATTGGGCCAATTGCCTTGTCGTCCTCGACGCCCGATATCGCTAGCTTCGCATCACACGCCATTTCTAATGGCGCCTCCCATCTGTCCCTGCTGGGCGTCGCACTTACAGCAAGGCTGTGTAGCTTTGACCAAGCTGTCTCACTCCACAATGATGAATCCCTGGCACTGGGACGAGACAAGGAACGTCTTGAAGGGGGTGGTTACGGTAAATTGCCGTGGTAGTGTGTTTGCGGCTCTGCTCTGCTCTTCCCCCGGGCGTGGAGGGCGGGTAAGTGTCCGTTCGCTTTCTTCTCTTTCTTCAAGTTCCCTTCTTTACCTCATATATAATATTGAGCTACGTGCCTGCCCTAAATACTCGACCTGCATATTCTCCTGGTTGCCTTACTTTGCCTTGTACTTGTGTGGTGGGCAAATGACACCCCAATCAAAATCGTTGAATTGCATCTCCCGTTCCCTTATGTCGGTTTGCTAACCAACCAACCATCTACTCGTTTTATTTTAATCAGCCGCATGGTCTCGAGACGGTACCCTGGTAGCCGTCGAACCTGCGACCATGCAGCGGTTACCTATTGAAATCATGACCTTTATTGCAAGCTCCTTGGATATACTCGACATATTCCATCTGGGACTTACCTGTCGCCAGTTCAGGTATCTCATTACGAATGACGATATCTGCAGAAACGCACTCGAGGTGGATTGCACAGACTTCCCCATCATCTGGGTCTGACTACGCTGGACTATGCTGACCTGGTGGCTTAGACTCACGCCTCATATTCAGCTGAGCTCCAAGGTGCCCGATCTTCGAAGGAATATGCCCGAACTTTGCGCCGACTGGTCAAGATTCGAGACTCTATTACCACCGCTATACCATACTCTGTCGCTCTTGTGGCATTCGCCGATGACTTCGTCTACACGAGTGGCATGCTGTGCTATACAGTTGGCCGCGAATCGCTCCGCCTCCTCGACCTCCACAAATCTGCGGACACCGAGATCGTCATCGATACCCGCGTCTTACTTCAATCTGTCCCGGAGCAGAACTTCGGCAATAGCAACTACAAATTTCGCCCGATACATTACGCTGATGGCATCGTATCTTGCCTTTATATTCCTCCTAGAACTGAAGGTCGTAGCCACCTCCTTGTGATCGACATCGGAACGAGACAACTCCTCACATGCCACCGTCTCGAATCTCATCAAAAGCTATTTGTGCGCAATGATGGGGATCATTTATATTACGGCACTCACTCGCTGGTGGGTGACGACGGCTTCAAGCGGTGGGTTCTGAAGCGTTTCAGCATCCTCGACAAGAAGTGGGGTCCTGGTCATCTAGACCTTGAAGATCTCGTTGGCTCCGACATTGGAGCCACTGTCTGCTTTGAGATCATTGATGGCTATTTCTATGGTCTCTCCAGTCTGACCAGTTTTGAGGTTTATGAAACCGATTGGACTTCAATCTACTACGGGTTCCGCTTCCCGGTTGGGAGTTCATGCCCACGAGACATGGAACTGACATCAAAAAAGGATATGTGGCGACGTCAACAAAATGAAGGTCCAATTGATGATCGATGGAGCACTTTGGGCCTCGAAAAGGATCCGGCCACGGGAAAGTTCATGGTTGTGGAATGCCGACGAGAATATCTTGTTGACGATTGTTCCAGCACGAGAACTAGCTACAGAACAGAGCTTGAGTTCTCCAACGAGGACGAAGACAATCTTGAAGAGGAGGGAGATGCTCAGGCAAGGACACACCCCTCTTCGCTAACTCACAGAGGCGACAGTGGCTCAACAACACCATCAATCACTCTCACTCACTGCTTCATACGATCATATAACAAGTCCTGTGAAACTTTTATTGACTTGGTCAACGACCCTATTGCAGCCGAGTCGATGGCACAGAGACCTCAGCTACGCTCAATATCCCGCTTGCGGCAGGGCGAAATTTCTCAGCGACAAGGGGAGTCGTTGACCAACACCACTAATAATATCTCATGGTGGCTACCAGAGAATAATGCCCAACAACGCAACGCAAAGCTCGACGAGTTGGATTACATCCTCAATCCCAGGGGCAAGAGCCAACAAAATGTCATCTCAGGGGTGATGGATGACCGTTCCATCGTCTATGCTGTCGGCCCACGCAGCTCTCAAAGCAAGCGACCTTTGGTATTCATTTCTTTCGACCCTTCCATCAAGCTTCGGGGACTCGATCACTGGCCCGGTGGCCCAAGAACAGCGCCTGTACCCTCGGGCGATCACAAGAAGACAGAAGCGAATCCCACCCCGCAGTCCATACCCGCCTCCGCTCCTGCAGTAAGCACTCCCGGCCCATCAAAGTTGGGAGCGGACCCCATATCAGAGACAGGCAAGCCGGAGCTTCCTGCGTGGGGGACAGCTCCAGCCATGTACTCGGAAATGCGCACTCTCGGAACACCTAGTGGCTTCGATTTCGCATATCACGGGAGCTAGCTCGACTTGTTCGAGTTTGCTGGAAGGTGGCCTGGCCTTATCTGCATCTCGACTTATCATGGAAGGTCTAGAGGACTTCGACCGCATGTGTCACAAGGCAAGATCACACTATGTCGACATCAAACGGGCTACCAAGACGAAGATCGAAAAAGTACTTTACGTTTTCGACAGCCCTGGATTTCGAGAAGGATGAGAATGAGGGGAAAAGAGCACATCGGTGCTCTGTGCTCTGTGGTCTAGAGTCTGCATCTCGCTATGGGATGCAGGTAATTCGGCTCAACGCTATTCGGTCGCGTCGCCCAGCTTCTTTGCAGTTCTCATGGTGGCAGGGGGTAAGGGTTGCCTTGTTTCTAGCATCTGGAGTACCTGGGTGGTTCGCACGATACTGTTCGCTGTCCGCCTGTCTAGTCCGAAGCTACTGTCTTACCCCGGCCAGGTGAAGGGTCTGAACAGTTTAAGCGAGTGAACGCTGGCAAACTGGGCCCAGCGCATAGATCAATCGTTTAGCGTATGGAAATGTTTGGTCTTCTCGAGTATCTCTCCGTATCACTGTCTTTGTTGAGATGAACCGCACGTGGCGCGCGTGGAAGATGATCTCCCGCGATCTTCGAGAAGTGCAAAACGCATGTATGAATCGAGCCAGAACATCGTAAGACACTCGCTTCCGTTGAGGGGTAAATCAACCAGAAACCAAGCTATCTTGCAGCGACGAAGAAGCAAATCACCACCTGATCCAGAGAGCCTGCTTCAAATATCGGACATAGCCTGCTTGAGCTTGAGACGCGAGAGGTTCGGAAGATGCCATGCAGCGAAGGCATGTCGAAGCTTAAAAGCCCTCGCATTGCAGATGAAAGTGCAAAACAAAAAGGTCTTGGACCGAACTAGCGGCGTGGTGAAAGCTGCACATTACATTACATACGCGATGATACCTAGGCCAGGCCAGGGGTCGGGAAGTCTCTACATGCGGCTGCCCAGCCCTTCAAGCCCAGACATGATGAGGCTGCGTGACTTGGTTCTACAGCCGAGAAACCGGGGTCGGTAGACGTGCTACTGGTTTCTTCGCATTCAGCATTCTGTCATGTCGTACGGAGATGGCATCCGGCTATCATATGCTCGTCGTTCCGGGCGAAGCTCACCGGGGAAGTTTCCACCCCTGGTTCTTACACCATCAATTCCTTACACCGCACACCGAAGGCTACATCCGGTAGCAAACGTGCAGAAATGGCGCCGGAACAACGGCACTTTCGACATCAGAACCATTCAGAACGTCATTCCAAGAGGGGAAGAGAGAGAGAGACCGAGAGACATCAAGAGCAAAGTGTAAAAAGTAAGTAGGTATGATGAATGATCAGGAGGCCCTCCCCCGCTTCCTGTTTTCCTATCCTGTTGCCGTGCCGCTTGAATTTACACCAAACCGGCCTCATGCAGGTGAATGAGGCTCTTGTTGTTGTGTCACGCGCATCTCTCTGAATACCCCCACCCCTCAACTCTCCTCTCTTTCTCCCTACATCACTCCCTTCCCCCGAATGTCCCACTGGATCGACTCGAAATTCATGGGCAGTCCCTTCTGCGTACGCCGAAACCCCAAATGCAAGTTGTTTCGCGCTTCCTTTATTGTCCTTACGGTCGTTCATTATTGTGCCTTTACCGGCACATGTTCAGGCGAAAATCAAAGAAATCTCGGTCATGGGTGGGGGGCGAGAATGTCATTAACTGTTCAGCTTCACGTAGTTGCCTGCAAGCGGTCAGTCAGTCTTCAATCTCACTGAGACGGGGAATTTTAGAAGGATGGAGAAACATACCAGGGAATTGACCAGACTTTCCATTTAGTTTTCCAGTCCACCACTCGTTCTCGTTCTTTGTACGGCTGACAATCTCAATGACATCGTTGGCTCGGAAGCTCAAGTCACCCTCCGCCTGCGCAGCATAGTCGTACAGGGCGGTGACGGTCTCGACAGTGGGTGCTCCGCTGAGACGGCTGGGCTTGGGCTTGGGTGGAGGCGGCTTGGACTTCGCGGCGGCGATGGCAGCCAGACCGGGACTGACGGTTCCTCCGTTGGTCGCGGGAGGTGAGTACGGGGGAGGCGGGTTGACCTCGCCTGCTTCGGCCTGCTTGTTGTATGCGCCGAACTTCGATGTTGTTGCTGTTGTGGAGGCGGCCGATGACGAGGGGCCGGCGGTGAGAAGGGCTTGCGGCTTGTTTCCTTCGATGGTAGGTCGGGTGCCGTACTTGACTGGGGGTCGCTTCTGTCCGGTGGTCTTGAACTTCACGATGGACAACTTCTCGGCCTGTTCTTGGATGTCTCCGCGCTTCTTGTTGAATGCTTCTAATACGTCGAGGGTCAGGTCGAAATAACCGATGTCGCAGTGCTGCATCTTCTCATGCAGCGTGTAGAAGATGTTCAATTGCATGTAGTAGAACGACTGGAAGAGTGGGCGGATGAACTCTTGCTCGAGCTCGAAGAGACGGGGCAGCTCTTCCTTGAGGAGGTCGTTGAAATAGTTAAACTCCTGGGTGGCCTGCTCGACATCGTTCTCCGCCTTCCACAGAGCCTTCTCGTCCTTGGCGCTTCGCTCCTTCTTGTCCTGCAACTTCTTCAGGGTCTGGCGGTGACGGTCGTAATCCAGCTTCTTGTGTTCGCGCTTCGCTGCCGTCTTTCGAATGACCTTGACAACGTCGAGCAGTTCGTTCGCGGGTCGAATCACTCGGCTCTCGATCATCTCGAGCTCGGGCGCCAACGTTTCCTGGAGGTCCTTGACAACGGCCTCGTACTCCTCGCAAGCGCGGATGCCATCGGGGTTTCCCTGGACCTCCAGACTCATGGGATCGGACATGCGACCGGATATGGGCTTGTAGAGCTCGCTCATGGCCTTGCTGAACTCGATCTGGTGGCTGAGCATGCCGTTGATGGCTTCGAAGTATTTCTTGGACTCATCGTGTAATCGTTTCGTCTCGGTCTCGAGCTCTTGGAACCTGCGCTCAGAATCGATGTAGACGGCATCCTTGGTGTGCTCGCCTATGTTGAAGCGGGCTTTGAATTGTTGCGGCGCCTAACGCGAAAGACCGAGAGGTCCAACAGTCAGCAGAAAATCCTGTGTTGCCCGTCGCGCGTCACAGGGCGGAAGGGACGGAAGACCCCTCATTTAGTGGAAACAGACATACCCGAATGACGCTTTTCTGGAAGCCCCGGAAGCTCATGGCGGGGTGGAATTATGGTGGTGATGTATCGAATTATAGAGGATGAAGGTTGTGCCAATGGGGAGAAGCGACGGAGGGGATCGCAGGATAAGGTTCCGAGGTGTTGGGCTGTTTTGACGGTATTCCACGTTCAACCTTTTGAGGACGGGAGTGGGCTTTCGCAACCTGATTGTCGCGCTGGTGACGACGTAGGTAGGGGTGGCTGTGTCGTCAGCTACTGCGCGAAGGCTCTTGGCTTGTGGCGCATGAGGTGCCGAAAGGCCAGGAGCGAAGAAGCTAAGGCACTGGACTGGAGCACTGGGGGAGCTTCGGTAAGTGCCTAAGGTAGGTAGGGGGACCTATTCGGGCGATCGACGGTTGATGACTTTTGGTGGTGATGACGCTCCAAGTTGCCGGTCCCTGAATGTATGGGGAGAAGTAAAAGGAAGAAGATACCCTCCGAGAAAGAGAGAAAAAAGAATTTGGGAATTAAGGTGCCTATCCGAAGCATCAAACCTGGAAATTGTGCAATGCGAAGTGAAAAAGCCAAGCGGGATACCTGGACGTCGAGTAAGTGCTTTACGCAACCCAGGACCTTACTGCTATTGCCCTGGGCACCTTACCTGACCTGGGTCTTACGGCTCGGTCTGTCGGTCGCGGCGAAGCAGAAGCTGGAATGCGGTGGAACAGAAGAAAGGCGACCCCGAGAGCCCGTTTCCACCTGAAGTACGGAGCACCTTAGATTCAAAAAAGACCCCAAGACCCCCGTTCCCAGCACAGGCTCGCCCTGGGAGGCCCGTCCACGTATTTCGCATTCACAGTCGATCGCATGGATGTTAGGTAATCATGTTTTCATTCGGTGCTCGACCTCACTGCGCTGGAGCATCCGCCTTGCCGGAAGGTACCATTCCTGTGGCTGCGATATTACCCATCATCCTACCTTACGAGGCGCGGCCCCCTCTAGGGCTCTGGCTGACTGTCTTTCGGGGACGGGGACCTTCGTGACAGGCGGGTGACGGAACCGAAGCCGAATGCTGGAGGTGAACGGTGGGAGAGGGGTCCACTTCGTCATTCATTCGGTGGGGTCTGCTTCGCTGACGAATCACAGCGTAGGTGTTGTTATCCCCGGGCCCCGGCCGAGGCGGGCTCGGATTAAAAATTCAATAGCTCCTCCGCTTCGAGCCTTTGCCCTGGGATTTTTTCTCTTCTCCCCTCCTTGAAGCCCGTTACTCTTTTCTTCCCTACGCCATCTCCATCAACAACACCATGGCTAGTATCACATCTTCTGCCCTGAGGCAGGCTGGTCGCCTTTGCCGACACTCAACAGTTTCCGCCGCTCCTTCGCGAGGCATTGCTTCGTTGGCCAGGGTAGCGGTCGCACCCACACAGAGATTATCTCAGCAGCGCAGATATGTTTCGGAAACGAAGCGTGATAATGCGCAGGTCAATGTCGAGACCGCCATCAAGCTCGACAAGAAGGACTTCATCGATGTCGTCCCTCAGTCGCCAGACTCACCAAACGTCATGGTTAGCCCCATGGCCGAGGTTTTGAAGCAGGTCACAACAATGGAGGAGGGCCAACGGCCTATTTACCTCGATATGCAGGCCACAACCCCCGTCGATCCCCGCGTCCTCGATGCCATGCTCCCCTTCTACACAGGCATCTACGGCAACCCCCACTCGAGGACACACGCCTACGGATGGGAGAGTGAGGAAGCAGTCGAGACTGCAAGGTCACATATCGCCAAGCTCATCGGCGCCGACCCCAAGGAGATCATCTTCACCAGCGGCGCCACTGAGAGCAACAACATGAGCATCAAGGGTGTCGCGAGATTCTTCGGAAGATCCGGCAAGAAGAAGCACATCGTTACTACTCAGACCGAGCACAAGTGCGTTCTCGACAGCTGCAGGCATCTTCAAGACGAGGGTTTTGAAGTCACATATCTTGCCGTCAAGAGCACTGGCTTGGTCGATATGGATGAGCTTGCTGCTGCCATTCGCCCCGACACGGCGATTGTCAGTATCATGGCTGTGAACAACGAGATTGGTGTCATTCAGCCGCTTGAGGAGATCGGAAAGCTTTGCCGGTCGAAGAAGACCTTTTTCCACACCGACGCCGCTCAAGCTGTCGGCAAGATCCCTATGGACGTCAATGCCATGAACATTGACTTGATGTCCATTTCGTCTCACAAGATCTACGGACCCAAGGGTATCGGAGCCTGCTACGTCCGCCGTCGCCCCAGAGTTAGGCTTGACCCTATCATCAGTGGTGGTGGTCAGGAGCGAGGCTTGCGAAGCGGCACTCTCGCCCCGCCACTAGCTGCCGGTTTCGGCGAGGCGTGCCGTATCGCATACGAGGAGATGGAGGTACGTTCAATATTTTCCTCTCAAAAACCCCTTGCTTTTACCCCTCCGCTTGGATGATGATTCGCTCTACACATGCATGGCTTTCTGAATGTCCGTGACAAGACGTCCGTGTTGAAAAATAGCAACTTTTCTGACCCTATTTCATGAACTGCTCTTTGTTTGCATCCACTCCTTATGAAGCATCAGCTGACAAGAGGCAACAGTACGACTCGAAGCGCATCAAGTACCTGTCCGACCGGCTCCTCAACGGCCTCCTGTCGTTGGAGCACACTTCTCAGAACGGCGATCCCAAGCACTTCTACCCGGGTTGCGTTAACGTATCCTTTGCCTATGTTGAGGGCGAGTCTCTCCTCATGGCTCTGAAGGATATCGCTCTGTCCTCTGGTAGTGCTTGCACTTCCGCTTCTTTGGAGCCCAGCTACGTCCTTCGTGCCCTTGGCAACAGCGACGAGAGTGCCCACAGCAGTATCAGATTCGGCATCGGTCGGTTCACGACCGAGCAGGAGATCGATTACGTGTTGAAGGCCGTCAAGGAGAGAGTGGACTTCTTGCGTGAGCTCAGCCCCCTTTGGGAGCTGGTCCAGGAGGGTGTCGATCTGAACACCATCCAATGGAGCCAGCACTAAATTACGATTTCACGCTATTGACGAGCACTACACATCTAATCTGACATCCTTTACGCTTGGAGTGTGTACGTTTTATGGATGAACTGCGCAGAGCGTCGCCCACACCGCACCCCTCCAACCTGGGGTGCTTGTACTAAAAGAAACCACATTTGAGATACCTTAACAGTAAGCCTTTCGTTTTTGAGCTCAGGGAAATTGGAGTTGGGATCAGGGCGAATGATGAAGGTCAGAAGTTGGCCAGGACAGTCCGTTGGTTGGACGGGATACTGAGGCTCGATGAATCTGGCGTGTACACTGTCATACCTACTTTCTCGGCATGAATGACAATCGGGATGCCTTTTGGGCAAATGTCCACTTGAAAGGTGCCATTGCGTAGCATGCTCTGTTGGGTGAATCGCCAAAGCACCAATGCAGGCAAGGGGACAGCTGCCGGCCTACGAGTCTACGTAGACGCAGATATCATCCATACCGTCTAAGTTGGTAAACGTGCCGAAGGCCTCCATGTAGAGAAGAGACGGTGGCGAACTATCGCAAGGACTGGCGCGGAGGACAAATGCGATGAAATCCAGGCATTTGGGACCACAGGCAGGTACAAGCAGACACGTTGCGCCATTGCCTCATTTGATTGTCTGATTGCCCCGGATACACTTAATCGATCGCATTGCCAAGGCGGGAGGTAGGTGCATCATCGGCCTTTCCTTCAACGGGTTGCAGGCTTGCGATGAGAAGATCCAGAATGGTCCTTATTACGTCTCTTGACGTCTTTTGTGGGTTCACATGGCCAGCGCGACACGTCTCAGTGCTCCGGAAGACAGGCACGAAAGGGTGTTGGGGAGGGGCGAACATGGCGTTTGGTGGTGAAATCCTCAGGTGTGGAAGTCGCGAATGACATCATGGGGGCGACCAGAGCGCCTGGGGGAACGCCCCTCCTTACGTTTCCCCTCCACACTGGCCCCCTCCATACGGTAGCTCCTGCATTTTGGTACGATACAGCTCCAAAATGACATCACATCTTCAGCTTTGGCAGGTAAACGCCATCGCGACTTCTAAAACCAACGAGATTCACATGCCGCTTGCCAAAGCTGGGACTGAGATTGTCTAACATAAATACCGTTTCCCTTCCCACCCTTAGCCTGTAGACCGTTTCTTCACCAACAACATCACCATCACTTCTTCACAAGGCCAAAACAAAGTCACAACCAACCTACAAACACATCAAACCTTTCCTTTCAACAAACCAACTACCATCAACATGTCTGCCAACAACGACAACACTTCCACCATCAAGTCCTACGTCGACTCTGCTGCTGGCGCTGCCCAGAACCTCATCGGCTCTATCACTGGCAACACCGGTGACCAGAAGAAGGGCGAGGCTAAGCAGGACAAGGCTGATGTCGAGCACGATGCTTCTCACGCTACTGCCAAGGTCCCTGGCTTCACTGCCACCGCCTCTGGCGTGACCAAGGACGACCCCGACCGTGCCAGCGGTTCCTGGAACCAGACTGTCGGCTCCGCCAAGGAGACCGTCGGTGGTCTCGTTGGCTCTGAGGTAGGCTTCCTAACCCTTCAACCTGTTTCGAGTAGCCACTAACTTGTGCAGAACCTTAAGCAGCAAGGTCGCCAGCAGAACCTCGAGGGTCAGCAGCAGGAGGCGAAGGGCCAGCTCAACGACTACACATCCGGTATTGGCAGCCGTGTCCAAGGAACCGTCGGCGGTGCCGTGGCCGGTTTGACCGGCGACAAGACCGGCCAGGAGCATTACCAAAACATGCACGATTCTGGCAAGACTCAGCAGCGCGGCGCTGAGCACGACATTCAGAAGCAGGCTGAGGCTAAGCAGTAAACAATGGGCTATATGGCGTTCTGATGGCTATTAGCGATGGTTACGAGTTCGGGACACACGATGGAATTTGATACCCCCCAACACGAGAAAATAATTAGTTTCAAACTATCCTGCAGGTAGCAGACAATACATTTGTCCACCTCATCTTGACCTATTCAGTGTTTGTGATGTTGGCATGTGAATTAATGACTGCTCCATGAGGAGTATTCTTGTCAACTTCCATCAAACAATCCACCCCTGGACTCCCTGTGTATCAAGGATGTTTGTTGAGCTTAGGTAGTTCTGGAACTGACCGAATCAGCCAGACTTTCTCAGACCAACTGTCGCAATAATCATCAATATCTCAGTTACCTACCTATATCAGGTTGTAGCTCATCGCCGAAGCGTGTCGCCTTAACCTACCTTAACAAAATGCGATCCTTCTTCCGTATCCGAATTGGGAAAGTGGGCTGGTGGGCAATTGACAGGTTCCCCGCCGATGATGGGACACTACCTTACCTCGCTTGCTGCCCTGCGAGGTTGAAATGAGGGGAATCCATGGATACACAGGGCAAAGTGCGCTGAAATTATCCGTCGCAATTGCAGATGGCGACAGAGATGAGAACCTATGGAAGGTTTGACTAGCATGCTGCACCTAGCGGTGACCCAATGAGACTAAAGCCCCCGGGTGACCTTGCGGTCGCTGCGATGCGCCGAAACCTGTGCCTTTAGAAGACGAATATGCATGGAATCTGCAGCCTCTGACATCGTCGTGCATTCGCACCTAGTGTTCGGATGGCAGAACGTTGGCGCAGACACGCTGTAAGGTACCTGGAACCGTAATCCACCACAGCAAGACACTGCCCGACTGGGCAGGAAAGACCCGGGCAAATTGCCTTCATTGTCTCCAGCATCCAGCTCAGATGATTCGTCTTTGCTGCACACTTTTTCTGCTTTTCACTGCGTTTTTGACCAACAGATGGCATGTTCAACCCGCCATCATCGTCCCGTTGATGCAGACCGCCTGCATCAGCAATTTCTCCTTCAGACAACGGAACCCCTCGTTCTTCTCCCACCGCCAGAGGAAATGCTGGGTTCCAGGTCCCAACCGTCCCCCGTTCGTCGAATTTCGTCCCACCACCAAAGGCAACCTTCCGGCCGAAGTTTTCCCCTCCGCGAAAGTGCGCCTCGTCTTTCACCACCGACACATGCATCGTGGTGGATACAGTTCGCTGCAAAAAAAAAACGCAAAAAGGGCCCGCGATGACTGCTACTGCTGGTCACACGTTCAGCCTTCGTCCCAGGAAGAGGGTCGGCCCCGTCGGATCGGTCTCGAGCCACGTTCGGGCCACTTGGAAGCCATGCTCGATGCAGAAGTTGTCCAGTGACAGCTGACGTTCCATCCTGCAGGTTCAGGGGAGCGCGCCAACCGTGAGAGCGTCGCATCCACGACCTACGAACGGTACCCGGCGGGACCGTCGTCGGCGCCATTCATTGGCTCATGTCGCCAAGTGGCTGCATGTCGCGAGAAGAGCTGCAAGGGAGTCCGCACCGAAGGAGGGGCAAGAAGAAGCAAGAAAGAGGAGGCATTATCAAACGGCGCAGCATTTGGACCTCTCCTCGGTGTGTTGCGTTGCGTATTACAGACCCTAGCACCAGCCCACACAAGCACACTCGGAGACGTCTTGATTCACCATCCTACCACTGAGAAGCCCTTGAAGCCCTCCCTCCCCCGATTTCGTTTACAAATTTGCATCGTCATCAATGTTGCCGCCTCCTACCTACTTTATTCCGTGTCCGTCCGTATTCTCCTATTCATAACGTCTGACTGCGCTGCCTCTGTCAAAGCCGTCGTAGACTACTACTATTCACACACATAGACCCTTCTCTTGACCACCGCGCATCCTGTCGCATAATGTCGGCGTAGTCTCACCAGTCGCACATCATACACACGCTCCCAAAATGGCCGAAAGCGAGGGGCGCCAGTGGACGATTGTCCTGGTTTTAACCGCCCTGCTGCTTTCCCTCGTCGTCCTCTCACAGATTCTAACAACATACGTCACGGCTTACCGTCTTGCGCCAAACGAAATCACCTCTTTCATCGATGCTGTTGACTTCTCCATCGAGGAGAACGAGAGTTACGACCGCGACGTCGCCAAAGTTCAGCGCCTCGAGGATAAGCTGCGCCTTGGCCGCCTTCTGCGCGAGATCCAAAAGGGTGGCGATGACCTACGAGAGCAGATGAACGCGATGCTCCTCTCCGACGACACTACCACCCTTCGTACCATCGATCGCCTACTCTGGGCGAACAGGCGCCGCGACCTCGAGGACCGAGTACGCAAACTCGACCTCGTGCGAATGCGCTTCCTCGTTGTTTATATGGGTGTCGTAGCAGAGAGGGCAAGCGCAACGCCAGAGAAGCCTCCAACAATGCCAGTGACACCACCGAGAGATCTGGAAAAGTCGCCGCTGGCATTCACGCCGCCTCTGGACCAAACGAAGGCAGGCTTGACGCGTGCGCTGACAGAGGAGATCCGGCAGAAGCCGCCTCTGCGGAGGTTGACCACCCAGGCTCTCGGCCATCGCGAGGATACGGTTCCAGGTCACAAGATGGGGTGGGCGGGTGTTGTCCAGGAGTTGCAAAGAAGCCCCAAGCTGCACAAACGACGCACTTCCATCGAGAGGTCTATCGAGGAGGAGCTGTCCAAATCCAGGCTGAGTCTCTGACCATCAAGTTTGGCACGGTCATACGAACCACGAACCGATTCATCAACTTATGACGCCAGGTTATTGGCATTTTACGACTTATGATATCACGTATGCATTTACAACAAACAGCATCATGCCTTCTCCCATTCAACGCCGGCCAGGGAGCGGTATGCTTTTATGACACCACAACATAGAACTCGGCATCATTATTCGCCTGGTTTGGTTCCAAATCTGCGCAGTTTCGTTGCAGGTTCACCTCAAAAAGAATTGGGTGGCACGTGAGGGGTTTTGTGTGATTTGGGAGATTCCGAAAAGAATGGAAGTGGTGGGAGGATTATTTGTCTTTTGGTTCATGCTCCCGGGAGGATTAACACCACTTCACTTAGATGAGATACCCCTTTCCACAACCTTGTTAGCCCACTTAGCCATTGTGGTCTACTTCACACTACACTTTAGTTAGTTTTCGCTTTTCCGTATCTTTTACCTACAAGCCTCCTTCAACTAAGACTTACCTTTGGGTGATATTTGGTGATCTACTCTCCCGGTAATATCTCATCAGTGAGCAGGAAGCTTCATGTCATCAGGACCAGTGCTGTTCCTCTCCCCAACTGTGGTTTCGTTAGACATAAACCAAATGTGATGTCAGAGAGTTGGCTTACCATCGAGAGCCACCAAGAACCGGCTCACACAGTTGTAGCAAGCAACCTGTAACACTCATCAGCCCGGAATCCAACTCACTCACACCTCGAATCAAACTCACCGTCGTGGTAATCTCGACAACCTCCCTCTCGTTGAACAGCCCCTTCAACTTGTCAAAGGTCTCGTCCTTCACCCTCACGTTCCTCGTCATCTCGTCCGAGTACACAAGGACGGTCCACTGCTGCTCGCTCAGCACCTCGGGCCTGGCGCCCAGCTCCAGCGGCGCCTCCGTCTTGATGGCGTCCATGGCCTCGGCAGACACGCCGGCGGCGACGGCGAGGGGCGCGTGGTGGCCCCACTCGTACCAGGCCTTGTTGACGACGGCGACGCGCGAGATGGCCAGCTCGCGCAGGTCGGCGCCGATGGTCGTCTGCGTGCGCACGGCGCCCAGGAAGGAGTTCCAGCCGTCGGCGACGGGGGGCGCGTGCAGGAGGGTCAGGTCGAGGGCCTGGAGGGGCCGCGGGGCGCGGCGGGCCTGGATCCGAGAGACGATGGCGGCGTCCTCGGGGGTCGTTGTGGGCGGGGGGTTCGGGACGTAGGGGAGGCGCATTTTGAGGGGTGTTGAGGATTTGAAACCTTTAGATGGTGGTGTTGTTGTTCGGAGGGTTTTGAGCAGAGTCGGGATTCTTAAGACTCTTGAGGATAGCATGAAATTGTGTCCCGGGTTATGAGAATATATACTAACAAGTCACGAGAGGACGTTCGAGCGTGAGGATGCACCAGGTTCATGAAGCTTAAATGTTTGGAGGGGGCGGGGTTGATGGGCGCCGGCGTGTAAGTCCCGTCTCCACATCCCGAAAATCGGGCGGGCCGACGAGCGTTCTTCCACCCCCTCACGATGGGATGCCCGGTTGAATGCTGTCCCGGGCGGCGGCTAAGGTCCGGTAGCGGTGGTGGGAACGCTGTGAATACCTTGCGGGTTCGTGTGGAGAGTGCTTGGGGGTGACGTGCAGGAAGTATGGAGATGGGGACGGGTTTTTTGGCGGTTGAGAGTTCCCGTGCAGAAGTCTAGCTTCGTGAGGATCCAGAAGAATCAAGTGGTAATTTTGGATGTGGAAGATTGTTACGATGTGCTCTATGAATATGAGTGGTATTCTTGGTTGGGGAAATTGTGACTAGAGGAACATAGCTTATTTGAAAATATTAGAAAGGATGAAAACACTTATAACCTACCTAACTTCCTCACTTGCCTCCGCCTGTCTGTTCTAGAGATGTGGTAATCACCGCGGACTACCTCATATGACCTGAAGAGACGACGGGAAGTAATAGGGTTTAAACTCTTGTGAATTTGAGTTGCGATTGCCTCTTGTTGACTGATTAATAAAAATGCTGTCGGTTTTACCAACTCCAAACTCCCATCTATCTTCGTAGAGAGCGGGAGCTCTGACGTCGACCCGAAACTGAACTGGAGGTGCCTTTGCAGGTCCCTTCAGCACCTCTGGGGCGAGCTTTCCCCCTAACAGTCAGCGTACCCCGGCATCTCTACTCTGTACTGAGCGTGCTGCGACGCGATCACGTCACGTGGTAGGCAGCTGCGAGGGATCCACTTAAGTTCCTGGACCTTGCACCCATTTACGCGTGGATTTTTGCTCGCGTCGACCCGGCAGCGAACCTCTCCGTCTCCAACCCCCTTCTCTCTGCCATCACGCCCAGTCACTCGATCACGCAGCGACGATGGGGGATATCAAAATCGACAGCAAGGCGTTCCACGACCGCCTCTCGCGCTTTACCGGCGCCTGGAAGAATGACTTGCGCTCCAAGGATGGCGTCTTCAATGGCGCCTCGTCCATCGTCGTGATGATGGGCAAGGTGGAGGAAGTCCCGGAGCTGCACAAGAACAACGCCATGCATGTGAGTCGCCTCTCTCCCTTGCTCACAACCACCAAGACGGGGGAAACTGCGACGCGACGTGGTCGATTGCGCTCGACCAGAGAAATTGGGACGATGGACTGACACTTTTTGTTACAGTTTTGGCTTCTTGGCTACGAGTTCCCCACGACGATGATGCTGCTGACGGCCGACACGATCTACATCCTGACAACGGCAAAGAAAGGTGAGAAGGCACTTTCATCAAGTGCGCATGCATGTGGCGAGTTTGGCTGACATTTTTGCAGCGAAGCACCTTGAACAACTGAAAGGCGGCCGGTTTCCCCTCGAGGTCCTCGTTCGAGGCAAGGACGCTGCCGAGAACGAGAAGCTGTTTGTCAAGTTGGCAGATGCCATCAAGTCCGCAGGCGTGAGTCATTTCCTCATTGCGCCCAGGCATCAATCGCCGCTAACAACCACGTCTACAGAACAAAGTCGGTACCATTGCCAAGGACACCTCCAAGGGCCCCTTCATCGAGGAGTGGAAGAAAGTCTTTGCAGACCAGTGCAAGGATGTCGAGGAAGTCGATATCTCCCAAGCCCTTTCCCAACATGCGTTTTCGATCAAGGACGAGACCGAACTGCGAGCCATGAGAACCGCTTCCAAGGCTTGCGTTGCCTTGATGACCCCCTTTTTCCTTGAGGAAATGTCGGACATTCTCGATAAGGAAAAGAAGGTCAAGCATAGCGCTCTGGCGGATAAGGTTGACAAAAAACTCGACGATACCAAGTTTTGGAAGACCGTCGAGCTGCCCAACAAGACCAAACTCCCCGCGGATCTGGATCCTGCTCAGCTGGATTGGGTTCTGGGCCCCCTCGTTCAGAGTGGCGGCAAGTACGATCTGAAGATGAACTCGGAGAGCAATGACGATGTTCTTCACCCTGGCACCATTGTCGCAGCCATGGGCCTGCGCTACAAATCGTACTGCTCGGCTATTGCCCGCACATACCTGGTTGATCCGAACAAGTCGCAAGAGAGCAACTACAAACTCCTCTACAACGTTCACAATATGATTCTCAAGGAGGTACGCGATGGCGTCGTCATCAAGGACGTCTACAGCAAGGCCATTGGCATGATCAAGGCCAAGAAACCCGACCTGGAGAAGCACTTCTTGAAGAACGTGGGCTGGGGCGTTGGTCTGGAGAACAGAGATCCTACCTTGATTCTCAACGCCAAGAACTCCCGAACCCTAAAGGATGGCATGACGCTTGTCATCACGACCGGACTCAGCGATATCGAGAACCCCCAGCCGCAGGACAAGAACAGCAAGATCTACTCTCTTGTGATCACCGACACGATCCGCGTTACGTCGAGCGAAGCCGTTGTTTTCACTGGTGAGACCCCTATCGACGCGGACTCGAATTCCTTTTTCTTCAAGGATGAGGAAGAGGCTCAACCCACGCCGAAGAAGGAGAAGAAGGACTCCCGAGTTGGTGCTGTTGCTACTAAAAACATCACTTCTACGAGGTTGAGATCCGAAAGATCCACACAGGTTGATGAGGATGCGGACAAGAAACGGAGGGAGCATCAGAAGGAGTTGGCTGGAAAGAAACAGAAGGAAGGTCTCGCGCGGTTTTCCGAGTCAACAAGTGGAAAGAACGGCACCGAAGTGAAGAAGTTCAAGCGCTTTGATTCGTACAAGCGCGACAACCAATTCCCTCCCAAGGTTCGGGACCTGCAGATCGTGGTTGACGCGAGGAACGACACTGTTGTGTTGCCTGTCATGGGCCGCCCCGTCCCTTTCCACATCAACACTATCAAGAACGCCAGTAAGAGCGACGAAGGCGAATGGTCGTTCCTGCGTGTCAACTTCTTGTCGCCTGGTCAAGGTGTCGGACGCAAGGATGATCAGCCGTTTGAGGATGCCTCAGCGCACTTCGTGAGGAGCTTGACCTTCAGGTCGACAGATGGCGATCGATACCAAGAAATCGCTACCCAGATCTCAAACATGAAGCGAGATGTGAACAAGAAGGAGCAGGAGAAGAAGGAATTGGAGGACGTTGTCGAGCAGGACAAGCTCGTCGAGATAAGAAGTAAGTTGAAACCAGCATTGGACGTTTTCCGATATACTGACTTGAATCTTCAGACCGTCGCCCGGCCGTGCTTGATAACGTCTTCATTCGCCCCGCGATGGAGGGCAAGCGAGTTCCTGGAAAGGTGGAAATCCACCAGAACGGTATACGCTACCAATCGCCCTTGAGCACTCAACAACGAGTCGATATTCTTTTCTCGAACGTCCGCCATCTTTTCTTCCAGCCGTGCCAGCACGAGCTGATTGTCATCATCCACATTCACCTGAAGGATCCCATCATGGTCGCCAACAAGAAGAAAACAAAGGATGTCCAATTCTACCGAGAGGCGACGGACATCCAATTCGACGAGACAGGTAACCGCAAGAGGAAGTACCGCTACGGTGACGAGGACGAGTTCGAGCAAGAGCAAGAAGAGCGCCGTCGTCGCGCTGAGCTCGATCGTCTGTTCCAGGGCTTCGCCCAAAAGATTGCCGAGGCTGGCAAGAACGAAGGCATCGAGGTGGATGTGCCCATCCGAGACCTTGGCTTCCACGGTGTGCCGTTCCGAAGCAACGTGTTCATCCAGCCTACCACTGAGTGCTTGATCCAAGTTGTTGAGCCGCCATTCATGGTCATCACGTTGGATGACATTGAAGTTGCTCACTTGGAACGTGTGCAATTCGGTCTCAAGAACTTTGATCTTGTCTTCGTTTTCAAAGACTTCACCCGCGCACCATACCACGTCAATACGATTCCCGTCGAGTTCTTAGACCACGTCAAGGAGTTCCTGGACTCGTCAGACATTGCGTACTCGGAGGGTCCGCTCAACCTGAACTGGCCGACCATCATGAAGACGGTCACCGCCGATACCCATCAGTTCTTCATTGACGGTGGTTGGTCGTTCCTCCAGGCCGAGTCTGACGACGAAGGCGGCGATGAAGAGGACGCCGAGAGTGTCTTTGAGCTCGATGACGATGAGCTTGACGAGGCATCCGAATCTAGTGAAGAGGACTCCGACTTCGGCTCTAACGTATCCGATGAGGAAGACGATGCCGAAATGAGCGACGAGGACGAGGGCGAAGACTGGGATGAGCTCGAGGCCAAGGCCAAGAAGCGTGATCGCGAGAGCAACCTCGATGATGACGAGAGTCGCGGTCGCAAGAAGAGGAAGCACTAAGCAAAACGGCTTCGTTATCGTGGAGCATGATTTCCACCGGCGGCGGACCGCAGATATAAACAGAAGCAGTCCCATTTCGAGCAGTGTTTCTTCTATCAATGTATCAAAATTGTGTAGGCGTCTTGGGTTCAGACGAGAGAGGGGTTTTGGCAACGACAGATCTGCCGTCTGCGAGCTGCAGAGGGATCTGGCAGATAACTTTCTTATTAATCAAGGACTTAGCGATGAACCCTCAGTATCGTTTCCAAGTGCTCAATGTCTGTGACCCCATCACTGGCTAGTTCACCAACCGGTCGGTCAATGAATGATTTGTCCTTGGTAGCGGTAAAAGGTGTTCAAGATTGTCAGGTGAATGAATGAATGATCGGTCTTCTCCCCAGTTTCGGACCATCTGTTTCATTCCTATCACATCGGAACATACGTACACACAAGTATCAATCACTTGGAACAATTGTGTCGTTTTTTCTCAAATGTTGATATGCCGATCTAAGTTCGATTCCCTCCAAACTCCAGAGTTCCTTTCCTATGGTAGGCTAATGACGGTTGGTCTTCTCATTCAGGGTTGCCCACCTCGCCTCGCCTCGCCTATTTAGCAGATTGTGAACAAAAAGCAAACCCGCGAAACAAAAACATGACCCGAACGCAGGAGAGACCACACGGGAAAACGGTGGCCGGTCCATTAAAAACAGTAAGCCCGACGACGAGTTGCTAGTAGAAAGAAAAACATCAAATACCGTGCCGTCGGAGGCTGGTTAGGGGGGGGCGGGAATTCTGTGTTCTGTGTGTCAAACAAGATGACGGTCCCTGGGACTTCCGGAACCCCCCTTTTTTACTCATACAAATTTCATGTCAGTCCGTACAAAAGCAGCGCGCACCCGGGTTTGCCGTTCCCGTGACTCGACTCAACTCGCCAGCCGGCCAGCCAGATATGACGTGGGAGAAACGATGCGATGTTGCCCGACAGATGATGCGGTGATGCTGGGTGCCATTGAGGCGGAGGTGGCGTCGGACACGGAACGGAGGGGGCGCTGCATCTCATCGCGAGCCTTCTAAGCCTCGCCGGGACGCAAGTCGCGACCAGTGGCCGAGGCCGTGCTGGGGCCGGCCTTGGAACCTGGGGCATTGTTCCACGAGAGGTAGGTGTGGTCGCCGAGCTTTCTGCGTGGGGCGTCAGCAAGTTTATTCTTCACATGTGCAGGGCAACAGGAGAGAGGAAGGTTGCCTACCTTGGCCTGATGAGATGGGTGATGGTGAAGACGGCTCCAAGGAGAATGCAGATGCCACCGACGACGATGTACGCGATGCCGAGGAACGGATTGCGGCCACCCATGATGGTGCGTGTCGAGAGCACGATAGACTTAGTGCCCTTGTACTCCGTAGTAGGGAAATCTGCATCTCGTCAGCTGGATCTGCAAAGAGACTTGACCTTGCGGGGTGCTCACTGTCAGTGATGTTGACCTCGTAGGTGCCCTCCTTCATAGCCTCCACGTCATTGCGTTGATACAACTTGCTGAAGCTTGGCAACCCGGCGGTTCTCATCCAAACCTGGAAGGCCTGCCACTGCGCCAGGTTGGGCGGCGGGTTGTCTTCAGTGTAGCTGGGGTACTGGACCCTCCAGTTTGGCGGGGGCACAACGTCGGACGGCTTGTACTCAGTCTTTCCGTACAACGAGGCATCAGAATCCCAAGCGATGCCCGAGTTGTTGGACATCTCATATATAATGTCATCTTGCAACAAGCGAGGCGAGGTGAAGGTGTCGTTGAACATAGAGTTCGCGATCAGACCTAAGTACGCAAGGTCAACAATGCAACTCCGGAGGTGCGAGACAGTTTTCCAACCTACCACAGGGGTAAATGGGCTTCACAGTCCCGTTGACGGTCTCAGTCCGAAGAGGATCGCAGTTAGAGCTTCCTATCTTGCCAGCATCTAACGCGTCTCCCTTCAACTGCTTGTCGGAAAACGAAGCAACGTATCGTCTGTGGTTCTGGTAGAAGTTTGTGAGGTGATAGTAGAACAACACCGGCGGTCCCATGTTCTCGGGGATGGTGAACTGGATTGTGCACTGCTTCGTCGGGTACGTGATGCCGCCGCTTGTCGTGACGTTGACGTCCGTCACAGACCACAGGGCGTTCTTAGTCTGGTCGTTGCTCTTGAACGCGGTGGAAATGTACTTGGAATCCATCACGCTGGGGGTCTCCTTCGCTTGCGAAATGCAGTCGGTATACTCGATTCGGATTTCTTGCACCTGCATCGCGTTTCTTGATCAGCGACCACCCGGCCAAGGGAAGATATTTGTCGGACGTACCTTGGCGCTCGCATACAGAAGAAGTCCGCCGATGGGGGCAAAGATGATTCCTATCGTGAAGAAGAGAGGGAGGACCGTTTTGGGCGTCAGGATCGGCCTTGAACTGTCAGCCACCACTCCAATGTCCGTCGCAGCGATTCGCGATCGCAAAGTCGTCGGAGGACTCACTGCCATGCCTTCAAACGTTGCTGTCGAAACGCCGTATCTATCGCAATGTCCATATCAGCACCAAGTTCGTCGCGAAGGAGAGTCCAGCGCTTCCGAGTCCACCGAGGGCTTCTCTGGCGTTGTTCCGGGGCTTCCACGTACTGGCTGGTCGGCGGCTCTTCTTCTTCTCGTCCTTCTTCCCGGTATCGTGCGAATCGATGGAGTCGGCATGGTTGACACCTTGCGATGGATCGGACATCTTGGGCAAACGTGCACTCGAGGCGCGCGATTGATTCTGGTGTCGGAAAGTAGGTGGTTCGTAGGTTGATGTCGTAGCGGACGACGCGGGTTGCGCAGGACGGGACAGTTCCAGGAGACAGTTGAAGTCAGCCCGTGTGGCTTGGCATTTAGTTCAATGCACGGTTTGGGTTTAGCGCTGTGGCTGAGTGCCCACTCCTATTCATCACGGCGCACATGCAGGCTCCCTTGAAGCTGTTTAGCGTGCTGAAGCGGGTGTGACGGAGAAGGGACCTTCAATATCAGAATCATAGTAGAATTTGGCGTCTATAAAACGCTTGATAATACTTTGAGATGTTTGCATTTATTTAAATGTCTTTCTTTGGTCACAATATGTAGATGGAATGAAGTGCCCTTCATTGTGAGCGCATTGCAAGAAGGTGGCTGCTTGTCAGTGGAGGATTCACATATCCCTGTCACTGCTATTTATATAGAACGGATACTCCACCCACCCGCGCAATCCCATCTTTTTAGATGTGTAGGAAGTAATCTGACTGAAGAGATGTCCAATGCAAAAGGCAAAATTGGAAAAGCGCCGTCATATCAAGCAGGTCGTACGACCAAAGACAAGTGGGATAGGACAAAAATGTTCCGAAACCGAGAATCGAACTCGGGGCTATGCCTAACCTCTCAATGTCATGAGAGGGCATCATGTTGGCCACTACACCATATCGGAGATTGACACAAATTTTGCGCAAAACGTAAGCTATACCCCGCGCCACTCGGAACAACCCAAATTCCGCCCCATAGATCTGTGAGCGATCACGACCGGCAATCTCACGATATCATGTGCTTCATTCAAAGGCGCACATACTTAGGGAGAGTCGGAAATGATTGCGTTGTTCAAATAAAGCCTTGCAGATGCCCTGTCGTTCTGGAATCGCCGATATTACGATGGACGCTCGACCACGCCAGCCCTGACGCTAGAAATCTTCTGGCACGTGCCTCAAAGGGGTTGCTAATAACGTTGATCTGTGATACGTTTCATCTCGTTTACTTGATTGTGACAATTTTGACCTGGCAGAAAGAATGATGCAAGGCGTATCGGATGGAAGAGAGCGGCTTGGAGCTTGTTATGTTTATCAGAGGTACGGCAGCAATGTAGATACCAGGACGCATGCGATACCTTGAAGCCGCAACTTTGTGGCCGAAAGCATGACATCTCAGTAGTCGACCATTAGGTAAAGTGGAAGACGAAGGAAACATGACTGTGTTTTTGGGAATCCCGACTCGGAGGTGACGACTCAGTAATGACATCTGAGAGAGGCGACAGCAGCGACATGAGCTTGAAACGGCACTCCTGAGAACAGAAAGTGGTTCTCAAAGAGCAAGGCTGGGTACGGATAAGGTACACAAGACCCTTGGCTGTCTGAGATGAAATCGACAAGGCGGCGTGGCAGAGAAATGCAGTGAAAGCGGGTGTCGCTCCCTGAGAGGAAGGCGAGACAGGCGAGACAGGTGCTGCTCAAGGGAAGGGATGGGTCAGTGGTTGCCGGGACCCTAAGGCCCGAATGGTGCGTACCAACTTGATCAGCGGGCTATCGAATGAACGAGCCACTGACAGACGAGATTTAGTGAGGGGCATTTGCGGGCAGACGGGGAAGGCCCACTGAAAGCGCCCTGAAATTCCACGGGAAGGCTCTCCGGGCATGATGACATGGCCGAAACCAGGGACCCAGGGTGGCCCGGCATGACCAGTCAAAAACGCCGCTGAGAGCTGCACAGAATCGCAACCGAAGCGGCTTTGGAAGAGGTGGAAGCTGAAGCTGAAGCCCGGACACTTCGGGCTGCAGGGAAGGGAAGCACCAGAAGGCCACAAGACGATCTGTGCGCCTTCTAGAACTCTTCGACGCCCGTGAGTGGCCGGCCGGGGCAGCAAGGCCCCTCAAAAGCTTGGACCCGACACCGTCACCAGCGTACAGGTGCAGCACCTTGTGTGGTGTCTGTCTGCCAATGCCACCTGCTTCCCACAGCCAAAGGGACTGTGGAAAGAGGGAGTGGAGGGGAAGGAGAGGGGGAAAGGAGCACCTTCCGCTCTTTCGTGTTTTTTTTCTGTCTCTTCCATGTTGCTCGTGCTTGTGCTTGTGCCCTTTTACTGGGTTCGACTGGAAGCAGCGAACATGGATGCGTCAAAGGACCCTCCTCCTGATGTAGGTACATACCTACAAATGTATTCGTACTGATACCTCACCTCCTGTCTCCTGTCTCCTGCCTCCGTGCCTCTGCTGGCAGTGAGAAGAAGGTGGTCCCCCCCCCACCTCACCCCCCATCCCAGTGCAATCCCTAAACTGAACCCAAAAAGCTTCCTTCCCTTGGCCTTCCCGTTTTCTGCACTCCCCCATTTCGTGTTTCCATCTTCCATTCTCTTGTCACCTTCCGACCTCCCGTTCTCTGCGACTTGCCCTCGATCCAGACAAGACGCGCTTGTGAGATATTCTCGTGGCATCGTCTCATCTCGCACCCGGAAGACTCGCACCAGAACGAGCCCAGGAACAGCAAGCCTCAACTTGCCACGCCTCCATCGACCATCGACCATCGACCTTCGGTACAGAGTACATGCCCCCGTACCTACCTACATTACAAACTAGCCGCATCCCCTCCATCTGCACTGCGTTGCTGGACCCACGACGTAACCTCTACCTCTCTTCATCCTTTCTCTTATTGTTCCCCTCCTCTCTTCGATCCTCAACCCATATTCCATCCCTTTTGCCTCCCGCCTAGAGCAGCTTCTGTCTGTTGTTGTCTGTCCCTCTTCCTCGGCCCGGTCGACGATAGCTGCCCGCTTCAACACCTCCGAGCTATATCGAGACGCTGTTGAGCTTGCGCCCCATTCTACCCGTCTTCCACTAGTAGGTAGCTCCGTCTGCTATCTCTTCTAGTAAGTAGAGCTTCCCTCGAGCATCGCGCAGCCTACACCCAAGCCTCCATAGTTTCAGTCCCATCTTCTTTGCACCTGTTTTGTCGTCTTGTCTTCTCCAGCTATATTGCATTACAACTCCAGCAAGCCCCTTGTCACCGGCCCAACTTTCCCTGCTTTTAACTCGCAACCTGGTATTCTTATGGCATCGCCTTTGGACTTCTTGCCACTACTCAGAGTCACTTCTTCGCAGCCAATTGCATCTCTACGCCGATCTTCGCTTTTGCATCTTAACCTCCTCATGACCTAGTGGCCAGCGAGTCGTGATCTGCCCTACTGCTGGAGCCTGACCCAGAAGACGAAGTACTGGGCACAGTAACCCCACCAATTTCGCAACATTCTTTGTCTATCACTCTGATGACCTCAGAGGACCGGGCAACCAGTTGTCATTCCTCGTGCCGCTCATAGATCAGAGACTGAAACTGACCACGCATTCAAGTTTTCCAACAACACCATCCTACCAATTCCATTCCCCCATAGCCTCGAGCTTTGCGCCGACTTGCCTACCTTCTCGCAGCAGATCCCACGAGACGTCGACGAATACGAACCGTAACCAGATCTTGTGCGAGCATACCGCCCATAGTCGCCCAACATGTTCAAGAGTCCTTTCGCCAACCCTTTTGGCGGAGCCAGCGACGCACCGCCAGCTGGGGGTAACGCCATCCATCGTGTTATCGAAGAGGAGGAGAACGATACCGTCACCTCCCCCACGTCACCGAACTTTGGTATGAACGCTGGCATGACATTCAGCGGTCCTTTCGGCGGCGATGGTGCAGATGATGCTCCTCCCTCGGCTCTCAGGAGCCCGCCGAACCCCGAGAGCTATCCTGCCCAGTACAACTTCGGTCGCCGAACCTCGGTCTCTGCAGAGTCGCTGAAGCCCAGCGCTGATAGCTACGACAACTGGTCTCCTCCAGTTCATGAGAAGAACAAGGAGCAGCTGGATCGTCTTACGAAGGCGATTGGTGGCAACTTTCTGTTCAGTCACCTGGACGAGGAGCAAAGTGACCAGATTTTGGGTGCGTTGATCGAGAAGCCTATTCCGGCCAAGGGTATCAAGGTAAGCAGGTCACGGCTGTCAGTTTGTTGCACAGACGGGGTCTAACGTTCTACAACAGGTTATTAGCCAAGGTGACGCCGGTGATTTCTTCTACGTGGTTGAGAAGGGATCCTTCGACATTTACATCAACAGCAGTGGAGCTCTGCAACCCGGCTCCGATGGCATGGGCCAAAAAGTCGGAACCATCCAGGCTGGAGGCTCGTTCGGAGAACTTGCCCTCATGTACAACGCTCCTCGTGCTGCGACAATTGTCTCTGCCGAGTCTGGTTGCAACCTGTGGGCGCTCGACAGACTCACGTTCCGCCGCATTCTCATGGAATCGACATTTGCCCGTCGCCGGATGTACGAGAGCTTCCTCGAGGAGGTGCCGTTGTTGCAGTCTCTCACGCCGTACGAGCGATCCAAGATTGCCGACGCGCTGGAGACCCAGAAGTACACCCCTGGCCAGACAATCATCAAGGAGGGCGACCCGGGCCACTCCTTTTACTTGCTCGAGAGTGGCGAGGCTGCTGCGTACATCGGCGACAGCAAGGAAGCTGTCAAGCAGTACAGCAAGGGAGATTTCTTCGGTGAACTTGCACTCTTGAACGACGCTCCTCGCGCCGCTAGTGTCGTCGCAACGACAGATGTCAAGGTTGCAAGCCTCGGCAAGTCGGCCTTCCAGAGGCTTCTTGGCCCCGTCGAGGGCATTCTGAGACGGACAAAGTACGAGGTGGTAAAGACGGGCGTTGAGGAAATGGATCCTCTACAGGCGGCTTGAACGGACGGCAGGCAGGGCGGCGAATTTGCGTTTTTGGAAGATTGGATTGCGGCTTTGGGAAGGTTGACAATAAATGTGAAGGTTCATTCATGATGGCGTTAGTGGATCCCTACCTTCGCTTTCCTAAAAGGCATGGCTAGTGACGTCCAGATACCTGTTAGTAAAGAGTATTTTATCCAGCATTCTAAACAACAACTCGCAGGGGATATGGAACATCCCAGTGGTATCATTGATATGGATAGGTGTTGTTACAAAGAAGCGGGAAAAGGCGTCAATCATGAGGCGAGCGAGGAGACATCAATGTCTGCGATAGTACCATCTCAGTCTCCTCTTACCCTCATCTTCTCCAATACCTCTCTCCTCAGTTGCTCGATGGCGATCTCTGTTTCCAACGTTCTTCCGACACCCTTTTTCCAATTCTCTTCCAATCCCTTCATCTCGCCTGCGACCTCTTCTTGCTGTCTTCTTCTGGCGACCGTAAGGATATCGATCTGGCGTTTCGTTTCCGCAAGATCTCGCTCCAGGGCTTTGAGCTCGTTCTCAAGACCCCAGTTGCCGATCAGCCAAGCATTCTTGCCATACTTGTCCAGAAGACCCAGATTCTGGGCTCGAGCGTCCAGGTACGCATACGATACGTACGCCTTGCGGAGCGAGTCCTCCAGGCGCCGGCGGTCCTCTGCCGTCTTTGGTTGCCCTGGTTCGGGGAAGGGCTCTTGTGTCTGGTAACGTTCAAGGTCGATGACCTTCAGAGGTTGTTTCGACGCGACGCGCTCGAGCTCGAGTTCGATAAGGGGAGAAAACGAGGCTTCTTTGTAGGCTGGCGGAGCAGCTGGCTCAGAGATCGCGAGCTCGGCTCGGATCAGGGACTCGGCGGCTTCACGCTCGGCCGGCGTGGGCTCGTCGTCAATGTCTGCGGGCGTCGGGTGTTAGCTGGATGGCGTAGGCCCGGCGGACGGGAGATCAACAAACGTACACGGAAGGGACTCGTGGAAGGCGTTCAGCGCTCTCATTTTGGCTGATTATGTAGACTGCCAGTTGCGCAGCTTTGTGGAATTTTCCGGGATGAATTGGTCGTATTGTGGCGTCAACAAATCTTGCCTTGAAAGTGAACGGTTGGATGGTACGGGATCTCGGTGTGCCGCGGCTGCGCGAGGTGGCTACGACTTGAAGTTGCGAAATTTGGGCCTTGACGCACGTACCTACCCGCCCGATAAGGAGATAAGTCGGCTACAAGAAACGGGGGTCTGTGCGCAGCAGTTCTTCGAGCACGGGCTACCCGCAGTCGATCATTCGGGGTCGATCCACTCACACACTCAAATGACATGGAACGCAAACCATCCTTCCAACTGCACCTAATCGCTAGCGGACTTCAGTCCCCTGGACAGCCATGCGTGTATGCCGTCCCAGCACAGGAGGCCGCAGAAAAACATCTAAACCGACGACCCAACCTTGCGATCGATGATGGGACGACAGGACCTGACGTGCAGAACGGAGTTTAAGGGTTCGTTTAGCTGGAGATAGTATCATTGTCTACCCCACCAGCTAAGCTAATTGTTCCCTTATTTCTTCTTCTGCTGATCATCTTTGACAGTACTATTTCTACGGATACTCGGTGACGCATTCCGGACTGGAGCGAGAGCTAAGACGTACACTTGCGCGATGAAACCCGAGATTCCTTTGACAGCTTGTGGTCGCTGAGAGACCAGCAGAAGACGACGTCGGGAAGTCGAACGAGGAGGCGCTTCCACGTGGCTTCAGTTCTCCTTCTGGACACTTTCCATCCTGAGCGACTCGTGTTCGCGTTCGGTAAACCTCTCCTTCAAGAAGAAAAGCCCGCCAGCCCGTTTTCCACATACTTAGAATAACGCATATCCACTGCGTGTTTATCAAATCACCGTCGTGTTCCCTACTACACACCACTTAGATGGGCTTCCATGACCAAAATAGCTCTTCAAAGAAAAGGTCAATCGAGACGAATAGCATCTGCCAATCCAAGCCGGGTCTCTTAGCCCGTCATCGCCGTGAAATTTTCCAATTGCGGTGCTTATTGAATTCCTAGCAGACGCGAATTGGACGGGTGCCGGCCGGAATGTGACTCTGGACTCCTTTTATGACCCAGGGACCAACCCAAGGCCGCGAGACATCTTCTGCCTGTCAGTGGCACGACTACTCCGAGCTATTTGGGCCGGTGTTCCATCCGTGCCTCGCCCCAGCCGTGCTACCGAGCTATGGACCGGATGGCTGCCACCAGACTTACCGGAAGCAGTGACCCGCTCGGGCTCTTTTCGCGATGCCGCGTTGATCTCGACCCTCTCATCGAGAATCCACCACGTGAGGGGGCTAGAGGTCGGCCGCGCCTTTGGCTTGGGCGTGGCGTCTTCTCGGACTGAACTATCGCATGCGGCACATGCATTTCCACGCTTCTGGTTCCATGGAAAGGAGGTCATGTCGCGACTCATGAAGGACGAGCCGGTTCGCGCTGGCTACTCTTAACAAGTACTGCCCGCAGTGGCTTGCTGATGCCGCGTGCCCCTTTTCCTCCTATTGACGTTCTCTGACGGTTGCGAAGAATTCGGCATCTCAACGGTCTCAATGACGCTGGATGTTCTTTCTTAAGGGAGCGTACATCCCGTGTAACACGAAATCTGAGTCTCTTTCTCCCGGGACGGCCCACGAAACGGCTGGCAGATCATCAAACCCGGCCGTGTTATTGTCGACACCATGAAGCCTTCAGTCTCCTTCACCTTTCTGGTGTCCGCACTCCTGCCTGCCACGGTGCCGTTTGTGACAGCTCAGAAAGTAGGCAGCATCACGGATGCCGTCACGCAACTTCCACCTTGCGCTGTAAGTACCGTCCAATGCCTGAAATTCCGGTCGCCACTAAATCGCATGCCTCTAGGTCACCTGTATCCTGTCAGCGATCAGGGAATCGTCCTGTGGTTTAACAAATGCAACATGCATCTGCGCTGATTCCCAGTTTGAGACCTCAACCGAGAACTGCATCGTAGGAGCTTGCCCGATTAAGGACACTCTACGTTAGTAAATACCTAGAAATTTGGCTACATTATCAAGCTAACATACTATCAGACGCAAAAAATGTCTTCGAAACAACATGCGGCAGACCAGTCAGAGACCATAGTGCCGAGTACGCAAGGTTGACATGGATATTGCTGGGACTCATGATCGTCACGGTCGCTGCACGCCTGATATACAAGTTCTTCTCTTCGGCCCAACTTGGATGGGACGATCTGTTCACCTTTCTCGCCTTTCTCGCCGTTCTCCCGTCATTTATCATCAACCTTGCCGGACTCGTACCCGCGGGCCTCGGCAAGGATATCTGGACCCTCACGCCAGATCAGATTGAGCATTTTGGCTTTTGGTTCTACTTGCTGGAGCCCATGTACTTCATCCAGATGGGTCTGGTAAAGTCGGCAATCTTGTTCTTTTACATGCGCATCTTCGACCGGGCTGGTCTCTCTCGTCTTTTGTGGGGTACAGTCATATTCAACACTGTCAATACGTTCGTCTTCCTCATCGTCGGCATCTTTCAATGCACCCCAATCAACTACTACTGGAAGAGATGGGACGGCACCCAAGGAGGCACATGCATCAACATCAACGCTGTCCCCTGGGCGAACGCCATTATCAGTATCGTTCTGGATATATGGATGCTCCTCTTGCCGTTATCCAGGATTCGGACTCTCAACCTACATTGGTGGAAGAAGTTGGCCGTCGGAATGATGTTTTGCGTCGGAACTTTGTGAGTCACTCAACCCTTCGTCTTAAACACTACATACTGACAACGTTCAGCGTGACCATTGTGAGCGTCCTCCGGCTCCGCTCGCTCGTGATGTTTGCAAATTCCCTCAACCCAACTTGGGACCAGTATGGCATTGCATTCTGGACAACCTTGGAAGTTCCAACCGGCATCATCTGCTGCTGTCTACCAGCTATCCGCCTCATTCTCATCAAATCCTTCCCCAAGCTGTTCGGCATGCTCACAAAACGCTACGACTCCCACAAACACTCCGGGGATCCGTCGAGTGGGAACATCCAGAGCAATCGCATGTCCCACGCCTTTGAGCCCGAGGCCGATGCCGACTCCTCGTCAACAACGGAGCTGCAATCCGCAATGCGGAACGGCAAGGGCATCGTCTGTAGCAAGTCCTTCGCCCTCGAGACACAGGACTTGTCCCATCTGTACGCCTTGCAAGACCTCGAGTCCGGAAGTGCCAAAAACAGCATCGCGGCACAGAGCCACAGGTCAACCTCTATTTCACATAGCTCCAGTGCCACTTCAGACTACGCTGGCCCGGGGCGGAAGCAATCTAGTCCTCCAAAGGACTAGGCTGCAAGCCACACCACGACGAAGTGTTGTCCTCTTCGTTCAAGGCTTACCACAAGACTTCAGCACTTGTACATATCACGGCAAATTTTGGGGATGCAAGCTCCTACAGCGGCTTTGAACATCTGCATTGGCATTCTGGCATTTCTGTTCACGAGACACTGTACGATGAGTATATTTGTAAAACCCCGGATAGATGAAACGGCCTCGGCGTTGGGATAAACTTTTGTATAGCTATTATTTCTTTTTTCTTTCTTTTTCTTCCACATACCCATCCGTTGACGAAGTCACTGGACTAGCATACGATTTAGCGGAACATACGGTCTTCGGAAGAGAGCAGCGCGGCCTCGCGCTCTCGGCCGTACGAAAATGAAATAGCATTGTACAGTACATACCTTTTTCCGGAAGTTCCACAAGAAAACAAGAAATGCCAAGGCACATCCGTTTTACCGTTCGCCTTTGTTGTCGTGTGCAGAAATGGAAATTATCGTTCGGTGTCCCCCCAAGCGAGGGGATGCATGCGGCGGCATCCCCTAACCCCCTTCGCGTCGCTTACAACAGCCTTCTGCCATTGGATGTAGGCACACTCTCCGAGACAATAGCACTCGATCCGGCTCCGAGAGTCGTTCGTCGGAAGGAAGCACCGATCGTCAGCCTCAGATCGTGTCTGTCTTACCCGGGTTGTCGGGAAATATCAGAAATCCGAGACGGGTATCGTGCTTGTACGTTGATGGATTAGCTTGCATATTCTCGATGACGATGGATCATTCAGTTCGGGTTGTTTGTTGTTTGTACTTCCTCTTAATTGCAGCTCTTTTTCATCCCGCCAGCTGTCTCAAGAGCAAATCCATGGTTAGCTTCGTCTTGTTTAAGCCCAGGCAGCTGTACATGAGAGTCACCGCGTGGAACTGAACACGGCAGCATATAGACACATACGGTAGAATTTACGTGATATCAAGCACGGGTGCAGTGCCGGATCTTGTAAGGTTGACAAATTGATAGACTTTTCTATTACTCAATGTTTTGAACAAGACAGGTCAGACTAGTACCCTACTACAGGAAACAACACCAAAGGCAACGAAGAAAAGGGAGATTTCATGAGTTGACAGGAGTTGCCCTGGCCCAGGAAGTCGGTGTTGTCCGCGATGGAAAGGAAGGAACGGATGAGCAAGTGGTTGCTTCCTTCCCACGCAGCGATAGCACCTGCCTCTTGTCAAATCACATCGGCATGTTCCTGCCTCCTTCTTCCGTCTCTCGAAACTCAAGCGATTTCCTCAAAGGAGTGCACCTCGTGAAAAGTTTGTTGCTGTTCTCAACGTGCAGATATTGGTCTTTGTTGAGCGGCCTCTATCGTCATGGCGGGTTACTCAATCCAAGCCTTCTACAAAAAGGAGGTGTTGCCCACGCCTGCCGCAGCAGCCTGTTCTCCCACCAAGAGACACGCCGCGCAAGACGACGGCTTCACGCAGGCAGAAGTCGACGCCGGAAATAACCCTCTCGACCGCCAATGGAACCCGTCCGAGAAGTATCATGACATCCTCATCGATAACATCCAGCCGGGACCGGCGCTCGTTTGTTTCACGGGCCGCATAGTCAACTACGCACCGGCGTTCTTGGACTCCAAGAACGTCTACAGTAGGCCGGCCCATCAGCTGGTTGTCAAGGATGATACGGGTGCGATCACGGTCTGTATTTCCCCCCTGAATATCATGAGATTGACCACTGAGATTGAAGTGTTCTATCAGGTCAAACTTGTGCCCATAGGCATTCCTGTCTCATATCTTGTCATCGGTCAACTCGTCACCATCTGGGCCAGCTGGGCGGGAGCTGCGGCGAGCTCGCATCATGGGAGCATCCCCTTCGTCACAATGTACACGCCAATCAATCCAGCAGACGTGGGCACGAAGCAGTTCATCCAGTTCATACCCGACACTCCCGACACGCAGAATCTCTATCGCGTGCCCCTAGAACACGAACTTGATGAGGAGAAGCCAAGAAAACCCTTGCCGGGTTTGATGACCCTCGGCCAATACCTCAAAACGGGCCACGATACCCGCGGTTCCCGCATCATCGTCTGCGTCAAGAGCATCGGCTCACGCAAGCGCATCCCCGTACAAGACGGCACGAGGGAGGCGGAACTCCTCGAGGTCACGGTGTGGGACGACACGGCCAGCTGCGCGCTGACGCTCTAGGAAGACAAGGCAAACTCGGCCAGGCTGTGGAAACCCAACGAGACCATCCTCCTCTTCACGAACCCCAAGTTCGTCGCTCCACGAGATACCAAGCCTTACCCCACGCCGCCCGGCATTGGCCTGAGTTACAACACGCTCGTCGACGTCGACCCGGCGTTTCCTGATGGTGACTGGCTTCGGCAGTGGGTGAAGGGCAGGGTCAAGAAGGAGAGCGTCTACATTCCGTTTCCTCAGGATGTCTGGGACGTCGAGGACGCCGTCCATGGGCCCATACGCCCGCTCTTCACGCTTGCTGAGGTGGACGACTTCGCTCGCACCGATCCGGCGACGGATTTCACGGGCAAACTCAGCTTGACCATTCTCGGGATCGACTTATTAGGACATTACCGAAGAAAGATGCTATGTTGCGTCGAATGGTGCGTAAAATTCAAGTACCCGCAACATCGTACACACTAAAGTAGAGCGAGCGAACGACGAGGGCATTGCTAATGCGAGCTGTCCAGTTGCGGAGTCCCCCTATATGCCAACCACCCGTCTGCGACATGTAAGAACTGCATGAAAGAACGTTCGCTGGTCCTCAACCCCCGAGTCATGGGTGTCCTGGTGGACGAGACGGGATGTATCGCGCAGGGGAAGCTTGTCTGGAGCGAGCAGGCTTGGGGCGAGCTATTCTTCCCCGCCGCCGCCTCCGATACGGGAGTCGAGGGCGGGCTGGAGACTTCTCCTCACCCCTATCCTCCTTCTTCCCCGGCTCCGTGGACGGGGATTCTGGCACTGGACACGAGTGGACTGCGGACGCTGGAAGAGCAGATGCTGTATTCACGTTTCACACTGACGTTCGGCTGGTCTCCTTTCGTCGAGCGGCTGTGTGTACTCGGAGTCGAGTGGTAAGGTAGGTAGGTAGGGAGCCCAAAAGCGGGGGTTGCAGCTTTGTTTCGTCAGGGTGGTGTAAGGTGCTGCTCCGTCGATGAGGGGTCGAGAATACGAGGACGCGGCCTGTCGGTAATCAGGGAAAGTCGAGGATGAGGGCGATTTGTGTGAGGAAAGCGAGGGATATTTGCAATGATGTGGGCGGAGATATATGGCTTTGATAAACGACGTAGATGTTCTGATGGAAGAACTGTTGATGGGCGAAAGGGGTTGATATGTAAACAAAACATGACATCTCAGCGAGCCAGGGTATTCTTGAGCAAGCTATGGCCAAAACCTTAGACAGAAGCTTGTTGCAGAAATGGAAACTACACCTCTCCAGACTTTCGACCTTGCAAAAGAGCGTATTACGAGACACCACGTATTCACTATACATCACATCAAGTTTGGGGAAAAGAGAAAATAGTGATACAAGGCATGGATCTATTCATCAGGTAGATCATTGGCCATTTGATTTGATAGTACAAGGGCGACGCTTTTCGTCGCCAGGTCATAAGTTTTCGTGATACATGCTGTCATCCGCCGCCGCGGCAGTCAATCTCGCGGTCGAGGGAGCCCGATTCCCTTCGCCCACGCCCAGTTTCTCAAAGAAAACACCTTCCTTGGTCGCTACACTCCGTTTCCGATAATAAATAAAAAAGCCGAGCAGTAATCCTATCCTCCCATGCCGAGTACAGTGTTGTGTTGTGTTATTGGTGTTGGTCGCTAATTCCTTCCTGGGAGGTAAGGTTTGGTACAGGGAGAAGAAGAAAACGGACTGCCTTGCGGAAAAGCGATGTGAGTGCAGCACGATATAACCTAGGGATCATGTCCCAGGATTAATGCTTAGTGACTCTGTCGTCACCGTAGGAGGAACCACCGCTCTCGGAGGTCTCGGTCTTAGTCAGCTCCTCGCCGTCCTCCTCGGACGGGCCATGGATAGACTCCTCGAAGACAGGCTCAGGTTCGTTGACGTCGAACTTGGTCTTGAAGGCATTCAAGTTGTCGGCGTAGCCGCTGCTGTTGGTGCGGCGACGAGCGTTGGTGAAACGGAAGTCCTCGTCGACGACCTCCTCACCAGCATTGCCCCTGCGAGTCAAAGACGTCAGCCGCTGAACTTATGATAGAATTGAAAATGGGGAAGGTTGCTTGAGGGCCGAGAGTGAAGGTGCTTGGTGACACGAGATGGGCAAGAAGGGTCGTGTGTAAGTGGGGTAAGCAACGAGAGAGGTCCGAACATACCAGTTACTTCGGCCGCCGCCGTTCTTCTTGACCTTCTTGGGGTCGACACCCTCGTGTCCATGCTTGGCGAAATAGCGAGGCAGGTGCTCCTGGGGAGAAGCAGTGCCGTCGGCCAAGCCGGCGTGGTCACGGTCGTTGTACTTGTGAGAGCGAGTCACTGCAGGCCATGTTAGTCGAGGTTCCGAAAGCGGTTGATACGTGCAAGGCACGGCCAATTGTCATGCCAGTGAGGACTGGTTGGTGATGGACGGTGATGATGTTGGACGTCTGTAGATATATTGAAGATGATATGGTGGTGAGGGGTGGAACGGGCGGAGGTGATGGGGAAAGACGTCACGCGAGGGGGATTGTGATGCGGGGCAGGCGAGGCAAGAGCTTCGGGGGAGAAGGGCAGACATACTCTTGATGGAATTGGTGATGAGGAGGTGATTGTGCGTGTGTAAGCGCAAAGAGAAAAGTTCAAGTGGATTGGCTTCTTAGGATGGTTGAATGTTCAGTCGTCAATGTTGGAATGCGTGGATGAGATGGCAGTCGATGAGTTGTTTCGATGGATTGGAGAGATAGCTTGATGGATTGGTTGGTGATGTGAAGAGGGGAAGGACGAGGTTAATGTAGACGGGCAGGATGGTTTTATGGATGGAAGAAGGCTCGAGAGATATGGCGACCTATCAGATCATGCGATCAACAGACAGCTTTGCCCAAGGGGGAGGACGGGGATGCAGGACAAGGGGGTGGGTGAAGTATCTTGGTAGGCCTTTCCCTTACAGTGAAAGGTATCTTGCACTTCATTCACTGAGGAGTACATACCCAGGTAGTAAGGAGGTCCGGACCGGCTGGGCTGGGTTGGCTGGCAAGCGCAAGCTGGGTCCTTGATGAGAAGCTGGATCGCGTGACTTGCTGCAGATGGGGGCCGGCAGCTGCTGCAGCTTGCAACTTCCATTGCAAGGGAAGGAACCACCGTCCACCCGCAGCTACGACGGGGGACGGCCGGCGTGGACTGGCCGTAGTGGAGAATGGGAAGGCGCGGGTGGGCGTGGGCGTGGGCGTGGACTGACGCCAGACTAAACCTTCATTATGCCACTTTTTGTCGCCGGTCAGTGTCGTCCAGTGTCTTTCCACAGGTCCTTCCCTTGTTCAGAAGCTGCCGTTTGCTGTCCCCTTCAAGCTTGTTTGCTTCTCGTTCCCCACTAGCTATCTCTTCCATGACAATCCATACCGTTTCTGCCCTCTGATCTTCTTACCTCTGATATCTCTTCAACAATCGAAACTGAAGCATAAGGTACCTTCCTCATCTTCCCTCCCGTCCCGAAGTGCAGCATGACCACGGGAGCACGGTGACGCAAAGGGTCCACTCGGATCCGGGGTCTCAGGTACCAGCTGCGCAGGGACGGGTGGCCAGATTGCGGGGTAGTGGATACCAGAGTACCAACCGTCGCTAGGCCGTTACATGCCACCGTCCACGCATACCGCTGCGCCCTCGCCGTAAGACAAGTACCGGAGGAGCACGCTATCGGTATCTCGCATCCCTGTCCATCGAGCCACTTCGGCGCCGCAACTCATCGAAAACTGCCCATCGTCAGTGTCGTCTCATCCCGGTGTCTTCCTTTTTTTTGGCCGTCGTACGGATTCGGATTCATACGGGGCAATCGCTGTTGTTTTGACCCAACAAATTATTCGCTTTGTCTATTTCCACGGGAACCCGTTCACCGTATTGTCATTCTCGCAATCTGGACGCTTCTTTCCGACCTCGGACCGTCCCCAACGGTTGGCTGTGGCTCGTTGGATTTGGGCCATGTGGCAGCTTCGTTGTTCTGGCCTGGCCGGAGCATGGCATGGCTCCTTACCAATGACTCCATCTCGCGGCAGGCTGCAGGTTGGCATTGGCACACATGATCATGCTCAAGCTCAAGCTCGGCGACTGCCGGTCCACGTCTGTCTGACTAACTTACCTAAGGTAACCTACCTTACACGTAGGGACTGCTGAGGGCATTGATTCTTCGAACACGTCGAGTTCCGGAATAGCAGCAGCATCACCGACGAGATGGAGACTGAATTGGGTCCCAATAGGTCTCCCATCGTCACCTGCCGCTGCACTGCAACTTCTGGATCCGCTCATTCCTATTCCCGTTCCCCCAACGAGTCTGGAATGTCAGTGCATCTACCGGAAAATGCCCGTATGACTGATCGCTTGTCGCTGGCGTTTCAATCCTGCCCTGCGTCTACGGAGTACACAGTAAATGTACCGGTCCCCGAGAACCCCTGAGGGCCAAGGACATCACCGCAATCCAATTGACCAATGGATCCACTCGGGTCATTCGGACAGCTTCTGGAGCTTGCTCGCAACTACGCCTCCCTCCTCGGTCCCCGAAATCGCAGCAACCACGGACACCTCGACTCGACTCCTTCTCCTTCCAGTCAGAGTATACACGTGTACCGCCTCCTTCCAGCCGCAGCTTCTCACCCAAGCTCGCCTACCAGGCTCATCATCATCACCCACAATCTTGCTGCTTCGATGCGGCGCAGAGATCCGAGGAGGAATCAACTCCACCGGCACCGCATCGACACCATGTCCTCGATAAACCCCCCTGACTCGCGCGATCGGGACCCCGCCCGTCTGTGCACCCCTCTGATCTGCTCTGCAGCGCCTCGTTTGGTGGTTTGACGCGCTTGACGTGTTTCCCTTTAACCTGCCGCATTCCTCTGGGAGCAGTCATCCCATTCGTCGGTCCAAAGCCGGCCGATGGAGCGCATCAACTTCCAACGACCTCCGGCTCCGTTCCAGAGCTTGGTTTTTCGGAGACGCTGACTCTATCTGGTCCCGATCTACTGTAGCAATCTGCTATCTATGGACCCTCTGAGGGGCCAGATATGCCAGCAGCGAATGTGGATTGTAGGTCACGCCAGCGATTGCGGCATGTCGTTTCCAAGCTTCTAGTTCTGAAAGGAGACAGGTAAACGTATCCGTATCTCAGGGGCTTATCCGTCGTGAACTGCCTCAGTGCCACGCAGCGGGGCGGCCAGCGTCGCCGGACGTGGAGTGACCGAGCAGCGGAGCATCCCCACGAAACTCGTGACCACTTTGCCAACTTCAACTCTTCCCCCTTTTCTCGTATCGAACAGTCTCGACCCCTCCGGGTTCGACATTCTGTCCGGATCTGTCGTGAGTCAAGCTTCGACGATCACGACATCTGACCACGGGATGCCAATATCTGCCATAACAGTCCACGTAGCAACTTTGCCCCGGCGACTGAGTCATCGAATGTTCGCCGCAATTCCACGCAGCGGTGCCTGAATTGACTCGATATCCCGAGATGACATTGATGGTATCGTGATTTTGCTCGTTGCCCATGTCATAAGAATAAGCTCCTGAGTTGCAGGTTGACACATTCGGGCGTTCGGGAATAGGGTGTTTCCAGAATGTTCCCAACGTGATAGTCCATCACAGTCTCCGTTACAATATCATGCTGCGACGTTCAACTTATGCTTCAAGACTGACGTGGGCGGGCGAAAGCACAGCATTCTCGATTTGCTGGGTGTCTAGACAGCAATTGCCAACTTACCCACCCATCAACTTCGTAACGTCCAGAATCATCCAGCCTCCATCTTCTGAGGACTTTTCTAGTTTTGGGACCAACGGCAATGATTGCTGCTACTTGGGGATATGTCACGAGAAGCGACTGTTGCCTCAGTCTCCCTCGATTTTTGGCTCTTCCCATCGATCAGCATGGACATGACTCCCACCCTGCCACAAGTAGCAGCACAGTAGTTTGTGGAGGCCAACTCAACCTGCGGGAGGCCAAAGTGAGGGTGGAATATGCCTAACTTCTCCAAGGGATTTCCACAAAACGCAATCTTCTCAGTTCGTCGCACTACGCACACTCAAGGTCACTTATTGCATACTGTCTTGGCTCATCCCACCAGCCGCCTTCCGCATAGCCTTATGGCGTTCTCCTACCCGGTTCAAGTTGCGACCTCCTCGTTTTCAACCCGACCAAGGGCCTATTTGGGGACAGCGAAGAGGCCATGTTTTCGCTATGAGGAAGTTGGAGGATTCAGCTTCGCCGCTATGTGGTCTCGAACGTACTAGTCAGAACCAGCTAGTAGCTGACAGCTCCTGACTGTTGAATCACCGTCGACGTTGTGCAACAATGATAATTCGGCTGGGTCAAAGTGGTGATTTGGACATAGAAGTATTCGTCCAAAGGCCCTAGCCGTCCGCACAAAGCCTAGCAGACCCAATCTTCAGAGCCAATCCTTAATCTGAAGTTTCGGATCTGTTTTACCGACTTTCTCTATCTACGTTGCTCTATTAACCAGAGGCTGCTCATCTTGGAGGCTTGCTGCGGCTATGAGGACAGCCTGGCGTGAGGCTTACCCCTTCTTGAAGATTTCTGAGGGATATTTAGGGCTCAACGGACCCAACAGAAAGGCTGGACCATGGCCCCTTCTAATGCCGTCTCCGCACATAGCGCTGAATCCTTTCCAGACCTTCGAAGATAGCTCTGAAATCTGAGTGTCTCAAATGATCCTGGCGGCCGAGGCTTTCTTCCCCGTGATATCTACTTGGGCAGGAGAGTAGGATGCAGAGCATACTGGGAGCTGTTTGATTCGCGTCACGCAGCAGGGACAAGCTCTGTCACATCTTCCTCAGCAAATCCGCTTAACTACAACGCCAAGAAGCTCTCACGGTCTCGTCCAAGCAACATGGAAGCTCTCCCGTAAGATGACGCCGTCACGGAAAGATTATGTGGCTTCTGAACGTCCGAAGAAGCGAGCTCGGCGGTACCATTGATACATGTGATGCGTCCAGTGCAGTCTGGAACGCCGCCTTGCAGAAGTAGAAAGTTTCAACGATCGTACTCCCCATCTCAGGGGTAATTCTGATCCATCGGAGAAAACAGCACGGTGAGTAAACGGTGAAAGTGAAGACGACTCGGTGAGTTTGCGGAACCGTAACGAAAAGGCAAGCTACGGCTAATGTCGCGGGGCTTCCTGTGAGATCTTCCAGACGAAGAGCAGCCCTCCAAGCCGCCTCGACTACTCAGTCCTTCTGACATGCGAGCAGAGAGCTTCTCAGGCACTGTCGCGACGTGGACGAGAGGTCATCCAGCTGGTCGTGCCAAGTGGGTTTTCAGGCAGCCCACGTATCGAGGGGAGCATTGCCCTGGACTGCACGGATATATCGGCCATGCGTTTGGAAGATGGATCCTCAATAGCCGGACGACGGCGATGTTATCATCAAGAAGAACGAGGGTCGAGCCCTCAAGGAGAAACGACAACGAGCTCGTCTCGTTGGAACGCCGCAGCTGCAGGCGCGATGTCCCCCAAAGGAACGCACGACGTATCGACATTCGGGAATCATGCGCATTGCGAAAGTCGCTCGGGTCGAGAACGGACGTCTCGATTCCTGGCATCGGCAGGATACAGCTTTATACCATTAAATCGCTCTCCCGCATGGTGAAACGGGCAGTCTTGATGCCCCGAAAACACAGTTCAGGATTGGGAAGGTTTGTTGGAATCCTTCTCTGCTCAGATCTCGGCTGGAGGGTGCCGGAAGGAAGAGTTCGAGACTCACTGACAGTAAACGGTTTCGCTGCAGCGATTCCGATCCTATGTAGCGCGAAGAAACAGGGGCTGGATATTCACACAAGGCGGCAGTTTGATCCTGAAAGGCGGCATATCCTATCATGCCGAGGGCATCTCGCCTGAGCACAAGTCGCACGAGGAACATAATGCTGCGATTCACTCCATCATGCTAGCTGTAGAACTTCTTCTGGAACGATACATGTCTGCGTGTCGACTGGTACCGTACACTCCGATGATCTTGGACAGTTGGCCTGATCCATCCTCACAATTCTTTTCACGATAATACCACTTAGCATTGCACTGGCTCTCCATGAAAAGAAAGCAACAGAGAAATTCGCATGTATAACGCTAAACATCGTGTAATCCGACCTCTTTCCCCTCATTATCCGGGCCGTTTTCTCCAGTTCCTAGAGGGCAAGATATGCACGAACTAACCCCAGTGAGGGCTCAAGTTTGCCTCCACCCCTATGGCAGGTTAAGAAAGGCCATCCAAAGCTCAGGTGTGGAACACAGACTTTCTCCAACAACAAGGTAGGAAATCAATGCTCAACAACTACACCATCATGTCAAAGCAGCACAGACGGCAAGCCAAGCTTCACCCGGAAAACCCAACTCCCATCCAACGATCCACGTCCGTGATCTGTCTATTCAGAGCCCCCTCGAAAACACCCATATCGAACCTATCAAACAAGCATACAGCCGTATACCTCCACCTCGCCTCAAAGCTGAAAGCCGCACGTCCATATCGCCGCCACTTGTCACGTATCCAGTGTAGTCAAGTCAGTTTACCGCCGCCCTAAGGTTATGTCAATGTAAGCATCATAGTGAATAATAGCGAAAAGAACGCCTCGCCAGTTTTCGTCTGGAGGCGTCCATAAAAAGAATCAAGCTTCTTCTCGGCAAGTCTCCTTAGCCGGACGAGGAGCCACGAGTTCGTGGCGAGTGAAAAGAAGATGGTGGGAAAACACGCGGAGGCTAAACAACCATGCACATCGATATCTCACGCGGTTAAAAAGGGAGAATGGTGAAACGGCATCAGCCACCCGACAGTCAGCCCGTCTAAACCATCCAAACGTTGACAGAAAGCTCTATCCCTGTACGCCAGCTCGAAGGTGCTTAGACAATTAATAGCTTTTGGCCTCTAGCCCGTCCAAGCTCCCCAAGCTTCGGAAATATCAAAGCTCACAAGCGCAGAGGCGAAGGGAAGTACATGACAAAGATCTACGCGTTCTGGGCCACGGGAGCACCTTCGATCCTGACAGGTCGGGAGTTGGCTCCGATCTCAAGCTTCTGCTTCGCCCGTCCGTCCCATCCAGGGAACAACGACGACGACACACAGATGTTATAGATAGCTTCCCGCTTGCCTTCCCAAGGAAGCATGTTTCGATAGGGTGCTGACGTGAGGCGCTGAGTCACCACTGCGAAAAAAGACAGACGACGACGAAACTCAAGCCATGTCGTCTCTCTCTCTCCCGAGTTGACAAGCCTCAACATCCCAGGTTTTGCCTAACCCAGACATCGGTAACGAAGCCGGGATGCTCCCCCCCTCCCCCCTTGCCGTCCGACCGAGTACCTTACCACCACCTCCATCTCGAAGGGGGTCGGAACGGCAGATCTGCCATCCTTTCCCATTCCCTCCCATCCATCTTCCCTTCATTCGCGCAGCCGTTCTATTCTCTTTTCAGAATGTCCTTTTCCCACAGGCCTCAGTCATGGCAAATGAAGTGCTCGAGATATTTATATCACAAGACTAAGGTCGACAAGGTTAGCCCAACAACGCTTGCCGAAAGGAACGACTATGCCTGTCACTATGTAGTGTGTTTTGGAGGAAGGGATGCCTTGCTGTTGGGTTGAGTTTGCGGGGTCCTTCTTCGGCCGAAAACCTTGAAAGTCGGCTTCACCGTCAACGCTCACGTTCACCGAGCCAGAAAAGGATGGAGGAACTTTAGAGGCGGATTTCGAAAAGATGGGATTCTCATGTGCTAGGAATATCTTTTTCCGCTATCCAAGGTTCGAAGCCCGCTCACCGAGCCCACCCAACGAGTGTACGACTAGAAACTCAATCCCTCCTTTTCCATAGCCCGCTGCATCATGGGCCTTTTTCGAATGCAGTCGAGTTGCCTCACCCCCACCGGCGCAACCGATTCAAGTCCAGATCCAGTTTCCCGAGAACGCCAGAGTGAAATCAGAAGATGCCCACGGCCTGCCGGCCGGGTTTTCGCGCCATCTAATAATAGATTGTTGAAGAGAGAAAGAAGGGACACTTCTGGCCTTCAGACCGAGGCCGTAAAACCAAAGACAAAGGGAAACGAACGAAATCAGTTGAACCCCCCACCGTTCACCGTGGCCTATCGGTCGTTTTCCATACCCCGCATGACCCTTCGTTGCTGATGTGGTCGTTGCGCCCAATCTTCGTGGTATTCCGTTGAAAAAGGTAAAACAAAGCAGTGGTATTGATACTGAAAGAAGGAATCTGCTTTCCGGTTCTTCTGCTCGGCCGCCATTATGAATTACTTCTTCTTCTCGTCCGTAGAAAAAAGCAGCACAGACGGCGGCGCGCGAGCGGCAGTTGCTCATAGGGTGTAAGTCTGCATGTCCTGAAACATGTACATGTTGTCGGCGTAATCCATCGCCCCGGGATGGGCGGTCGGCATGCCCATGTGAGCGGAAGGGTCGAAAGCCAATGGCGGCGGCGGCGGAGCGGTAGCCGGGTGGTGGTGGTGTCGCGGCATCTGCTGCTGGTGTTGCGCCCTGGCCTGCGATCCTCGGAGCTTGAGGTACTCGGCGTGGAGGGCCGAGTATGCTTGGCTGAGGGAGTCGTTCTTGTTCTTCTGCTCGGAGAGCATGACTTCGAGATCCTTGATGCGCTGGTCCTTCCGCTCGCGGTATGCCCGTTGGGAGGCTCTGTTTTGTGCACGGCGGCGCTGCGCAGGAGGAAGGCATGTGTTAGTCGGGCTGTGCTTGAAAGCTTGTCTATTCCTCCAGGCTTGCGCGTGACGGCGAGTCCGCGGGGTTCTCCGGGGGAAAAGGAAAAAAAAGTCAAAAAAATGAACTCACCGAAAGGACTGAAGGAGGGGCATTCTTGTATCTGTTCTCACGCTTCCTCTTCGCTGGGGGCTTGGCTGCCGTGACAGCGGGCTTTTGGTCTGAGGAGGGTTGCGGTGATGCAGTATCGCGCGTCGAGCTCATGGGACTAGGGTAGATGTTGTGTTCTGTGCCATTGAAGTCGCCGACGAACCCCATATCAAACTGGGCTACGTGTTAGAGGACTGGAGACCATGAGGGCGAGCTTTATTGACTTACGGTTGACATGATGGGGCTTGGGGTCTGGGATGAGCTCGCAGTGTCGAGGTATTGCTCAGTCTCGTCGTATCCGTAAGGCGCCTCCAGCTCCAGAAACGCGTCAATGTCGTCCAACATGTTGAGTGGCAAAGGGTGCTCCATCTTGGTGGCAATTGGGCGTTTAAGACTTCGATATAGTTGACGGGAAGGCGAGGCAGTGTAGGAAGTCCACTGGCTGGTTGGACCTCGTATTTAATGTCCAAGAAGCTCCAATTCTAGACAAAGGTTGGGAAGAAGATATATGTGAAATCGAGGAAGTAGCACAACGTATGGCTCGACGTCTGGAAGATGCTGTGATGTGTAAGACGATCTAAGCTATGCCATGGTGATTTACAACGGGCTTGATGGAATTATATAAGGCGCGCGCGCATATGGATGCGCAAGATTCACCACCCACCGGTGGCAGGGAACAGGTATGGAGGGTCTACATCCACATATACATGTGCATGTGCGAAAGCTGTACGTCCTGTCTGGTTTCTCATCATGTATGTAAGCAGCCCTCTTCGTGGACGTTCTCTCAGGGCTGCGCCGTACATGGCGGCAACGCAACGATCCAATCGACCGTTAACCTATTGGACCCCAGATAGCATAGCGCTGCGTTGCTTAGGACGCCGCTCCCCCACCTCCTTGGTGACTGGCTGGAGTTCAAGGTTATGAGGTGGTGGGATAAGAAGCAAAAGAAGAATCGCCGCCTCCGCCGTTTTGGGCCCCGTCAAGAGCTTGTAGGGGCAGGGATTAATGATGCGGCAGGGATACCTATGTGTAGATGGAGAACGCTGCTGTCTGTGGTACATGCATGCTGCGCCAAGTCCCTGCCATAAACGGGCAATCATGTGACAAGGGCCCCCAGTTAGACGGAGCTATATCGTAGTAAGGTAGACGACGGGCAGAACCGCGAACGGTGCAGGAAGACGGAAGTGTTGATGGCTGGATGAGCCGATGCGGCCCCGTTAAGCTTTGGAGTCGTTGTCGGTGCATGATGCTGAGCCTTCTCGCCCACGTCGTCTAATGGGCTAGATGGGATTATTATTTCTGGCCAGCCATCATTTTCTCTGAATTTTGGCCAGTCAAAACTTCAGATGGTAGGTTACGAAAGCACCGCCGCAGTTGGATGAGTAGGATTAACGTTTCCACTTGTTGAAGATTGGATCATCCCAGGCCCAACATGGGGGATTTTCTTTAGATGGCCAAGTTTCGCGGTCTCGGCTCTTCGGCGAGGCAAATGTGATGAAATTTGTTTATTCCTTCTTTTGCTGCTGTATCGCTTCTTCGGTGTCAAGTAGTGTCCATAGTGTTGACTCGCGACTTCATCTGCCCTTATGACGTCCATCGTCGTCCAAGAGTTACCTGCGATGAGAAAACTGTGCCTCTTGGTATGACAGGACCCCAAATTATTGTCAGTATCCTGAAGACGGCGAGTGATTTGCTGTCAGTCGTTCGTGACTAGAGAAAGGGTGCAGGCGGGAGGGGTGTTGTTGCTGAGCGAGACAGTCGCAATCCCGCCTTTTTGGATTCGGTGACCAGCCCTCAAGCTTTGTTTTTGATAATCTTTTGACAGAAAATGGCGGAGCCCAATTGGGGTCTAAATGGGTGACGCAGCACGCCACTGGGTGTATGTGCATAACCGCAACCCACGCCTGCACGCCGTCTCTTCTCGCCTCCCCCGGCTGGGTTGAAGAATGAGATACCCAGAGCTTTAAACATGCTAGCGTAACAGACGGGAAGTACACAACATTAGATTGGATGGGGACCTTGCCGGTTGATTAGAAGGATGTCGGTTTGCTATTACAATATTGCCCTTGAGATTCCGGTTGCCCATCGCGCGCTTCGAGTTGAGCATGTAAGTCTGTTGGACTTGACTTAGAAGGCCGTATCAACCACAATGGCGACGCACATCATTCCGACGCCCTGGTTCACGACCTTGAATGTCACCGGGTCCCTTCGTACGAAGTATTTTACACTTGTGATGAATGCAGGACAGCGTAACGCTCTCTGCACCATCACAGGAGTGACAGGGGAACGTTGCCTTACCAGGCTGACCAGGCCCCGGCCCTGTGGCCCAAAGACATAACGCTCCGCGGTGCCAACAATAGAAGCGTCCACGAATCCTTTAGGTGAATACCGCGTGGTTTGGGAGGTGCCTTACGTCAAGACTTTCGTTGACAAAGCTTGGGCGCCGCTGTCGAGTGTCGTCAGGGGTTGTTTTCTTCAGGATACCTTCGGTAGCTTTGACGCGGCCATAGGCCGGAGGTGTGCTGAGAAGCCAGGATGATGGGGCTCGAGTGAGATCCTGGAAGCGAGCCCCAACTCAAAACTGACCAGCATCGGTCGAATTCGCAGCTTGATTCGCCAATTTGTGAAGGTTAACAGGATATGTCAAGGAACCTTTTGGTGGGAATGTTGCGACGCTGGCAGGCTGGATGGGTTTGTGCTTAATATTCTGAGACTTGTTCAGCTCGCCAGGTCCCTCGAGGTTCGGTCAAAATTCCGGAAAGAAACCATGGGATTGTCGATTCCCAAACTTCCAAGCTCTTGTGTCATCCAAATTTGGAGATAATTGGCGTGGACACGCGGAAGGCGATGTGGCCCAGGCTGCCGCGCGGGATTTCGCGATATCTCATCTGCCCGCCCGTTATCCGCAAGTCGCAGACCACTCTTTCTTTATCTCATGCAAGACGGGACGGGGTTCCATCAGATAAGCCGTAGCCTCATTCAGCAAGAAGAAGTCCATGCCGGGAGCCAAGATGGTTTCTTATTGCCCACACCAGAGCTCTGCGGGTGCCAAGAGAATTGATGTATTGTTGATCTGGATTGGCCATTATTCGATGTTTCCGAACGAGAGAGAATGAGAAAAATTTGTTACTGGAGCGGTAGTTATTGTCCAAGCCCAGCCGTTGTGGAAGTCCGCTGCACTAATGAACGGCCCTAAAGCGCGGGTTGCAACGTGCACCGTATCTTTGCGCCAATCGGCAACTGTTCCATCGCTCACAGAAGACTCGCCATTGCTATTGCCGGAAAATGTTCGGAGAAAGCGTTCTCAATAGTGCCTTTGGCAACCCTCGCCGGCTGTAAATGCGTCACATGGGCATCGAGGAGCATGTCGAAAATTATACAGCGACCGATTCTCCCGTAAGTTATGGCGCAAAGCAATGTACCAGTGCCGCTGGCTGTTCCTCCTGATGTACGAATAGGGGCGGACAATGTTCGGATAGGGCCGGTGATCAGCATTCCAGCTCCCGCCCCGGGCCCGAACCCACCGGCCGGAGCCCGCGCTCCGGGGGCGGAACTCCACCATGACAGTATTTCCGTTTGAGTCGCCCAGGAGCGGGATGTAATACCATATCCCCAATCAGCTTAGAACAGCAATTATAGTTTGTGACAGTCTTGTCTCGCCGATTGATTGAGTCGGTGTCAGCCGGCCGTCTTTTTTCCACACAGCCATAGTTTTCGTGATACGTCGCGGCCGCCGCTGCGCGAAGGAGGCTAAGGAGAGATTTTGCCCCCAATGTGCAATACCGCTGTAGGTTGATTTCAGTCCTTCCAGGGTGCTGATCTAATCTGTCAGCATGGATCTCGCTCCCCATGTTGCTCTGATACCGGGCGTTGGGCCCCAGTCCGAAAACATGGTACTCAAAGCAGCAGCAGGTGGCATTAGGACGGCCGAGACGCCGCTAGCGAGGTGGAACTCCACGTGAAATATCGGAGCCGAGTTTGGACTGGGCGATCGCCGTGGAAGACTGCACGTTCAAAAGTTGCCGTCAATACTGATCGCGGTCAGTGTTGTCTGATTCATGGCTTGCAATCGCCTCCCGACTCTGTGAAGCCATATCTAAGTTGGCAAGTCTCTTTGCCGAGAGCTCGTTCTGGAGAAACCAGGTAGAGACAGCGATGCGAAAGGCCAAGAGGTTTAGTGGCCTGGCAAATCTGACAGACCGCGGATTTAAGCTTGAATGCACATTTGGGCTGTTGCAACTGAACCCGCGGACGGGTGATACCCATCGCAAGTGAAGTGGATATGTACCGGAGAGAGTTCCCGAAATTCCGCCAGAGACCAATACTGAAATCGAAGTTTGGTTGCGGTCCATCAATACATGCGAAGTCAACGATGCTTTGGTCCCGAGCAAGCCCCGAGCGACATGTTGTGCCACGTGAACATTAACAATGAGGCCACTTCCATGTGTGACGCAGATACAGCGTATCAGTCTTCATACAGGCGGAGGGTAGAGTCTTCCGACCCTTGATATGTTGTACGACGCGTTTGGAGGACATGTCGTCGGTTAGGAAAAGCGCTTTTTCCAGAAATCTCATCAAGAGCTGCAAGCTGTCCACGGCAGTGTGTTTGGAAGAACGGCATCCGCAAATGCCTCGGCTAAGTCTTTGAAGTGAAGGCCGACTGACATCGCCCCGAGGCGATTTGGAATGTGCGTTACACATCTCCAGAGGATGGGGATTTTGCTGCCTAGGGCACGATCTGCAGAGATCGGAGTATTCAAAGATTTGCGGTACGAGTAAAACCAGTACTATCCCATGCAAGTCGTGCAATCTCCGGGGTTGTCCACGTCTCAAGCTTGACGGTAACGAATACCCTCACCGTTTCGGGCGGATAGGGGATTCAACTTGCCGAGAACTCGACGAGGTTCCATCACTAGGCACAAGCAATTGGTTTTCCTTGGTGAACACCATCTCCAGCTAGTTGAGCTGTAGCCGTCCGCTGACGTCTCGTAGGGCCAGCCAGGCTTGTCCCCGCAAGAGCTCAGCTATTTTCCGAAAAGGGTAATTTTTGCTGAGCCCCACGGCTGACATGCCGGGGTGAGCATGCAGGCATGGCATAGGAGGCTGGGCCCATCGAGCAGTGTGCGTCCGCTCATTCTATGACTACCTAGTAGGCACGCAACGGCAGTAAACGTTTGGATTCCGCTTGGATGTGGGAAGCGACTCCGGCTGAATGGTGGCGATGGTGCACATTGACGTCTGCGAAGTCATGGGCTACATCGTAACCAATCCGCCCTTGACAGGCCGAGACTGACTGTCCTGCATACGCCCTGTGACGAGGGAACGCACCTCTTAGGACAGTAACTGCAGCGTCTGCGGAACTCGTGCTCTTTGAAGTTTATGCGAGTATGGTGATATTGCATTGTCAGGGCTGACACTGGAATAGAGGCCTATTGGCTCCGCTCATTGCTCAGGCGGTGGCTCTAACAAATACGGTAGTTTTCCTTCGGTGTATCCCTGGTCAAGCATCTTTCGGCTTTCCTATGAGACAAGTGCTCGAAAATTGTTTTCGGTCCAAATCATACCCTTCTATTGCGAATTAGTCTCCGAAGGTGGATGCTCGCAAAAGAGGTGACTTTTTCGCAGGACGTCTTCAGTTTCTAGCCCTATGCAGGTGCTTGGTGGCGTGAGAGAGTTTCTGTGCCATCGCATACCCAATCTCGTTGCAAGGTTGGGGTCCCAGCAATCTCGTGTGTAATTTGAAGTTGTGGGATGCGCGGAAACCAGCCAGTGTGGAAGAGTTCTCACAGCTTCTGCAAGCCAGCCTCAGCCTCAGTCACGCCAGGTTCGAAACCGATCTTCTTGCTCATCTCAATGGCTTGTTGAAAGCGTTTTCGTGCGACATCCTTCTTTCCCAACATAGCAGCAATGTCGGCCATGTTTGTCAAGGCAACAGCACAAGCCTCGTCACATTCTTCCGTACGCTCGTCGCCCTTCACATCCTTTGAGTGTGAGTAAGCATTGCTAGCCCAGTTTTTAGCTGCCTCGAGCAATCCTGCGCGATCTGTCGGCACATCCAGGTTGGAAAGTGCGTCAGAGGTAGAAGGGGCTCCAGGAATGGGATCGACAGGTGTCGTTGTGGGATGCGTAGCAAAGGCTACAGCTAGATTATTCACTAGAAAGATGTCAGCCACATGGCGATATGCTTAGGATAGCCAAACGCAACGCTGAGGCCACATACTGATAGTAACTCGATGACAAGGATCGGCGCAAAGACGCAAGGCGTGAAAAAAGAGGGGCACTGCCAGATGAGGTTGATGTTTGGACGAGTAGTGATCGGCCAGGGCTGAACCAGAGTTAGTAAAATGGCCTTCAAGAAGCAAAGCTTAACGAGAGGACGAGAATTGAACTGACATTCCATCGCCCCGCCAATCTCTTCTGGGCTCATCCAAGGCCCTTCGTCCTTCTTGACACCCTCCTTGTGGCGGCGTCTTGCCTCTGACAACGCAGTTTCGACGGCCCACGTCAACCGCGCCAAGGCATTTTCTGGCTCCAAGACGTGTTCGTCAGAGTACAGCGCACCCAGTTTGGTACTTGTGCCGACAGCCTTCGCAAGTAGCCTTGTGCGCTTGCGCCACAAGTTCTCCGGTGGCTCCTCATCCCCGTCCGAGGCGACAGTGGGACGTTGATCCTCTGATAGTACCTTGACAGCAGGCGGCTTGCCCGACTTATCAACCGTGCCGTCGGCGACGGACTTTTCCAGCCACTCAACCCACTTGATACAATCTTGCAGGACAGAGTTGAGAACCAAAATAGCACCTTGGTAGTTCCCAATTTTCTCCAACCAGGCGGCCGTCTGAATTCTGATGCCAAGCACGTCGTCGGAAAACGGGTCCAATTGGAGTTCGTTGCAGATCTCCAGCGCTTGTTTGTAGTACTTCCTCGCTAGATTCGCGTCGGGGCTGATGTTTGTGTAGTATAGTGCTCTTCGAAGGGCTTTCGCAACTGGCTTCGGGTACTTGGTGAATTGGCGGGCCTGGAAGTAGTCGAAATAAACCTTCACGATGTATATCGCAACACCAGCTAGGCCAGCTAGGCTGAAGAGCAAACACGTCAGTGCTGGGGTCAAGCCTATAAAGCTTAAGAACGTACATCGTCAATGCAAGTATAAGCTCCTCTGGGCTTTCTTTGAACATCTTCTTCATTCCTCGCGGTGTTAAGGCGTTCGCGAGACCCCGAATAGATAGAGCTCGCCGGAAGAATGATGCGAACGTAGGAGGCGGAGGTGGCGGAGGGGTCGAGTTCTGATTCTTCGGCGCATTTCTGGGTGGTCTGGCCGTGCTATTCTGTCTCAATTGAGTGCTTCTGTGGTTCGTCGCGCTTGAAGGAACGCTGGCTCGCAGAATCACCGAGGGTGCCGTGGGCGCCCTCATCGCCCGGTGAAGACACAGGCGATCGATAGCGCGCCACGCCGTGATGCGCGCGGCCGCCATTGTCGTATCGCTTCCTAGTCTGTACTGTTTGTGAAGGTTGTATGTCGGATAGGTAGAGTGCGAAGAGTGAATGGTACGATGCGAAGTGCGACAGGAAGATGGAGTCGAATGACGTACAGACCTGAAAAATCAACGACCAGAGCAATCATTTCGCAGGGGCCTCGAGCTCTTGCTGGTGTGGATCCATTAACTTTTCGCACAGCCAATGGGACATGCTTATTTTCTCCGAGGCAGTCCCCCCACCAAGGTGGTGTCGGATCGTGGGGAAGCTCCTTCGGCATCAGAGGGGCAAATGGCGACCTTCTTCCCCCCGACATCATCATTTGCCTAAATAAAACCAAGCTGTCCACAACACTTGCAGATTATTCTGTGCCCCGACCATATCACCAAGAATATCCCTACTGTTTTCGCACGCATTCACTCACAAAATGGCTGGAAAGTTTGAGCCTAAGAACCCGGTCGAATTGGCACCGCCCAAGGACGACCCCATCACCCTCGAGGAGTTGGCCAAGGCTGATGGTGAGTGACATTCCCTTGCTAAAAGTCCTCCATTATACTGTATAGGTGTTCTGGGTGATGACACGCGATGTGAATTATTGCGGCTGTGAGCTATGGGCGGACGACAGACCGCTTCCTTCACGACGCTGCGTCTGCAGGTTCACAGATTCGTCTTGGTTACCTGTTTATTTAAAAACTCAAACAGAAAGTTCATATATCTTCGTATTTGCGCCGAATCACTTACAGAAATTTGTTTCGTCGAGCTGTTTATCCCAGATTGAGGGTCACGTCGCGCATATCAGAAGTCCTGGTTACCCTTTGCCGTACTGATTTGAGACTCCAATAGGCTCGGACCCCAACGGCAAGACATACGTCGCGATCAAGGTGAGCTCATGATCAATTTTCATGACAAGAACATGTACTTATTTTACTCTAGGGTATCGTTTACGACGTTACCGGAAACAAGGCGTACCAAGCAGGCGGATCATACAACGGCAAGTGCAATTTGAATCGGAGTTCGACTCGATATTAACATTCCTCCAGTTTTCGCCGGAAAGGACGCTTCCCGCGCTCTGGGAAAGACCTCCACGAAGCCTGAGGACGTCAGTGCTGACTGGTCAGACCTGACCGACAAGGAGAAGGGCGTGTTGAACGACTGGATTACCTTCTTCTCTAAGCGCTACAACGTAGTCGGCCGCGTCGCCGGAGCTACCAACACGGAATGAAAGATAAGTGACGGGGCAGAAACGACTCGATCCAAAACTGTGAGGAAACAAATGGTGGGGAGGTCCAAGATATCCTTCGTTTGGGCGTGGGACGCTCTGATGAGCGAGTGTAAACGTAGCCACGTCCTCAACCCAATCACACACCTGTGGCTCTATTTCAACACCAGAAAGGTTTTTGGCGTCGTTGACTCGTCGTTCCCATTCGTGACTATTCTCTCACCCCTCAGTTTCTCCGCCCGCGGCGTGGGGAAGAACTGATCTTGATCCCTCGGTCACCACCATGCGGTCCGACGTCGCATTCTCCTCCCTTCAGCTGGTCGTGCATGCGAAAGCCCTTGAACGCCAAAGCTTATTCGACGACAGACCCATCGCCTGTGGGCTTCTCTCAACACGTCCGTTCGTGCACAGCAGCTGTCGTTCATATGCAATGCCACTGTTGCTGTCTGACCCCCCACTCTAACGTGCACTCAGGCTTGAGGGGTCTCGTGTTTGACAAGCTGGGGGTTCAGCCTTTCCTCCCATCCCTGGAGCACTTGGAACAGGAGCTCCTCAATATCAAGCCCTAATGACTCAGGAAGCGGCAACAGACATGAGCCACCCGGCCGGCGGATTGCTGGGCACTTCGTGGTGTCGGGCGTGGTAACAAATGACGTGTCTTGGACTCGAAGCTTACGCAGTTTATTGTCCCAGAAACATCATCTCGCATCTCAGCTAGGGGAACCCCTTTTTTCTCTCCTCTCATTGTCTCCTCATCTGCAGGATACACGCTTTCTTGCACCAGGGAGCCCGTCCCAGTGGAGCCAACCCAACCGCTTGTCATACAACAGCGTGTGGTCGCAGCTGCATGCGCCCGTGTCGCCAGCTTCACGCAGGAAGGCTGTTTCCACCATTGGCATGAACACCTCAGATTCTGAATGTCGGGGATAAACCATCACCCTACCTGTCCGTTAGTTTATGGTTCTGTATGCATGCATACCTTCCGTTGGGGAGTTGGTAATGCCTTTAGTTGGGCTCAACTATACCCTCTCCCCGGCCCGAGGGCGATTTGAAGGGTATCGGGATTCCTGATGACCTTGGTGACATTATTGTGAGCGAACAGACAGAATATCTGGAAAGAGATCACTTACAGCTGCAGTCCATAGCAAAGTTCACAGTCCATGCTCCGAAGGCGTTCTTCAATTTATCCGATCTGTGGCTTCTTGCCCTAAGGGCTACATGTCAAATTTCTGGTAGTGTAGCACAGAACACAGTGGGAGCCTCATATACAGCTCTCCTGTCATCGAGTCTGGCGGCATATCATTGAACGAGATGTTATTCAACGGGCGTCCCCAAGTATGTATGTGACAGCGCCATCCCCGTTCTAGACTCCTATGCCTGATCACATCTCGGAAACCAAATACTACGAACGGCAGTAGACTCGGAGAATCATCTGGACCACAAGTCAATGTATTCTCGAGGTCGACTCTTTTCTCACGTCACTCCGTGCCAGGTTCGCCGCGCATTTGCATACGTATGTACGAAGTGGATGATGTCTACGGGGAGAATCGAGATACATGTACCACTGCATCTTCAGGCCGCCAATCCCGCCATCCTCCTTCCCTCCCTCCCCCCTTGTTTTCCCTCTAAACCAAGGCAGAAGAAGTGGCACAAAGCCCGACCCAAGGGGCGGAGATATCTGAGACCCGATGTGTGTATATGTAGAAGTGAACACGACGTCAATCAAATCAAGCCATCCCGTCTCGATGCAAATTAATCCCGAAGAAAAAAACGAACCCCCACCAAACTAAATTAGAAAAAAACAATTTTGAACATCGTCAACCTCCCGAACATTCTTGTGCGTTGTGTGTACGCGAGCATGTGAAGGGCTCGATCAACCCAACCGCCCCTTACCCGACGCGTCATCCTAGTTGCTCAACCTTTTTTTGTAAACGACAGCGAACCGAACGATAATGACATGAATCCTTCCTCGAAATACGTTTTCCGGCTTCCGAAAGTTGGCGGCGACGGCGGTGGCTGCTGATCCCCCAACTTCAACCGCGACGGCGCTGGCCACCGCCGACGTACTCTTGCCTCCCGAAACCGGCGGCGACATGCTGGTGCCCTTGCGGGGACTGCCACGCCGAGAGACAGTTATCGCACGGGGTGCTCTGCTGCCATGAGTTGCGGAGAACCTGGACGCTGAAGCATTGGTGGTTCGGGTCGTTGCGGGCGAAGTGGCAGTAGGACTTCAGCCGGACGATGGAGTGGCTGCAGGTGAAGAGGAATTCCTCGAAGTCGCACATTTTGGGCAATGATCGAATCGACTTGGACTCGGTTGGAGGAATGGATGGTACTGGAGTGGTTCTTGATACTTTCGATCGAGCTATCATGGCAGGTTAGCTACCGTCAACATAACTTGAAGGTGACTTACACCAGAGACTGGTTCTTGTGATAGCTCTTCAAGGTTTAATCTTTTGTTTGCGTTTGAAAGATAGCTATTCTGGTCCTGATATTGGGATGAACCTCGATTCAAGGCGTACAGTTGCAAGTCGACAAGTGAATATTTAAAGGGTATGTCTCAGAAACTTGTTTCCTGGAACGCCTGAGAAATGTGATCTTTTATATATACGAAGCTCCACCATTTTCCAGGCCTTTCAACATCACATTAGACCATCACCGTCGTCAAATAGCCGTTTACGTCCAGCTGCATTTGATGATGCCTCAAGGCCGGACACACAGTGTGCCCTAGTGACATGAGATGATTGATTGCTGGCTGGTATCATATGCAGGCTGAGCATGTCGAGGGGCGAGGTCACCGATTCATTAATCACCCTGCTCAAGCCCCAACAGCTACCCTACGTAGATTAGTTTCGACCAAGCCGGGTAGCTGATCATGCAGATTGGATAGAGGCGTCTAGGTCTTTTCAGAAAAAGGCGTTGAACGAGGACGCAGCAGCTACACGGTCCCAATGAACTGGATACCTTGGGAGTTCTGGTCTGCCGGGTTTGGTCTGATTAGCGTCATACTTGGACCGCCAGCTTGTGTAAGGCATGCGCAAAGATGTGAAATACTTATGATCGAATGGCGTCCAAAGCACAGTCGGTCCCTCCTGGACGGCTTCCCTTCTGGACGGCATCCCTCCTGAGGTCAGATTCTCCTCAAGAACCTCACAACTGTATACCTCAGGATGGGCCCCATCTTGTTTCCTAGGTGCGTCTTGCTCATGCAGAAAGCATATCGAATTCCTTGTCGACATCTTAGCGTTGAGGCAAACACTTCTCGACGGCCCCGTGCGGTTCCTTAAGAGGAAGGCTCTTCAAGCTACAGAGGTTTCGGCCGAAGGTGCTAAGTATTCTGATTTCGATCGAATCTTGGACTCCGGTCTCGATTCTCCTCGTATTGGGGCTCGTCTGGGTTTACTGCAGTGTGACATGAGAGGGGAACGTCAAGTACCTGTCTAGAGTGTGGAGCGTGCAACCAACAGCACCCAATCAGCCAAGCCTGCCATTTTGAATTAAGTCAGTTGCATCTTTGCGGAGCGGCCCGATAGGCGGTTGATGAGCAAGCTGAGATGTCGGCTGTTGCCAAGAAGCAGAAGCCGGACAGGTCGATTCCGCCCTCGACGATGCTGGAAACATGGACAAATGATGTGCGGATGCCATCCTATTGGAGAAGGCGAGGATGAAGTGCCCCATCCGTTAGGGATTGGAGCGCCTACTTATCGTAGGGCAAGCGCATCGAGGTATGCGTAGAAGCAGAGTAGTTGCACTCGTCATCCGGTGAAACCGGGGGACAAGTGCCCACCTTCCTCGTCTGGGCTACCCGAAAGGACGACGTTCAAAATCATGCAGGCATCCCTCCGGAGTTTGGCGTACGCCAGGAGCGCAATTTGGTGCCGTTGGGCGGTGCAGGTCATGGATCGGAAGCAGGTCTGGACCCCCCGCGATGAGTTTGGCGGTCTTAAGTGGGGGGACAACGCCGTCGGGAGACAACAGTCTCGAAAAGCAAGAAAAAGTGATAGATCACAATGGGGGAACCGGAGAGCACTCTGTAAAGTTGACCAAATGCACGCTGTTTCTGAGCTGAGAGGAAAGACGAGGATACTGTGCAGAATAACGAAAACCGGATGAGAAGACTCTTCTCGCAAACATCTCCACTGGCCATCAACAAGCTGAAAGGGGCAAATTGCGCGAGACTTTGACGATTATTTTTCGAGGTGCTGAATGCCGTTGAGTGCGCATATGTGATATGGGGTAACGCGCACTTGCGCGCAAACCCGGGAGAAGTGGAAGCTCTCGTTCGCAAATGTGCTCCGCGCAGCTGCTCGGATGAGTGTGAGGGGCCTCGTTGTTGAATTCTCCAACTCTTTCCCGGCGGAATACGACTCCTCTGCGACCTGTTCGATGTCCTGCTGGTTCGGCCTCGCTTGTGGAGCTGCATTATGGAGGCAAGTGGTGACATATGTTGCTACCGTCACCAGTGACATTTCCGATGTTCCTTCTTTCGCTATTGTTACGTACTGCTGCTAAGTTGGTGCTGATGCCGACGAGGTAGGAGTCTCGAGTACTCGATCTCATTCTTAGAAGCTTTCTCTTTTTATGATTTGATCGTTCTCCATTCTCTTCCGAAAAAGAGGTCTGACGACTGGGTTCCTCACGGTCTCCAGACGCTGATATTAATGTTGGTGATCTTGCCCTCAAAGCTAAGGTAGCGCAACGACATTCTTCACAGGAAGCTCTGGGGTTCTAGACTATTGGGGAAAATCAGCTCATGTTGTACAATTGCACACGGCAAAACTTTCCAATACCAGTCAGCCTCGACTGATGATCTCGTGAATGTATGTAGATGTTGCTGTTCCCTATTCTCAGTCCTCGCAGAGTGGCTTCGCGCTGAGAGTGGGAGACTGCAATGTGTATGGTGTGTTAGCGATGGATCGTTAATAACTTAATCAATCGATCATGTTGTAGCAATTTCGGACATCCCACTGGATGTTTGACTCTTCGCTTTGCAAGTGTTTTGTGATAAAAGCAAGTTACACTCAATCCACTGGTAGGTCGTAGTAGCGTGAGGCAAAGTGGAAAAACGAGAGGGATGGCGAACCATCTCGCATAATAATCAAGCAGTAATTATTAGATAAATCGAACTCGCGCTAAATCGAAAGCGGACAGACAGACCTCCGGAAGAGCTATTGATCCAGGGCGAGTTCCTCTACCCGGGCGCACGGCGGGGATTTCTGTCGCTTGATGACTAAAGGCAGTACCCAATATGGCTTAGACTGAGACGTATCACCAAATGAGAACCACAATGGCCAAGAAGCAGAAGTTAGGCAACCAGAGGGACAAGGCGACCGGCTGCCTAGCTGCACACCGAAAAGACAGGGCGGACGACAGACAGACTGCGCCCCTCGTGGTGCGTTGCTCATCCTCATCCCTCCTCACTTGCCGCCATTTCTCGCTCGCCCCGGATGATTACAATCTCTCAACTTCCCCCGTCCATGTTCTGTTCGCCTGATTCATCTCGTCGCTCTTCTTCTATTTCGTCCATTGTCTTCCTGCGAATTCGCCGCACGACTGTATCGCCATCTTCCTCGCCCAGCCACCCTTGTCTTCCCTCTGAGTGAGTGCCTGATCTTGCGCCTCCGTCCATTTCCGGCTCCGAACGACCCACCACGGACCGGTAATTAATTACCTTAAACCACATCAAAAAACCTACCCTTGAACTCGGTCGACCGGCCTTCCGTTTTGCCTCGCCGCACCGTCCGTGAGCTCTCTCGATCTCGGTCGCGCCGACTTCAGGCTTCTCGGTGACAATCGACTGCTGCCTGTTGCGACTAGGCCCGAGTCCGAGTCGACTGCCTAATTAGCACCAGGACACGGATACGTCCGCTTTGGATAAACCGAGTACTCGCTCCCACAGTAATCCAAGGTTGGTGCCCTTGTTTCTTTGCCCCATCGCGCATATCTCTTCATCCATATTCAAGTGACATCGAGCCAGTGTTCGTTGGTCATGTTGATTTTCAGATGAAATCCGAAGTGCAATATCATTTGGACCGCAGACCTGCTCTCACGTCCCGGGTCACATTCCTTCGCAGACCTGTGTAGCTATACAAACATTTAATGTCAAGAACCCAACTAACTCCCGGCCTCATCAGTAGAACATGAACATGTATAGGGGACAACAAGAAGGCTCAGTATGTGACACCCGCGACGCTTTGGATCTTGTCTTTCTCCATCTCGTTCGAAATATACAGTCGAAGGACATGGAGATTTAGCCGACGGACATCAGTACCGGATGTTCAACCATTAGCAGCGCTAATTCTCATGAATAGTCACACCCAACCTCTGACATCTCGGGGCACTCCCCTGCTGATTCGATTGAGCTTTCCCCTACCGAGATGTCGAGACCGATGGGGATGGAGCACCTTATGAAATCGCAATTCCCGTTCGATGTGGCTAGCGTAGCAGGCGCCCGCCCCTCGAACAACATTCCGGAGCCGTACAGTTTGAGGAATTTCTATGCCAATGATGAAGGGCCATGGAATGGCCTTAAAACCGTGCCCCAACCAGGATATGGCATCAATAGCGTGGAAAACCGACGCAACCACTCTGCGTTCAGCGGATGGAGGAGTACCGGGGCCCCTTCCGATTGCGGTACACAACCTCTACAATACCAACCCTCTGACTCTGGCTATGAGAGCAGGGCAAAGCAAAGCGTCGATGACAGGTCTGTCTACGATGAAAACCAGGATACCCAAAGTCTCACAGGGCACGTGTTTGACTTCAATCCGTTCCTGACTACGCCCGGATTCGCTCGCGATACCCCTATGCAGCCATGGCATACTGCAACGCCTGCACCAGTGCAAAATGTCGCCGCCGAAAAGCAACTGGTTTGCCCTGACTGCCATGCTCCCTGTAAGACCAGGTCTGAGCTGAAGTAAGTGTTTCCCCTCATCTGGTACTACACATATGTCATCCTCTTGACTTATGCGGTTTTCGTTATTCTCTTCGCGTTTCTTCGTCACCATATCTTACCTCCATCTCTTGTCATATTCAGTATATACTAACGCCTGATCAGCAAACACTCCCAGCGTCACCGCAAGGCACACAAGTGTGATGTTGAGGGGTGCTCCCGCAAGGAAGGCTTCGGCACGCTCAACGATCTTGAACGCCACAAAACCAGCTGCCACCCCAATCTGCCCAGTTCAGTTCCGCGTTACAAGTGCAACATTGGCCAGTGTCATACTAAAGACAAAATCTGGCCCAGAGCCGACAACTTCCGCCAGCATCTGAAGCGCGTACACCAAAGAGCAGTGCAACCCGATGATGACCTCAGCGGCTTCATCTACCAAGACCAGTATGAGCTACCAAATCCCCCATCTTCTTGGTCTGAACACAGCTAACAGATTTCGCAGATCGCAGAAGCCCACAGAGGCTCTGCGTACGATACAGGAAGACCTCGAAGGGGTGGGGTTCGACCTTTTCAGCTATGTTTCGGACCCCTTGGCCGACGAACTCAACTCATCTGGGGAGCCGATGGAGGACCTCGACGAGCTCGTTCTTGATCCCAACTTGACCAATGTCGAGGGCCCGCACAACATGCCCACGATTCAGACCGAATACGTTCAGCCGAAGGAGATCTCCAGACCAGCATCCGTGTTGAAGCCTATCTCGATGCCACGCACAGAACTTCGTGGATCGCGAGCGGTTCAGCCCCAGATCACTGTCGATCTGACCAAGTCTCTCGAGACGCCACCAAGCCCACAGGAACTCCGCAAGAAATACGTCGCGGATGACATGGATTGCGAATTCAAGGCCTCGCCGTCTGGCGACTCTAGCAGCAGCAAGACCAGCCAGGAAGAGGCATCCTCTCAGGGATCGTCCATTTCCATCGACGACATCGACGAAACAGGCGCACTCAAACTCCTCGAAAAGTTCCCCCACCTTTTCGAGAAGCTCATGAAGGCCCAATCAATCGCGGCACCGTCCACAGCTGAGAAGCCCCCTCCCCCGCCATCGACCGCCGCCTACCACGAATGCCCTCGACAAGGTTGTTCAAAGCTCTTCATGCGCAGATGCGAGCTCAAGAAGCACATGAAACGCCACGACAAGCCCTATGGCTGCACCTTCACCGGCTGCGCCAAGAAGTTCGGCTCCAAAAACGACTGGAAGCGCCACGAGAACTCCCAACACTTCCAAACTGAGGTCTGGAAATGCGATGAACGCCGCACCACCGCCGCCGACGAGGACGCCACAGTGTCTTCGTCAACAGCAACAGCCTGCGGCAAGGTCTGCAACCGCCGTGAGACCTTTCGCTCCCATCTCCTGAAGGAGCACAGCGTAGTCGACGCCCAGAAGGTCGACAAGGCCCTCGATAGGTGCCGCATAGGCCGCAACCACGAGGCGCGCTTCTGGTGCGGCTTCTGCAAAAAGACCGTCGAGGTCACGAAGAAGGGCGCCAACGCGTGGGTGGAACGCTTCAACCACATCGACAACCACTACACCGGCCGCGACGGCGCCGGCAAGAGGGACATCTCGGAGTGGATGAACGTCGACCCCGAGCTGCCCGAGATGGACTTCACGGGCTCGGTCGACGACTCCAGTGACGGCGAGTCGGCCGACGAGGCCGCCGTCGCCCCTCGACAGACTGCCATGTCTTCGAGGAAGAGGAGCGCGGAGGATGTCGATGACGGAGGAAGGGGCCACAAGCGCTCCAGACCGGAGACTCGTGTCATGTGGACTTGCGTAAGTATTTCCTTCTCCTTGGGTCTTGTTTTACTTGTGCTAACGGTCCTTCTTAGTGCGGTTGTAGCAGAGCGGTTGCTCCCGTCAAGTTGCACGACGCGTGCGTCGACTGTTCGCACAGGCGATGCGACGACTGTGAGAGAGAGGAAGTCACAGTGCATTGAACAACAAGCTTGAAGGTTGGAGTAATAGACTACTGCGATGATATCCCCTTGAGGTTTCCTACTTTGTATCTTTCTTTACGACGGGTATGATATAACGACATTGGATACGCCGAGGACGGCGACGGAACAAGAGAATAGCAATGGAACAGGCGGAATCCAAAAACATGAATCAAAATCAACAATACCTGGGCATCATGTTGCCCCCCCTTGGTCGGATTGGTTTCACTACAGAATGTGGAAAGACTTATGTTCTGATATTTCCCAATATTCCCGATATACTACTACTTTTTACTCCCTACCTTAGATGAAAACAACCCGCCTCTGTCCAGCTTTGTTCCCTGATATTCCCAATATTACCGATACACTGCCTCTTCTTACTCTCCACCTTCGATGGACGCGCGCCGGACGAGGCCTGTTCTCTCTTCTTCGTTATCCATCATGATTAGATGATCAGATACAACATCAAGGTATCATTCAAAGCTCGCACATGCGATGACGCGACGCGGGGGGGGGGGGGGGGGGGGGGGGGGGGGGGGGGGGGGGGGGGGGGGGGGGGGGGGGG